CAAGGAAGGACGTAATCATTGATGGTTACCATCTTTACGTACGTCATCTCCAAGGAAGGGCGTAATCATTGATGGTTACCATCTTTCGTCCATGAATTTGATGGATGGCTTCTATCAAATCCTCATGCAAGAACGGGACATAATCTATACCGCAGTTAGCACGCCTAGCGGCATGCTCTTGGAATGGCTAGTAATGCCACAAGGGCTTAGTAATGCCCCTGCCACGTTCAACAGATGTGTATCACATCTTTTGAGACCAGTACGAGAATTCGCGCCGAGTTATTTCGATGACGTATTCATCCATAGTCGGGCTATGGATGGAAATTCGGACGTTGAGGTTCACAGATACCACGTCCGACAGGTTCTTACAATCATGCAAAAGCATCAATTGTATGCCAACCTCAAGAAGTGTATTTTTGCAGCAAGCGAAATACCACTTCTTGGGTGCATCGTTGGTAAGAACGGAGTACGTACTGATCCCGAAAAGATCAAGGTGATCACCGACTGGCCTGTGCCGGTTGATGTCAAAGGTCTTTCGAAAATTCCTTGGGCTAGCGGCGTATTTGCACAAGTATTCACGCAATTACGCCGAGATGACTGTACACCTCTCTCGTTTATTGAAAAAGAACGCGAGGTGGTTATGGAACGCGGAATGTCAGCGCTCCTTTGATGGTATCAAGAAGAGCTTGATACAATCCCCAGTCGTAGCAATAGCCGATCGGGACAGGCCATTTCATGTGATCTGTGATGCCAGCGATTTCGCAATCGGCTGTGCATTAATGCAGTATGATCTTGAAAGCGTTGAACGCGTCGTTTGCTATAAGTCGCGTCAGCTGCATCAGCTGAGCGGAACTATCCAGTGCATGACAAGAAACTACTTGCCATAATGTATGCACTCGCGAAGTTCAGAGTCTATCTATTAGTAGATAGACCCTTCATTGTTTATACTGACCATGCGTCGTTACGCACGGCAGTAAACAGCCCGCACCTTTCGCAACGAATGGCGCGGTTATTGTCATTCTTTGCAGAATACAAGTTTACGGTAGAGTACAAACCAGGACGACTTAATGTCGTCGCTGATGCACTCTCACGTCGGCCCGACTTTGAACCAGTCGTGAAACCCAACAGTGGGACAGCCACTGTTGCGGTTATGACGTCCTCAGTCCCATCTACGACGTTACATGATGATGTGAGGCGGGCGTGTGCCCAAGACGGTGAGATTGTGAAGTTGTTGACATATCTCTCACAACCATCTCGAGAATCGTTGAAACGATTATCGTCTGCGTATCGATCTAAATCAGATCGATACACTACTCGCAACGGTTTACTGTATTATACAGTCGTTACTGGTGACACACCACGTGTTGTCATTCCAGATGATACTGATCTGCGTTTGCGGATCATGTTCGAGTATCAAGATGCTCCTATAGGAGGATATCGTGGCCGAGAGAAAACTAATCTCACGGTGAGTCGAGACTTTTACTGGCCCCGCCAGTATCAGTTTGTGCGCAAGTGTGTTCGCGCATGCGAAGTCTGTCAACGAGTGAAGTCAAGTCCTTCACTGCGTGCACCTTTACAGCCTCGACCGGTTCCGGCTGAGTGCTGGGAATCCATCTCAATGGATTTCGTCTTCGGGTTACCCAAAGCCGCCCGCGGGAATACGGGTATCCTCGTATTTGTTGACAGATTAAGCAAAATGGTACACCTAGTGGCTCTGCCCGAGTCAATCACGGCAAGTGGCTGTGCTTGCGTCTTTATCGACACCATCTTCCGACTTCATGGGTTACCCCGTGAACTCGTATAAAACAGAGATCCACTATTCACTGCTGATTTTTGGTGTTCCGTGTTCAAATCACTCGGAAAGCGCTTGAAGATGTCGACATCTGATCATCCAGATAATCAGACGGAACGTGCCAATCGTGTCCTCGAAGAGATACTTCGAGGATACGTACAATCCTTTAAGAGTTGGAGTGAGTTCTTGCCCATGGTAGAGTTTGCCATTAACAACTCGGTGCATGCGTCCACGACACATACACCGTTTTACGTGAATGGCTTACGCCATCCGCGTGTACCCACCTTACTAGAGTGTAACTCTAGTTTAAGGGGTGGAGGGACTCGCGCGAGTAAAAACCGATTTGGTTCACGCTCATCACGCTCTGACGATGAGGTCATTGCGTTTGATGCCGATATCGACAACAGCGATATCGAAGAAGATGATGCCAGTGAGAGCGCGGAAGCCCTCACTGAAGAAAAGATTGATGTTGCTGCAGTGCACTCACAGCGCACTGAAGCTTACGAGTCAGCAGATGAATTCAAACTGGCTCGTGAAACGGTAGTCCGTTTTGTGCAAGACTCCATCGCCGAAGCGGCGGATGAGCAAAAGCAAAACGCAGACAAGAATGGAAGGGCAAACACTCTTTTACTTAATAGTGACTTAATCATACTGTCTACGGTTAACCTACCAAAGCGTGTAGTGACTAACTTGGGTAGTAGTAGTAAACTACTACCCAAGTACATTGGCCCATTTCGTGTATTGCACCGCCTAGGCAATGCATACACGATCGAGTTGCCACGTAAGATGCGAACGCATCCCACGTTTTACGTTGGTCGGCTTAAGCCGTACCATCAGTACGCTTCTTCTTCCGATGAAGAACGCCCTTGCGCTCAAGCATCTCACAGAGAGCCTTGTGCTCCCGATGGTGGCCATCAACTAGGGTCTGAAGAGCAGTTATCTCAGCCCGAGACCGGTCAACCTCCCCACGAGCTACCCTTAGCTCGTCACGCAGAGATGTCAAAGCTCTCTCGTTCTCAAGCTGAGCAAAGGAAAACTCAGCTCGATGCTTCAAGACAGTGTCCGCCAGTTGAAGACGCCTGTCCCGCTCATGCTCGAGGTCGCCGCGCAACGAAAGAGTTGCGCGATCAAAGAAGCTCTCGGGGACACACGCTCCCCCACGATAGTTTGGAGAGCGTTTTCCCTCCTCCTCCACCTCCATTAGAGGACTCTCGCGGTGGCCAGAGCTATCTGGTTGAGCAGCTGTTGAACCACCGCGATGTGAAAGGACGTCGGACGAGTTACCTCTTCCAGTGGCGCGGCTATCCCCCGTCCTGGGATTCTTGGGAGCCCCGCTCCCAACTGATGATCGACGTACTGGGTCTGGTTGAGCAGTACGACGCGGCACATCCTGTGCCGCAGAAGGACCGCCGGAGAAAGTCTTCCCGGCACGGTCATAAAGGGATTTCAGGTTGTCAATCCCTTCGTACATCTCACTAGAGATACGTACGCGCCACCACGGGCTATCAGGGATGCAAGCCTCCTTAGGTGCGCGTGCAGAGTTGTTCACACAACAAGGGCACGGGTCTCCCCAAAAGCGACAGGGTAACCCAACCTCCTTAGACAGACGATGCAACTTATAGCGTGCACCTGTCGGGGTTCTTTTCTCAAACTTATCACGAGCTTTGGTAAGTTTGTCGTTCCAAACGTCACGACCTACATCCTCAAGGTTATGGATGTAAGCGTTCCACGCTTGAAGCAGTGAGGGACCATCACGTTTGTGATTCCCACTGTACCATCGATGTTTGAAGAAATCATCGATGAAGAATTCATTCTCAGTGTGATAGTCTTTCACACTGGGGTCAAGGTGATGGATCCTTGATGAATCAAACAATCGTGTTCGATAGCGATCACTCGTCGTCACCGACAAGTGATCCATGACCGACATTGGAGGCAGCCATGCTTTCTTTTCGGGAGCGAGACGCAACACACTGCGGTCCCGCTCTTCCTGCGAAGTGCCGACAGAAGCACTGGCACCTCGTTAAGAAGTGGTGTCAATAGGAGAACCTACACCACTGTTAGCGCCCGAGTCTTGCGATCTCGAGCGCCTTCGCTTTGGCGATATTTCATTTGATTCATCAGATGAACCGAATATGCTACGACGAGTAGCATCATTCATACCACGCGTGGAAGGCGGCTTGGTTTCAACCGACTTTGATACGGATCCCTCTTCCGTATCAGGAGAGTATGAGACACCGAGCTCATACTCTGAGAAGACATGAGTGTCTTCATGACGAGCGCCTGCATCACCAGGTGACACAGGCTGAGTCGCTTCAGCAACCGATGTGACATCAGTTGATGTGGTTTCTGCTTCGGCGTCCGCACAGAGACGTGCGGACGAGCTCTCGCCGGCCTTGCTCGCGCATCGCATGGGCTTGTTAACCATGCGATAAATTGTTGGAAAGTGGACTCGGACCAACAAGTGCAAACCCTGTCCTAAATTTTAAAAAAAAATTTTGAGACGAGTATCCATTTAGTCAATCAGTCACTAAAGTGACTGATGGTTAAGGGGGGGGTGATGTAAGCAGGTGAACCGTTACATAACAATTTATAAGACGTTGTTTATAAAATATAGAAATAAGAGTTATATTCTCAGAATATTGTCATAAGGACAAATTTTCTGCAGCACTTACGAGTAGTTCCTAATTGGTAGATATAGGCCATTATATCAACCAACGAGGACGCGCCACGACAGACGCACACAATGAGTGGTGAGCAGATGGTTGATATGCACATTTGTATTTAGACCTAGTTAGATGAGGATAAATAGTGATTTATTGACATACATTAACTATACTAAATACAGTTCTACTTTTTACTTTAACCAAGTACTCGCTTCTTCTTACCGTCTTCCTCTGCACGTACCAGTGTACGTGAATTTCCGAGGCACCGCCTTATTCTGTCGTCAGAATAACTAGCTTGTACTGTCATCAGTACAAGGTTCAAAGTGCCCTGTTACACCAGTTTAGTGCATGCACACAAGGTGCGCGCATCACGTCTACCTCAAAAATTCTGGCACTGCAACTTCTCTTGCCAAGCGCAAACAAGAGGTCCATTTCAGGATCGTAGAGCGGAAACAACTGGCCGCCACCTCCTGCATCCACTCTTTCTCAATGTAAGCACTTGGCCATGCGTCGAGGGTCCCACAACTTGAGCTCTCGGTCCTGCCTCAGCGTATCGCTTCCACACGTGACAAAATGCTGCGTCCGTCCATACCTATCCACACCCACGGGTCGTGTACCTGAATGTGCCTTTGGCACTTCGACGTCATCTTCTCACGCGGGTCCACCATCCTCACAGCTTGGCCCTGCGTTGCCGCTATCACAGCTGGACCATCCCAAGTCCAGTCCGCAGACGTCAACGAAGCGCCTTGTCCCACTGCTCTCTCCAAGCTCATCGTCGAAGCATGCACGTCATACAGTATCAGCACTCCTCGTCTCGAGTACGTGGCCTTTACCGACTCAGCCGTCGGATGCGGCATAATAACAACTACACTGTCCGCTGTTTCATGAGAAAACACCGTCACAGGCGTCACAAGCTGTCCATCCTCTCACCCGGTGACCCCACTCGCCGGATCTTCACCGCCGCCGTAGCACCGCCAGCAGAGAGCAACAGGTCTTCACGAAAACGCGAGAAAGCTACATCTGTCGTCACGCGTCCCGTCTTGTGTGCGCGCACGACAGCGGCCGTGTCTCTGAAGACTCCTGACTCTCTTTTTTAGCTGCGTCAATCCAACTCAGAGCTTCCACTTGGATTGAGCCGCCATGAGTATCTTCTGACTGAACAAATGCAAAGTGAGCGGATGTCGCAGCAAGAGCGGGACGTTCAGAACTTGCACTTGGAAGAGACACGGGCAAGTGCGTCTAGCCTCAAGACGCAGGGGCGAGTCGCGTGCTCTCCACGTGACGAAAATTGCTGGACAAATGGACACAAGAGAGAGCGACAGAGACAGAGAGAGGAAAAGAGAGGGGAGGGACAGAGCGCGTTAGTTATGCTGAGCCTTAGCAAGAGAGAGAGAGAGGAAGGTGGAGACGGGGTTACCTTGCATGGGACGCAGTCATGAATGTGCTGACGAGTCAGTTGCTATGGCGGACATTGTGAAAATTTTGGTGATTTAATTTCTTTCATAATTTTATCGAAATTTGTCAGAATCTTGTACTCGATTAGTGTTGAAAGGTATAGCACGGGAGTGACGAGAAGACCAGAAGAGACCGGAGGGAGCGAAGAGGATTAAGGAGCGGAGCAGAGAAGACTTGCTCGGCAGACGAGAATTCGAAAGTGATTGATTATCGGGGCTTAGTACTTACTACATGATTTATGTGTGCACCACATATAAATCATGTGAAGCGTCTCATCATCCTCCGCGTCTAGTTAACTATGGTAATTACCGTAAGAACTACGTCGTAAATACTAAGCTGAACAGGCGGTTCGGATTGGACCGGTCACGGTTACCAATACTGGTAGGAAACCGATGACCGTCAACACGCCCCCTCAATGCGAACACGCACAAATCCCGAGAGCCGCCGTCATCTCCTTGTGGCGTGGCCCGTGAAGTCCCTTCGTCATGATGTCCGCTAACATCACCGCAGTTTCACAGTACTTGAGCTTCACTTCACCGCGCTTGACCTCATCACGGATGTGATGATACTTAAGTCAATGTGCTTGGCACGGCCGTGGGTGACCGGGTTCTTCGTCATCTATGTACACGACTGATTGTCTTCATGGATCATAAGTTTCAGTCCTTCTTCATTGGCAGCCATCATGATCTCACACAGTAGACGATGAATCCACTTGCCCTCTTGAATCGCCAAGCTGAGTGCGATGCATTCGGCTTCACTCGTGGACAACGAACACTTGGCTGTTTCTTGCTGCTTCAACTCACTGGCGCACCCAACAGCATGAATACGTAACCAGACGTCGACTTACGATCAGCGAGGTCACCGGCCCAGTCTGCATCCGAGTAGCCACGAAAGTCGATCTTTGCATCTGACTTGTAGCAGATCCGTGCATCTTAGTGCCTTGTAGGTAGCGGAAGATGCGCTTGACCGCAACCCAGTGTTCTTCTTGGGGGTTCTCCATGAATCGCGACACATAGCCCACGGCGAACGAAATATCCGGGCGCGTTACAGTGGTCAGGTGCATCAACGCATCAACAGCTTCGCGAAAAGGAGCATCGACCTTGGTGGCTGCACCACTTGAAACAAGTCGAGAGCTCATGTCGACTGGACTTGCGACGGCCTTGCAATCATCCATTCCAAAGCGCTTGAGTACGTCATATACATACCGACGCTGACATAGTGTCACGCTTCCATCTGCGCCGTCCAAAAGATCGATTTCAAGCACGAATGCACACTTGCCGCTGTCAGTCATCTCGAATCGTGTCTTCAGGTCGATCTTGGTATTGTGCAATCAGCTCGAGCGAGCTTCCAGTCACCAAGACGTCGTCCACGTAAACCAGTATAAACACGCAATGGCCGTCCGAAGTCTTGATGTAGAGACATGGGTCGAAGTCCGATACTTGAAATCCGATGGTGTTGACGGTCATCGGTTTTCTACCAGAATTGGCAACCGTGACCGATCCAATCCGAACCGCCTGTTCAGCTTAGTATTTACGACGTAGTTCTTACGGTAATTACCATAGTTGATTAGACGCGTAGGATGATGAGACGCTTCACATGATTTATATGTACACCACATATAAATCATGTAGTAAGTAGTAAGCCCCGATAATCAATCACTTTCGAATCTTCCAACTATTGGGCAAGTGTTTTCTGCTCTACTCTCTTCGGTCTCTCCGCTCCGTTCGCTCCGCTTTCCTCGCTCCGGTCTACAATGCAACAGGTTATGAGCCCAAGCGCCATGTCGTCCACCAGCAACGCCTCCATTGACAAGTTCAACGGAGACAATTACGCAACGTGGAGCCGGTACATGCGCGGTGTGTTTCTGACGAAGTCCGTCTGGCACGTCGTCAACCGTGAAGTGACTCCGACTTTCACCGACCCGCGAGCGTCCGATGACTACGTCAAGGCAAGCAACGTCGCGTTTGGTATGATGCTGCTGCACATGAACGCGGACTACCATCATGTGCTGGACAACTGCGAGGAAGCCTGGGTTGCGTGGACAAGTCTGAAGACGCTGTACGGTGGGTCGCAGAAGGCAGGACGCATCTACCTCAAGCGGCAACTTTTCAGTATCAAGATGGCTGAAGGCGCGAACGTCATGCATCACTGCAACGAGGTCCTCAACATCTCCGCCAAGCTTAGCGGCATCGGTGCGAAGATGGAAGACGAAGACGTTGCAATTTGTCTGCTACTCAGTCTTCCGAAGAGCTACGAAAATGTGGTGCTCAACATGGAAATGAGCAGCACCGAGCTTCGCACTCAAGATGTGGTGAGAGTCCTGACGAATGAGCATGCCAAGCGTCAAGGAGAAAAAGGGACAACGACAGCGACTACGCTGAAGGCTGAAGATGCAAGCAAGGCATTCAGCGCCGAGCGTGAGCCCTACCAATGCACATATTGTGGCAAGGCGGGACACACGGTGGATCGTTGCTGGACAAAGCAGAAGAACGAAGGTCGGAGAGCCCGACGCGGCGGCAATGGTCGTGGACGCGGGGCTAACAATGTCCAGTGGGGACATCATGATGAAGGCAATGGCTACGATCGAGTGGCGTTTGCAGTCTCGTTCGAATGTGGAGTTTCGACGAGCAAGGACGTGTCTGGAATGTGGGCCGTCGACAGTGGTGCAACGCACCACATTTGCCACGACAAGACCAAGTTCGCAAGTTTGGCAGAGCGCAATGAGGGCGAACTCTTGGTGGCTGATGGCAACAAGGTGGCCATCAAGGGTGTGGGAACCATCATGGAAAAGGTGGTTCTGCCCAACGGTGAAGAGCGTGAGATCGAAATCAAGAACGCGCTATATGTTCCAAGTATGAGCAAGAACCTGCTCTCGGTGCCACAGATTAACAGCCATGGCAAGTTTCAAGTCGTGTTTGACGGGTCCAAGATGTATGTGACTCTCAAGAACTCACAGCAAGTGGTGGCGACAGCGGATCTCGTGGATGGACTCTACTGGCTTCGGACGACTCAACGATCAGCGAATGTGACAACAAGTGGAACCAGTTGTGCCGATCTACATGCGAGAATGGGTCATGCTCCAATCGATGTACTTCGCAAGATGATCGCGACCAACATGATCAAAGATGTGGGAGTACCTCTCAAGTCGAGTGGATCAGGTACATGTCGAGGATGTCAGCAAGGGAAAATGGTCCAAAAACCATTCCCAAGCAATCGTGACAAGCGAAGTTACGACACGTTTGAGCTACTCCATCTGGACATCTGCGGGCCCATGGAAAAGGATTCGCTCGGTGGCAGCAAATATTTGCTGCTGATCATCGACGAAGCCAGTGGATGCATGAAGGGCTTTTGTCTGCGAGTGAAGTCCGAGAGGGAAGACTACATCCGGAAGTACATCACTATGGTACAGACGCAGTTCAGTAAGAAGTTCAAGTTGTGCGACACGACGGAGCTTGCGAGATCGCAACCAACTCGCTTCAACTGATCTCTGAAGACGAAGGCATCGAACAGCAGACTACGGTGCCATACGCACATCAAACCAACGGCTCAGTAGAGCGTGCCCTTAGGACTATCGTCACGATCGACCGCAGCAAGCTCCATCATACCAAGCTGGACAAGTGCTTCTGGGCTGAAGCAGCGATGACGGCCACCTACGTCAAGAACCGACTGCCGTCACCTAACGTCGTGCACAAGACCCCGTTTGAGATCGTCTACAACTTGAAACCAAGCGTCAAGCACATGCGAACATTCGGGTGTCAGACATACATACTGACGCCTAAAGAGAATCGACTCAAGTGGGATCCAAAGGCTCGCGCTGGCATATTCGTGGGCTACGAAGAAGTTTCGAAGGCATATCGTGTTTATGACATCGAGGCGGGGCAGGTGGTTATCAGCCGCGATGTCAACTTCGACGAGTCCACCTTTGGACTTCAACTGCCGATCACTGATGAAGATGTCGATGACCTGGACTTCGAATTGCTGGATCTTGATGACGAAGAGCTGCGTCAAATGGAGTACAAGCAAACAGGCAAGCGCAAGAACCGACTCAATGATGAAGATACAGCAGCTCCACGACCGCGTGCAGTGCGTCAACGACCAGGACTAGAAGAGTCAAGCGCGCCGGAAAACAACTCGTCACGACAAGAAGAAGACGAAGAAACGAAGGATTCTGGTGATTCAACACCGCCTGTGTTTTGGCGTGCGAGTGCAAATGCCGTTGAAGCAGCAGTGGACTTATCAGAACCCTCAACATTTGAAGCAGCAGTAAGCGGCCCTGACCAAGTGCACTGGAGAAAAGCAATTCATGCAGAGCTCGAGTCAATGCGACTTCGCGGTGTGTTTCGTGCAGCCAAGCTGCCCAACGGACAACGCGCCATTGGCACAAAATGGGTGTTCAAGATCAAGCGCAAGGCGGATGGGTCAATCGAGAAGTACAAGGCACGACTTGTGGCCAAGGGTTTCCGCCAAAAGTATGGCATCGACTACACGGAGACGTTTTCGCCTGTGGTCAAGTATGTGACGCTGCGAATGGTGATCGCAATTTCCAAGCATTTTGGATGGCCCATCGACCAGCTTGATGTGGTGACAGCTTTCCTGTATGGCGTCATGAAGGAACAAGTGTTCTGCGTGATTCCTGAAGGCGTCGAACTTGACAGTACGTTCGACTGCCTGGAATTGGTGAAGTCAATTTACGGCCTCAAGCAAGCGTCGCGAGTGTGGAACGAGACGTTCGACGAGTATGTGTGCTCCATCGGATTTCAAGTATCGGACTTCGACCCATGTCTCTACATCAAGACTTCGGACGGCCATTGCGTGTTTATACTGGTCTACGTGGACGACGTCTTGGTGACTGGAAGCTCGCTCGAGCTGATTGCACAAACCAAGAACGACCTGAAGACGCGGTTCGAAATGACGGACAGCGGCAAGTGTGCGTTTGTTCTTGGGATCGAGCTTTTGGACGGTGAAGATGGCAGTGTGACACTATGTCAGCGTCGGTATGTCGATGATATCCTCAAGCGCTTTGGCATGGATGATTGCAAGGCAGTCGCAAGTCCAGTCGACATGAGCTCTCGACTTGTTTCAAGTGATGCAACTACCAAGGTCGATGCTCCTTTTCGCGAAGCTGTTGGTGCGTTGATGCACCTGACCACTGCAACGCGTCCGGACATTGCGTTTGCTGTGGGCTATGTGTCGCGGTTCATGGAAAATCCCCAAGAAGAACACTGGGTTGCAGTTAAGCGTATCTTTCGCTACCTACAAGGCACCAAGACGCATGGAATTTGCTACAAGCCAAGTGCAAGGATCGACTTCCGTGGATATTCGGATGCGGATTGGGCTGGTGATCTTACCGACCGCAAGTCAACATCGGGGTACACGTTCATGCTACTCGGTGCGCCAGTCAGTTGGGGCAGCAAGAAGCAGCCAAGTGTTTCGTTGTCCACGAGTGAAGCCGAATACATCGCACTCAGCTTGGCGATTCAAGAGGGCAAGTGGATTCATCGTCTGCTTTGTGAGATCGTGATGGCTGCCAATGAAGAAGGACCGGAACTCATGATCCATGAAGACAATCAGTCGTGTATCAAGATGACGAAGAACCCAGTCAACCACGGCCGTGCCAAGCACATTGATATCAAGTACCATCACATCCGTGATGAGGTCAAGCGCGGTGAAGTGAAGCTCAAGTACTGTGAAACTGCGGTGATGTTAGCGGACATCATGACGAAGGGACTTCACGGGCCACGCCACAAGGAGATGACGGCGACTCTCGGGATTCGTGAGCATTCGGATTGAGGGGGCGTGTTGACGGTCATCGGTTTTCTACCAGTATTGGTAACCGTGACCGATCCAATCCGTGTTGAAAAGACAGCGGCTGTGAAGAAGACACCTCGTCAAGCTGCGTCAAGTGTTGAAGCAAGTGGAAGACCAAGCTTCGCTATACCGGTGGGTACCGGTATGTACCAGTAAGGGCGAAGTCAGGAAATGACGTCACTGGATGACGTCATTGCATGACGTCAGTGGGTGACGTCAGTGGGTGACGTCACTGGATGACGTCACTGCGAATAATAGGCTTAGAGGTAGTATTCAAAGTTGCGAACTAAGTACCTATTATAAATATATATTCACTTTGCGTTTTGCACTCGGACCAAGAAGTCTAAAGTTCATCAGGTTATGAGCCCAAGTTCGTCAGACTCTGAAACCGCCAACAATTCAAGCTTAGCTGCCATGGACGCCTCCTCCCTCCGCATCTCCAAGTTCGACGGGACCAACTTCCACGCATGGATGTTCAAGATGCAGATGGTGCTCGAAGTACGGGACCTGTGGGAGGTCGTCAGTGGTGAGGTCAAGGCGGAGCAGTGCGAGACTCAGTTGGACCAAGCGACGTACAAGAGGAAGTCAAAAAAGGCGATGGCAGTGATCTGTCTAGCCATGGAAGATTCCCAGCTACCGTTGGTCCGGTCGGCAAGTGGTGCATGCGACGCATGGTCAAGGTTGGAAGACCACTTCGAGAAGAAGAGTCTTGCCAACAAGCTGTTCTTGCGCCGTCGCTTCTTCACGACAATGATGGAAGAAGGCGACGATGTGCTCGAACACATCAACAAGCTCAAGACGCTGGCGGAACAGCTAGAAGCGGTGGGGGCTCCAGTCTGCGAGGACGATCTGGTGATCACACTCCTCGGCAGCCTGAGTGACTCGTATCAATTCTTGATCACAGCTTTGGAGTCGCGCTCAGACACTCTTAGCTGGGAGCTCGTGACGTCTCGACTGCTTCATGAAGAAATGAAGCGGAAGGAGCAAGGAAGTAAAGGTGATGAAGCTTCGCAAGGTCAAGCGTTCATCACAAGGGACAATCAGCGCAAAGGGCGACCAGTGAAGAAGTCCTGGCCGTGCCACAATTGCGGAAAGATTGGTCACTGGATGGCGGAGTGCCCCTCGCGCATCCAAGAAAACACGGAGAGACACCGGCCACAGCGTGCTCAAGACAGCGGCGACCGCTATCGATCACAACGTGCAAACGTCGCTCAAGAAGAAGACTCGGGCGACTACCTCTTTTCGATCGGTGAAACGACATCTGCGAAATCGAGCGACATCTGGCTGGTCGACTCCGGGGCGACGCAGCACATGACGTGCTCCAAGAAGTTCATGCGGAACTACAAGGGGTTTGACGCTGTGGATGTCCATCTCGCGGATGATGGAATCGTCCAAGCAATCGGCAGTGGGGACATTGTCATGTCGATGAAGACACCCCAAGGGATGAAGAAAGGTGTGCTCACAAACGTGTGGCACATCCCAAAGTTATCCAGAAACCTGTTCTCGGTCGGCCGCTTCACCAAGGATGTCGGCCCAGTGACGTTCACGAAGGATGGGTGCTATGGAGAAGCGAAAGGGACCAAGTGGAAAATTGGTGCCCGTGAAGGTAAAGGACTGTTCAAGCTGCAAATGACTCCAGTGGCGCCGGAACAAGCAAATGCAGCCAAGTCGTCGGGATGTCAAGGGGGCACCAAGTCGTACCTCTGGCACCTTCGGCTTGGCCACATAGGTCACGATGGACTCAATTGCATCGTGACGAAGAACATTGGAATTGGCATCGACATATCTTCGGTGAAGAAGTGGGACGTGTGTGAAGGTTGTGCTCTGGGAAAACAGACTCGAGTGCGCTTCCAATCAAACACTACAGCTCGCACCTCCAAACTCCTCGAAGTGATTCACAGCGACGTATGCGGACCGATGTCGATGGCAACTTTCAGTGGAAAACGGTACTTCGTGACATTCATTGATGACAAGTCAAGATACTGTGTCGTCTATCTGCTCAAGAGCAAATCTGAAGTTGCGGCGAAGTTCATGGAATACGCTGCGATGGCCGAAACGCAAACCGGAAAGCGCGTGAAGTACCTTCAAAGCGACAATGGGGGTGAATACAAGTCCGACAAGCTGGCACGATTCTGCGCGGAACGGGGAATACAACAAAGGTTCACACCCCCATATACTCCTCAGCTAAACGGAGTAGCTGAGAGAATGAATCGCACGCTGGTCGAGTGTGCGCGTTGCATGATGGAACACGCTGGACTGGGAAAGAGCTACTGGGGTGAAGCAGTGATGACGGCGATGTTTCTTCGAAACCGCTGTCCAACACGTGCCATTCACCAAGACAAGTCTCCATATCAAGTGTGGACGATGAAGAAACCGATTCTGGCCAACCTTAAAGTGTTTGGATGCCACGCGTATGTTCAAGTGCCTCAAGACAAACGCGCGAAGTTCGACTCCAAGTCATCACTCTGTCGTTTCCTGGGATACGCCGAACACCAGAAGTCATATCGATTTGAGGAAGTGTCAACAGGAGCGATCAAGATCAGTCGCGATGCCACATTCATGGAAGACAAGTTTGATGAAGGTCCGCGCAACTACAACGATGAGTCAAGTGTCGTTGAGTTTGATGATCATGATGAGGACGAAGAAAAAGAAGAAGGTAAAACTGACGACGACATGGACTCGAGCGACGATGACAACGAAGACACCAGGTCTTCGAAGAGCAACATCAAGAGACACACGCGCACTCAATCACTTGAGAAAGCTACCGTCATTCCAAGTCCCAAGCGAAGAACATACAGAGGTCCGTCGCTTGAGCATGTGTCAGCGGCTGCAATGGATTTTGAAGCAGCCTACATCGTTGATTCAGTGGGGGAAACGCCGACTACATTCAAGTCGGCGATGGAATCAAGCGACTCCGGCAAGTGGAAAGAAGCGTGTGACTCGGAGTTCGATTCGCTTCAGAGAAACGACACGTGGGAAATCGTGCCTCTTCCGAAAGGTCGCAAGGCCATCGGGTGCCGATGGGTTTTTCGTGTAAAGGAGAATCAAGATGGCGAAGTTGAACGTTTCAAGGCAAGACTTGTGGCCAAAGGATTCTCACAGAAATTCGGAGTTGACTATGAAGAAACTTTCGCACCGGTGGCCAAGTTCACATCGATTCGTGTGGTGCTCAGTATGGCGGCTAAGTACGGCCTAATGCTACATCAGATGGACGTCAAGACAGCGTTTCTTAACGGCTCCCTCAACGAAGACATCTACATGGACCAGCCGGACGGATACCTGGATGCAACACAGCCGGACTATGTGTGCAAGCTAAAGAGATCACTCTACGGCTTGAAGCAATCGCCTCGCATGTGGAACCAAACAATCGATGGGTTCATGATCAAGATGGGATTCAAGAAGTGCGAATCGGACCACTGCATCTACATCAAGCGAGACGACCAAGACATGATTCTCGTGGTGCTCTACGTCGATGATCTCATCCTGGCCAGCAGCAACAACGAACTCCTCAAGTCAACCAAGATGGCGCTGAGCAAACGCTTCGAAATGACGGATCTCGGTGAGCTCGATTACTTTCTCGGCATGGAGATCAAGAACGACCGTAAGACGGGAATGGTGACTGTACAACAAACCAAGTTTCTCAAGTCCGTGTTAACCAAGTTCGGAATGGATAACAGCAAGCCAGTGAAGACGCCTCAAGATCCCGGCCTGAAGCTAACCAAGAACATGTGTGAACAAGAATGCAAGCACGAAGACACCATGTGCAACGTGCCATATCGAAGTGCTGTCGGAGGCATCATGTATCTCATGGTCGCCACACGTCCGGATCTAGCTGCTGCAGTGGGATCATTATCCCAGTTCTCGTCCGACCCATGCCCGACTCACTGGCAAGCTTTGAAGCGTGTGCTGAGATACCTGCAAGCAACGCCCAATCATGGTCTTGAGTTTACACGTGAAGAAGGAAGCCGTATCTGCGGGTACACCGACGCAGACTGGGCCGGCGACATTGAGTCAAGACGAAGTACAAGCGGCTATGTGTTCATGATGAGCGGAGGATGCATCAGCTGGAAAAGCCAGAAACAACGGACGGTCGCGCTATCTTCAACAGAAGCAGAATACATGGCGCTTTCCGAAGCAACCAAAGAAGCAGTATGGCTCAAAGTGCTTTTGGGGGAACTTGGTGAGATGACAAGCGACGAAGCGATCAAGATGTATGAAGACAACCAAGGATCAATCGCTCTCGCCAAGAACCCGGAGTTCCATAAGAGAACAAAACACATCGACATACGCTACCATTTTGTGCGTGAGAAGGTGGAATCAGGTGAAGTCGTTTTGGAGTATTGCCCGACTCAAGATATGCTGGCAGACATGATGACCAAGCCGATCGCCGCTGTACAATTTGAAAACATTCGCGATCGACTTGGGATCCAAGGTGCCGCAGCTAACGAGTCGAGAGGGAGTGTTGAAAAGACAGCGGCTGTGAAGAAGACACCTCGTCAAGCTGCGTCAAGTGTTGAAGCAAGTGGAAGACCAAGCTTCGCTATACCGGTGGGTACCGGTATGTACCAGTAAGGGCGAAGTCAGGAAATGACGTCACTGGATGACGTCATTGCATGACGTCAGTGGGTGACGTCAGTGGGTGACGTCACTGGATGACGTCACTGCAAATAATAGGCTTAGAGGTAGCATTCAAAGTTGCGAACTAAGTACCTATTATAAATATATATTCACTTTGCGTTTTGCACTCGGACCAAGAAGTCTAAAGTTCATCAATCCGAACCGCCTGTTCAGCTTAGTATTTACGACGTAGTTCTTACGGTAATTACCATAGTTGATTAGACGCGTAGGATGATGAGACGCTTCACATGATTTATATGTACACCACATATAAATCATGTAGTAAGTAGTAAGCCCCGATAATCAATCACTTTCGAATCTTCCAACTATTGGGCAAGTGTTTTCTGCTCTACTCTCTTCGGTCTCTCCGCTCCGTTCGCTCCGCTTTCCTCGCTCCGGTCTACAATGCAACAGATGGAGCACACATACTCGTCGAACGTCTCGTTCCACACTCGCGACGCTTGCTTGAGGCCGTAAATTGACTTCACCAATTCCAGGCAGTCGAACGTACTGTCAAGTTCGACGCCTTCAGGAATCACGCAGAACACTTGTTCCTTCATGACGCCATACAGGAAAGCTGTCACCACATCAAGCTGGTCGATGGGCCATCCAAAATGTTGAAAAGACAGCGGCGGTGAAGAAGACACCTCGTCAAGCTGCGTCAAGTGTTAAATCAAGTGGAAGACCAAGCTTCGCTATACCGGTGGGTACCGGTATGTACTGTTGTAACTTGAGCGCGAGGCGAAGATAAAACGAAGCGGAGAGGCCGGAGAGAACGAAGCAGAGAACACTTGCTCACTTGAGGGAGGATTCGAAAGTGATTGATTTATAGGTCTTAACTTCTGCCTACCCTAGACTGCATCCAATCACATGGTGCATCTAATCAACCTGATTTACACGCGTCCAATCATCCTACGCGTCTAATCATCTCTGAGGTAATTACCGATGTAAAAACTATCTCGTAAGAACTACGCGCTAGGTTCGGATTGTACCGGTAACCCTCAATACGCCCCCTCAATCCGAACACGCACGGATGCCAAGCGCCGCCGTCAAGTCCTTGTGACGCGGTCCGTGAAGTCCCTTCGTCATGATGTCCGCCAACATCAACGTCGTCTCGCAGTATTCAAGCTTCACTTCGCCGCGCTTGACTTCATCACGGATGTGATGGTACTTGATGTCGATGTGTTTAGCGCGGCCGTGGTTGACCGGATTCTTCGTCATCTTGATGCACGACTGGTTGTCTTCACGGATGACGAGCTCGGGTCCTTCTTCGTTTGCAGCCGCCATGATCTCGCACAGCAAGCGATTGATCCACTTGCCTTCTTGGATCGCCAGGCTGAGCGCGATGTACTCCGCTTCGCTTGTAGACAGTGACACACTTGGCTGTTTCTTGCTGCCCCAACTCACCGGAGCACCCAATAGCATGAAGACGTAGCCGGACGTCGATTTGCGATCAGCAAGGTCACCGGCCCAGTCTGCATCTGAATAGCCACGAAAGTCGATCTTCGCACTTGGCTTGTAGCAGATTCCATGCATCTTGGTGCCTTGTAGGTAGCGGAAGATGCGCTTGACTGCAACCCAGTGTTCTTCTTGGGGTTTCTCCATGAACCGTGACACAAAGCTTACAGCATAGGCGATGTCCGGTCGCGTTGCAGTCGTCAGATGCATCAAAGCACCCACTGCTTCACGGAATGGGACATCCACCTTGCTTGCAGAGTTGCTTGGAACCAGTCGAGAGCTGACGTCCACCGGACTTGCCACAGCCTTGCACTCATCCATTCCAAAGCGCTTGAGGACATCGTCGACATAACGGCGCTGACACATAGTCACGCTGCCATCTTCACCGTCCAATAACTCGATCCCAAGAACAAAGGCACACTTGCCGCTGTCCGTCATCTCGAAGCGTGTCTTGAGGTCGTTCTTGGTGCGCGCAATCATCTCGAGCGAGCTTCCAGTCACCAAGACATCGTCCACGTAGACCAGCACAAAAACACAATGGCCTTCCGAAGTCATGATGTAGAGACATGGATCGAATCCCGACGCTTGAAAACCAATCGAGCGTATGAACTCGTCGAAGGTCTCGTTCCAAACACGCGAGGCTTGCTTGAGACCGTAGATCGCCTTGATCAGCTCGAGACAGTCGAAATCACCTTCCATCTTGACGCCTTCCGGAACAGCGCAGAACACCTTCTCCTTCATCACTCCATACAGGAACGCAGTCACCACATCGAGCTGGTCGAGGGGCCATCCAAAGTGCTTGGTAATGGCGATGACCATTCGCAGCGTCACATACTTGACCACGGGCGAGAACGTCTCCGTGTAGTCGATGCCATACTTTTTGGCGAAAACCCTTGGCCACAAGTCGTGCCTTGTATTTCTCGATCGACCCATCCGCCTTGCGCTTGATCTTGAAGACCCACTTTGTGCCAATGGCGCTTTGTCCGTTGGGTAACTTGGCCGCACGAAAGACACCGCGAAGCTTCATCGAATCGAGCTCCGCATCAATTGCCTTGCGCCAGTGTACTTGGTCCGGGCCAGACACTGCTTCTTCAAATGTCGACGGCTCCGAAAAATCGACCGCTGCTTCGACGGCGTTTGCACTCGCATGCCAAAACGCGGAGGAAGTCGGTGTGTCATGTTGTTCCTCCGACTTCCTTTCTTCATCTTCGTTGGCTCGACGTGAAGAGAGGTCATCCGGCGCACTTGACTCTTCCAATCCGGGTCGTTGGCGCACTGCTCGGGGCATGCTTGCGTCGTCATTGTCGTGACTGGGTTGGGCCTTGCGCTTTCCTGTTTGTTTGAAGTGTCTCGGACGCGGTTCTTCATCATCAAGATCGATCGATTCGAAGTCCAGGCCATCAACATCGTCATCGGAAATCAGCATCGACATTCCAAAGGCCGACTCATCGAAGTTGACATCGCGACTTATCATCACCTGCCCCGCTTCGATGTCGTAAACTCGATACGCCTTGGACACTTCTTCGTAGCCCAAAAACAATCCAGCCCGGGCCTTGGGATCCCACTTGAGTCGTTTCTCCTTCGGGGTCAAGATGTATGCTTGGCACCCAAAAACGCGCATGTGCTTGACACTTGGCTTAGAATTGTAGACAATCTCGAACGGTGTCTTGTGTGGAATCTTGGGTGACGGCAAACGGTTCTTCACATAGACGGCCGTCATTGCCGCTTCAGCCCAGAAGCACTTGTCCAACTTGGCATGATGGAGCATGCTACGACCGATGGTGACGATAGTTCGAATCGCGCGTTCAGCAGTTCCATTGGCTTGATGTGCGTATGGCACCGTGGTTTGTTGCTCGATGCCTTCGACTTCGTAGAAATCTTGAAGCGAGTTCGTCGCAAACTCGCGGGCTCCATCGTGTCGCACAAATTTGACCTTCTTGTTGAACTGCGTCTGTATCATCGTGATGTACTTCTTGATGCACTCTTCGCTCTCTGACTTGGAATGCAGACAAAAAACCCTTCATGCATCCGCTGGCTTCATCCACGATCAGCAGCAGATACTTGCTGCCACCCAGAGATTTTTCTTCCATGGGTCCGCAGATGTCGAAGTGGAGCATCTCGAAGGTGTTGTAGGTGCGCTTGTCACGGTTGCTCGGGAATGGTTTTTGGACCATCTTCCCTTCTTGGCATCCTCGACACACACTTGATCCATTCGGCTTGGAAGGGATGTGAGCGTCCTTGATCATGTGGCTTGTCACCATCCTGCGAAGCACGTCGACTGGAGCATGGCCCATTCGCGCATGTAGATCAACAGCGTTGCTGAGTGATGTCGCATTGGCCGATCGCTGCGTCGTGCGAAGCCAGTAGAGTCCGTCTACAAGATCCGCAGCTGCCACCACTTGATTGGAATCCTTGCGAGCGACGTACATCGTATCCCCGTCAAACACCACTTGGAAGTTGCCGTGCTTGTTAATCTGCGGCACCGAGAGCAGATTTTTGCTCATGCTGGGCACATAGAGCGCGTTCTTGATCTCGATCTCGCGCTCTTCCCCGTTTGGCAGAATCACCTTTTCCACGATGGTCCCCACACCTTTGATGGCCGCCTTGTTGCCATCAGCCACCAGGATCTCGCCATCATTGCCTTCGACCAAGCTTGCAAACTTGAACTTGTCGTGGCAGATGTGATGTGTTGCCCCGCTGTCAACGGCCCACATTCCTGGTCCATTCTTGTTCGTCGAAACTCCGCATTCGAACGAAACTGCAAACGCCACTCGATCGTAGCTGTTGCCTTCATCATAATGTCGCCACTGGACATTGTTTGCCCCGCGTCCACGACCATTGCCGCCGCGTTGGGCTCCTCGACTTTCATCCTTTTGCTTCGTCCAGCAACGCTCTGCCGTGTGCCCCACCTTGCCGCAGTATGTGCATTGGTAGGGCTTGCGCTCGGTACTGAATGCCTTTGTCGCATCTTCAGTCTTCACCGTTGTCGTTGCCGTTGTCATCTTCTCGCCTTGTCGCTTGATGTGCTCGTTAGTCAGCACCTTGACCACATCTTGCGTGCGCAGCTCTGCATTGCTCATCTCCAAGTTCAGAACCACGTTCTCGAAACTCTTCGGGAGACTGAGCAGCAAGCAGATCGCAATGTCTTCGTCTTCCATCTTGGCACCGATGCTGCTGAGCTTGGCGCCGATGTTCAAGACTTCGTTGCAATGGTGCAAGACGTTGGCACCTTCCGCCATCTTGATGCTGAACAGCTGGCGCTTGAGGTAGATGCGTCCCGCCTTCTGCGACCCACCATAGAGCATCTTCAACCGCGACCACGCTGTCCATGCTTCTTCACAGTTGTCGACCACATGGTGGTAGTCGGCGTCCATGTGGAGCAACATCAACCCGAACGCGATGTTGCTCGCCTTGACGTACTCGTCGGAAGCTCGCGTAAGTCGGTGAAGGTTGGAGACGTTTCGCGGTTCACGACGTACCAGACTGACTTCGTCAGAAACACGCCGCGCATGTAGCGACACCAGGTTGAGTAGTTGTCCCCATCGAACTTATCGATGGAGACACTGGCCGAGGTGTTGTTGGACGACATGGCGCTTGGGCTCATAACCTGTTGTAACTTGAGCGCGAGGCGAAGAGAAAACGAAGCGGAGAGGCCGGAGAGAACGAAGCAGAGAACACTTGCTCACTTGAGGGAGGATTCGAAAGTGATTGATTTATAGGTCTTAACTTCTGCCTACCCTAGACTGCATCCAATCACATGGTGCATCTAATCAACCTGATTTACACGCGTCCAATCATCCTACGCGTCTAATCATCTCTGAGGTAATTACCGATGTAAAAACTATCTCGTAAGAACTACGCGCTAGGTTCGGATTGTACCGGTAACCCTCAATATGTACCAGTAAGGGCGAAGTCAGGAAATGACGTCATTGCATGACGTTACTGCGAATAATAGGCTTAGAGGTAGTATTCAAAGTTGCGAACTAAGTACCTATTATAAATATATATTCACTTTGCGTTTTGCACTCGGACCAAGAAGTCTAAAGTTCATCAGGTTATGAGCCCAAGTTCGTCAGACTCTGAAACCGCCAACAATTCAAGCTTAGCTGCCATGAACGCCTCCTCCCTCCGCATCTCCAAGTTCGATGGAACTAACTTCCACGCCTGGAAGTTCAAGATGCAGATGGTGCTGGAGGAACGGGACCTATGGGAGGTCGTCAGCGGTGAGATCAAGGCGGAACAGTGCGAGACTCAGTTGGACCAAGCGACGTACAAGAGGAAGTCAAGAAAGGCGATGGCAGTGATCTGTCTAGCCATGGAAGATTCCCAGCTACCGTTGGTCCGGTCGGCAAGTGGTGCATGCGACGCATGGTCAAGGTTGGAAGACCACTTCGAGAAGAAGAGTCTTGCCAACAAGCTGTTCTTGCGCCGTCGCTTCTTCACGACAATGATGGAAGAAGGCGACGATGTGCTCAAACACATCAACAAGCTCAAGACGCTGGCGGAACAGCTAGAAGCGGTGGGGGCTCCAGTCTGCGAGGACGATCTGGTGATCACACTTCTCGGCAGCCTGAGTGACTCGTATCAATTCTTGATCACAGCTTTGGAGTCGCGCTCAGACACTCTTAGCTGGGAGCTCGTGACGTCTCGACTGCTTCATGAAGAAATGAAGCGGAAGGAGCAAGGAAGTAAAGGTGATGAAGCTTCGCAAGGTCAAGCGTTCAGCACAAGGGACAATCAGCGCAAAGGGCGACCAGTGAAGAAGTCCTGGCCGTGCCACAATTGCGGAAAGATTGGTCACTGGATGGCGGAGTGCCCCTCGCGCATCCAAGAAAACACGGAGAGACACCGGCCACAGCGTGCTCAAGACAGCGGCGACCGCTATCGATCACAACGTGCAAACGTCGCTCAAGAAGAAGACTCGGGCGACTACCTCTTTTCGATCGGTGAAACGACATCTGCGAAATCGAGCGACATCTGGCTGGTCGACTCCGGGGCGACGCAGCACATGACGTGCTCCAAGAAGTTCATGCGGAACTACAAGGGGTTTGACGCTGTGGATGTCCATCTCGCGGATGATGGAATCGTCCAAGCAATCGGCAGTGGGGACATTGTCATGTCGATGAAGACACCCCAAGGGATGAAGAAAGGTGTGCTCACAAACGTGTGGCACATCCCAAAGTTATCCAGAAACCTGTTCTCGGTCGGCCGCTTCACCAAGGATGTCGGCCCAGTGACGTTCACGAAGGATGGGTGCTATGGAAAAGCGAAAGGGACCAAGTGGAAAATTGGTGCCCGTGAAGGTAAAGGACTGTTCAAGCTGCAAATGACTCCAGTGGCGCCGGAACAAGCAAATGCAGCCAAGTCGTCGGGATGTCAAGGGGGCACCAAGTCGTACCTCTGGCACCTTCGGCTTGGCCACATAGGTCACGATGGACTCAATTGCATCGTGACGAAGAACATTGGAATTGGCATCGGCATATCTTCGGTGAAGAAGTGGGACGTGTGTGAAGGTTGTGCTCTGGGAAAACAGACTCGAGTGCGCTTCCAATCAAACACTACAGCTCGCACCTCCAAACTCCTCGAAGTGATTCACAGCGACGTATGCGGACCGATGTCGATGGCAACTTTCAGTGGAAAACGGTACTTCGTGACATTCATCGATGACAAGTCAAGATACTGTGTCGTCTATCTGCTCAAGAGCAAATCTGAAGTTGCGGCGAAGTTCATGGAATACGCTGCGATGGCCGAAACGCAAACCGGAAAGCGCGTGAAGTACCTTCAAAGCGACAATGGGGGTGAATACAAGTCCGACAAGCTGGCACGATTCTGCGCGGAACGGGGAATACAACAAAGGTTCACACCCCCATATACTCCTCAGCTAAACGGAGTAGCTGAGAGAATGAATCGCACGCTGGTCGAGTGTGCGCGTTGCATGATGGAACACGCTGGACTGGGAAAGAGCTACTGGGGTGAAGCAGTGATGACGGCGATGTTTTTTCGAAACCGCTGTCCAACACGTGCCATTCACCAAGACAAGTCTCCATATCAAGTGTGGACGATGAAGAAACCGATTCTGGCCAACCTTAAAGTGTTTGGATGCCACGCGTATGTTCAAGTGCCTCAAGACAAACGCGCGAAGTTCGACTCCAAGTCATCACTCTGTCGTTTCCTGGGATACGCCGAACACCAGAAGTCATATCGATTTGAGGAAGTGTCAATAGGAGCGATCAAGATCAGTCGCGATGCCACATTCATGGAAGACAAGTTTGATGAAGGTCCGCGCAACTACAACGATGAGTCAAGTGCCGTTGAGTTTGATGATCAAGACGAGGACGAAGAAAAAGAAGAAGGTAAAACTGACGACGAAATGGACTCGAGCGACGATGACAACGAAGACACCAGGTCTTCGAAGAGCAACATCAAGAGACACACGCGCACTCAATCACTTGAGAAAGCTACCGTCATTCCAAGTCCCAAGCGAAGAACGTACAGAGGTCCGTCGCTTGAGCATGTGTCAGCGGCTGCAATGGATTTTGAAGCAGCCTACATCGTTGATTCAGTGGGGGAAACGCCGACTACATTCAAGTCGGCGATGGAATCAAGCGACTCCGGCAAGTGGAAAGAAGCGTGTGACTCGGAGTTCGACTCGCTTCAGAGAAACGACACGTGGGAAATCGTGCCTCTTCCGAAAGGTCGCAAGGCCATCGGGTGCCGATGGGTTTTTCGTGTAAAGGAGAATCAAGATGGCGAAGTTGAACGTTTCAAGGCAAGACTTGTGGCCAAAGGATTCTCACAGAAATTCGGAGTTGACTATGAAGAAACTTTCGCACCGGTGGCCAAGTTCACATCGATTCTCGTGGTGCTCTACGTCGATGATCTCATCCTGGCCAGCAGCAACAACGAACTCCTCAAGTCGACCAAGATGGCGCTAAGCAAACGCTTCGAAATGACGGATCTCGGTGAGCTCGATTACTTTCTCGGCATGGAGATCAAGAACGACCGTAAGACGGGAATGGTGACTGTGCAACAAACCAAGTTTCTCAAGTCCGTGTTGACCAAGTTCGGAATGAATAACAGCAAGCCAGTGAAGACGCCTCAAGATCCCGGCCTGAGGCTAACCAAGAACATGTGTGAACAAGAATGCAAGCACGAAGACACCATGTGCAACGTGCCATATCGAAGTGCTGTCGGAGGCATCATGTATCTCATGGTCGCCACACGTCCGGATCTAGCTGCTGCAGTGGGATCATTATCCCAGTTCTCGTCCGACCCATGCCCGACTCACTGGCAAGCTTTGAAGCGTGTGCTGAGATACCTGCAAGCAACGCCCAATCATGGTCTTGAGTTTACACGTGAAGAAGGAAGCCGTATCTGCGGGTACACCGACGCAGACTGGGCCGGCGACATTGAGTCAAGACGAAGTACAAGCGGCTATGTGTTCATGATGAACGGAGGATGCATCAGCTGGAAAAGCCAGAAACAACGGACGGTCGCGCTATCTTCAACAGAAGCAGAATACATGGCGCTTTCCGAAGCAACCAAAGAAGCAGTGTAGCTCAAAGTGCTTTTGGGGGAACTTGGTGAGATGACAAGCGACGAAGCGATCAAGATGTATGAAGACAACCAAGGATCAATCGCTCTCGCCAAGAACCCGGAGTTCCATAAGAGAACAAAACACATCGACATACGCTACCATTTTGTGCGTGAGAAGGTGGAATCAGGTGAAGTCGTTTTGGAGTATTGCTCGACTCAAGATATGCTGGCAGACATGATGACCAAGCCGATCGCCGCTGTACAATTTGAAAACATTCGCGATCGACTTGGGATCCAAGGTGCCGCAGCTAACGAGTCGAGAGGGAGTGTTGAAAAGACAGCGGCGGTGAAGAAGACACCTCGTCAAGCTGCGTCAAGTGTTGAAGCAAGTGGAAGACCAAGCTTCGCTATACCGGTGGGTACCGGTATGTACCAGTAAGGGCGAAGTCAGGAAATGACGTCATTGCATGACGTCACTGCGAATAATAGGCTTAGAGGTAGTATTCAAAGTTGCGAACTAAGTACCTATTATAAATATATATTCACTTTGCGTTTTGCACTCGGACCAAGAAGTCTAAAGTTCATCACAAAATGCTTGGAAATTGCGATCACCATTCGCAGCGTCACATACTTGACCACAGGCGAAAACGTCTCCGTGTAGTCGATGCCATACTTTTGGCGGAAACCCTTGGCCACAAGTCGTGCCTTGTACTTCTCGATTGACCCATCCGCCTTGCGCTTGATCTTGAACACCCATTTTGTGCCAATGGCGCGTTGTCCGTTGGGCAGCTTGGCTGCACGAAACACACCGCGAAGTCGCATTGACTCGAGCTCTGCATGAATTGCTTTTCTCCAGTGCACTTGGTCAGGGCCGCTTACTGCTGCTTCAAATGTTGAGGGTTCTAATAAGTCCACTGCTGCTTCAACGGCATTTGCACTCGCACGCCAAAACACAGGCGGTGTTGAATCACCAGAATCCTTCGTTTCTTCGTCTTCTTCTTGTCGTGACGAGTTGTTTTCCGGCGCGCTTGACTCTTCTAGTCCTGGTCGTTGACGCACTGCACGCGGTCGTGGAGCTGCTGTATCTTCATCATTGAGTCGGTTCTTGCGCTTGCCTGTTTGCTTGTACTCCATTTGACGCAGCTCTTCGTCATCAAGATCCAGCAATTCGAAGTCCAGGTCATCGACATCTTCATCAGTGATCGGCAGTTGAAGTCCAAAGGTGGACTCGTCGAAGTTGACATTGTGACTGACAACAACCTACCCCGCCTCAATGTCAAATACACGATATGCCTTGGACACTTCTTCGTAGCCCACGAATATGCCAGCGCGAGCCTTTGGATCCCACTTGAGTCGATTCCTCTTTAGGCGTCAGTATGTATGTCTGACACCCGAATGTTCGCATGTGCTTGACGCTTGGTTTCAAGTTGTAGACGATCTCAAACGGGGTCTTGTGCACGACTTTAGGTGACGGCAGTCGATTCTTGACGTAGATGGCCGTCATCGCTGCTTCGGCCCAGAAACACTTGTCCAGTTTGGCATGATGAAGCATGCTGCGGCCGATCGTGACAATAGTCCTAATGGCACGCTCTGCTGTTCCGTTTGTTTGATGTGCATACGGCACCGTTGTCTGCTGTTCAATGCCTTCGTCTTCGTAGAACAGTTGAAGCGAGTTGGTTGCAAACTCGCGAGCTCCGTCGTGTCGCACGAACTTGACCTTCTTACAGAATTGCGTCTGTACCATGGTGATATATTTCCGGATGTAGTCTTCACTCTCGGACTTCACTCGTAGACAAAAGCCCTTCATGCATCCACTGGCTTCGTCGATGATCAGCAGCAAATATTTGCTGCCACCGAGCGAATCCTTTTCCATGGGCCCGCAGATGTCCAGATGAAGTAGCTCAAACGTATCGTAGCTGCGCTTGTCTCGGTTGCTTGGAAATGGTTTTTGGACCATTTTCCCTTGTTGACATCCTCGACATGTAGTTGCTCCACCCGACTTGAGAGGGACTCGCACATCCTTGATCATGTTGGTCGCGATCATCTTGCGAAGTACATCGACTGGAGCATGACCCATTCTCGCATGTAGATCGGCACAACTGGTTCCACTTGTTGTCACATTCGCTGATCGTTGAGTCGTCCGAAGCCAGTAGAGTCCATCCACGAGATCCGCTGTCGCCACCACTTGCTGTGAGTTCTTGAGAGTCACATACATCTTGGACCCGTCAAACACGACTTGAAACTTGCCATGGCTGTTAATCTGTGGCACCGAGAGCAGGTTCTTGCTCATACTTGGAACATATAGCGCGTTCTTGATTTCGATCTCACGCTCTTCACCGTTGGGCAGAACCACCTTTTCCATGATGGTTCCCACACCCTTGATGGCCACCTTGTTGCCATCAGCCACCAAGAGTTCGCCCTCATTGCGCTCTGCCAAACTTGCGAACTTGGTCTTGTCGTGGCAAATGTGGTGCGTTGCACCACTGTCGACGGCCCACATTCCAGACACGTCCTTGCTCGTCAAAACTCCACATTCGAACGAGACTGCAAACGCCACTCGATCGTAGCCATTGCCTTCATCATGATGTCCCCACTGGACATTGTTAGCCCCTGTTGAATGGTGAAAAGCTTGACGACCGAAACTGGGAGTGATGCTGGGAGTCTACTCGGAAGACCGGAGAAGACACTTGGGGGGTAGATGGAAGATTGGAAAGTGATTGATTATCGGGGCTTACTACTTACTACATGATTTATATGTGGTGCACATATAAATCATGTGAAGCGTCTCATCATCCTACGCGTCTAATCAACTATGGTAATTACCGTAAGAACTACGTCATAAATACTAAGCTGAACAGGCGGTTCGGATTGGACCGGTCACGGTTACCAATACTGGTAGAAAACCGATGACCGTCAACACGCCCCCTCAATCCGAACTCGCACGAATGCCGAGAGCCGTCGTCAAGTCCTTGTGACGAGGTCCCGAAAGTCCCTTGGTCATGATGTCCGCCATCATCACGGAAGTCTCGCAATACTCGAGCTTCACTTCACCGCGCTTGACCTCATCACGGATGTGATGGTACTTGATGTCGATGTGCTTGGCGCGGCCATGATTCACCGGATTCTTCGTCATCTTGATGCACGACTGGTTGTCTTCACGGATGACGAGGTCCGGTCCTGGTTCGTTTGCGGCCGCCAAAATCTCGCATAGCAGGCGATGCACCCACTTGCCTTCCTGGATGGCCAGACTCAGTGCGATGTATTCCGCTTCACTCGTCGACAGCGACACACTTGACTGCTTCTTGCTTCCCCCAACTCACAGGAGCACCCATCAGCATGAAAGTGTAACCCGAAGTCGACTTGCGATCAGCGTGGTCGCCGGCCCAGTCCGCGTCCGAGTAGCCACGAAAGTCGATCTTGTCGCTTGGCTGGAAGCGGAGTCCGTGCGACTTGGTCCCTTGCAAGTAACGAAAGATGCGCTTCACCGCCGTCCAATGTTCTTGCTGCGGATTCTCCATGAAGCGCGAGACGTACCCCCACAGCATACGCAATGTCCGGGCGCGTCGCAGTCGTCAAGTGCATCAAAGCTCCCACAGCTTCACGAAACGGAACGTCGATCTTGGCCGCTTCGGTGCTTGCGACAAGCCGAGTGCTCAAGTCGACCGGACTTGCTGTGGCCTTGCACTCATCCATGCCGAAGCGCTTGAGGATGTCGTTGACATACCGTCGCTGGCACATTGTCACGCTGCCATCCGATTCGTCCACCAGTTCGATGCCCAGTACAAAAGTACACTTGCCACTGTCGGTCATCTCGAAACGCGTCTTGAGGTCGGCCTTCGTCTGCGCAATCAACTCGAGCGAGCTGCCGGTGACCAACACGTCATCCACGTAGACCAGCACGAGCACACAGTGACCGTCGACAACCTTGATGTAGAGACATGGGTCGAACGCCGACGCTTCGAAACCGATGGAGCATACGAACTCGTCGAAAGTCTCGTTCCACACACGTGAAGCTTGCTTGAGACCGTAGATCGCCTTCACCAACTCGAGACAGTCGAAGTCGCCATCCATCTCGACGCCTTCTGGTATCACGCAGTACACCTTCTCCTTCATCACTCCGTAGAGAAAGGCTGTCACCACATCGAGTTGGTCCAGTGGCCAGTCGAAATACTTGGTGATCGCGATCACCATACGCAGTGTCACGTACTTGACCACGGGCGAGAACGTCTCTGTGTAGTCGATGCCGTACTTCTGCTTGAAGCCCTTGGCAACGAGACGCGCCTTGTATTTCTCGACCGATCCATCCGCTTTGCGCTTGATCTTGAACACCCACTTGGTGCCGATCGCGCCTTGGCCTCTTGGCAGTTTTGCCGCACGGAAAACTCCACGAAGATGCATCGACTTGAGTTCCGCCTTCACAGCATTTCGCCAGTGAGTTTGATCAGGACCATTGATCGCGTCTTGAAAAGTCACAGGTTCTGCTAGGTCCGTTGCTTCCACTGCGTTTGCACTTGCACGCCAAAATGTTGGAGGCGTCGAGTCGTCATCTTGATCGTACACGCTTGCATCTTCTTCGTCATCAGACATCGTTTCTGGAGCACTTGATCGTCGTTTCTGGTGACGGTTGGAGACGTGTTCCGGCGCACTTGCTTGTTCCAACCCAGTTCGAGGGCGAGCTGACCGTGACATGCCGGGTCTTGCTTCACTCTTGCGCTTGCCAGTCTGCTTGTAGACAGTTTGACGCACGTCTTCCTCGTTGATCGCCAGGAGGTCGAGGTCCAACTCCGCATCTTCATCATCGTCACTTGGTCGGTCCATCGAAAAGTCAAAAGTCGATTCGTCGAAGGTGATGTCACGACTGATCACCACTTGGCCCGCCTCAATGTCGTACACTCGATAAGCTTTTGACGCTTCTTCGTAGCCCATGAACATCCCTTCACAAGCCTTCGGGTCCCACTTCAATCGCTTCTCCCTTGGTGTCAGGATAAACGCCCGACATCCAAACACGCGCATGTGCTTGACACTTGGTTTCGACTTGTACACGATCTCGAACGGAGTCTTGTGGTCGATCTTGGGTGAAGGCAGGCGGTTCTTGATGTAGATCGCCGTCATTGCGGCTTCAGCCCAGAAACACTTCTCCAGCTTTGCATGATGCAACAAGCTGCGTCCGATCGTGACGATGGTCCTTATCGCGCGTTCTGCGGTGCCGTTGGTCTGGTGTGCATACGGCACCGTGATCTGTTGTTCAATACCATGATCTTCGTAGAAGGTCTTGATGGAGTTGGTCGCAAACTCATGCGCTCCATCGTGCCGAACAAACTTGATCTTCGTGCCTGATGAACTTTAGACTTCTTGGTCCGAGTGCAAAACGCAAAGTGAATATATATTTATAATAGGTACTTAGTTCGCAACTTTGAATACTACCTCTAAGCCTATTATTCGCAGTGACGTCATCCAGTGACGTCACCCACTGACGTCACCCACTGACGTCATGCAATGACGTCATCCAGTGACGTCATTTCCTGACTTCGCCCTTACTGGTACATACCGGTACCCACCGGTATAGCGAAGCTTGGTCTTCCACTTGCTTCAACACTTGACGCAGCTTGACGAGGTGTCTTCTTCACAGCCGCTGTCTTTTCAACACTCCCTCTCGACTCGTTAGCTGCGGCACCTTCGGATCCCAAGTCGATCGCGAATGTTTTCAAATTGTACAGCGGCGATCGGCTTGGTCATCATGTCTGCCAGCATATCTTGAGTCGGGCAATACTCCAAAACGACTTCACCTGATTCCACCTTCTCACGCACAAAATGGTAGCGTATGTCGATGTGTTTTGTTCTCTTATGGAACTCCGGGTTCTTGGCGAGAGCGATTGATCCTTGGTTGTCTTCATACATCTTGATCGCTTCGTCACTTGTCATCTCACCAAGTTCCCCCAAAAGCACTTTGAGCCATACTGCTTCTTTGGTTGCTTCGGAAAGCGCCATGTATTCTGCTTCTGTTGAAGATAGCGCGACCGTCCGTTGTTTCTGGCTGTTCCAGCTGATGCATCCTCCGCTCATCATGAACACATAGCCGCTTGTACTTCGTCTTGACTCAATGTCGCCGGCCCAGTCTGCGTCGGTGTACCCGCAGATACGGCTTCCTTCTTCACGTGTAAACTCAAGACCATGATTGGGCGTTGCTTGCAGGTATCTCAGCACACGCTTCAAAGCTTGCCAGTGAGTCGGGCATGGGTCGGACGAGAACTGGGATAATGATCCCACTGCAGCAGCTAGATCCGGACGTGTGGCGACCATGAGATACATGATGCCTCCGACAGCACTTCGATATGGCACGTTGCACATGGTGTCTTCGTGCTTGCATTCTTGTTCACACATGTTCTTGGTTAGCTTCAGGCCGGGATCTTGAGGCGTCTTCACTGGCTTGCTGTTATCCATTCCGGAACTTGGTTAACACGGACTTGAGAAACTTGGTTTGTTGTACAGTCACCATTCCCGTCTTACGGTCGTTCTTGATCTCCATGCCGAGAAAGTAATCGAGGCTCACCGAGATCCGTCATTTCGAAGCGTTTGCTCAGCGCCATCTTGGTTGACTTGAGGAGTTCGTTGTTGCTGCTGGCCAGGATGAGATCATCGACGTAGAGCACCACGAGAATCATGTCTTGGTCGTCTCGCTTGATGTAGATGCAGTGGTCCGATTCGCACTTCTTGAATCCCATCTTGATCATGAACCCATCGATTGTTTGGTTCCACATGCGAGGCGATTGCTTCAAGCCGTAGAGTGATCTCTTTAGCTTGCACACATAGTCCGGCTGTGTTGCATCCAGGTATCCGTCCGGCTGGTCCATGTAGATGTCTTCGTTGAGGGAGCCGTTAAGAAACGCTGTCTTGACGTCCATCTGATGTAGCATTAGGCCGTACTTAGCCGCCATACTGAGCACCACACGAATCGATGTGAACTTGGCCACCGGTGCGAAAGTTTCTTCATAGTCAACTCCGAATTTCTGTGAGAATCCTTTGGCCACAAGTCTTGCCTTGAAACGTTCAACTTCGCCATCTTGATTCTCCTTTACACGAAAAACCCATCGGCACCCGATGGCCTTGCGACCTTTCGGAAGAGGCACGATTTCCCACGTGTCGTTTCTCTGAAGCGAATCGAACTCCGAGTCACACGCTTCTTTCCACTTGCCGGAGTCGCTTGATTCCATCGCCGACTTGAATGTAGTCGGCGTTTCCCCCACTGAATCAACGATGTAGGCTGCTTCAAAATCCATTGCAGCCGCTGACACATGCTCAAGCGACGGACCTCTGTATGTTCTTCGCTTGGGACTTGGAATGACGGTAGCTTTCTCAAGTGATTGAGTGCGCGTGTGTCTCTTGATGTTGCTCTTCGAAGACCTGGTGTCTTCGTTGTCATCGTCGCTCGAGTCCATTTCGTCGTCAGTTTTACCTTCTTCTTTTTCTTCGTCCTCATCATGATCATCAAACTCAACGACACTTGACTCATCGTTGTAGTTGCGCGGACCTTCATCAAACTTGTCTTCCATGAATGTGGCATCGCGACTGATCTTGATCGCTCCTGTTGACACTTCCTCAAATCGATATGACTTCTGGTGTTCGGCGTATCCCAGGAAACGACAGAGTGATGACTTGGAGTCGAACTTCGCGCGTTTGTCTTGAGGCACTTGAACATACGCGTGGCATCCAAACACTTTAAGGTTGGCCAGAATCGGTTTCTTCATCGTCCACACTTGATATGGAGACTTGTCTTGGTGAATGGCACGTGTTGGACAGCGGTTTCGAAGAAACATCGCCGTCATCACTGCTTCACCCCAGTAGCTCTTTCCCAGTCCAGCGTGTTCCATCATGCAACGCGCACACTCGACCAGCGTGCGATTCATTCTCTCAGCTACTCCGTTTAGCTGAGGAGTATATGGGGTTGTGAACCTTTGTTGTATTCCCCGTTCCGCGCAGAATCGTGCCAGCTTGTCGGACTTGTATTCACCCCCATTGTCGCTTTGAAGGTACTTCACGCGCTTTCCGGTTTGCGTTTCGGCCATCGCAGCGTATTCCATGAACTTCGCCGCAACTTCAGATTTGCTCTTGAGCAGATAGACGACACAGTATCTTGACTTGTCATCAATGAATGTCACGAAGTACCGTTTTCCACTGAAAGTTGCCATCGACATCGGTCCGCATACGTCGCTGTGAATTACTTCGAGGAGTTTGGAGGTGCGAGCTGTAGTGTTTGATTGGAAGCGCACTCGAGTCTGTTTTCCCAGAGCACAACCTTCACACACGTCCCACTTCTTCACCGAAGATATGTCGATGCCAATTCCAATGTTCTTCGTCACAATGCAATTGAGTCCATCGTGACCTATGTGGCCAAGCCGAAGGTGCCAGAGGTACGACTTGGGTGCCCCCTTGACATCCCGACGACTTGGCTGCATTTGCTTGTTCCGGCGCCACTGGAGTCATTTGCAGCTTGAACAGTCCTTTACCTTCACGGGCACCAATTTTCCACTTGGTCCCTTTCGCTTCTCCATAGCACCCATCCTTCGTGAACGTCACTGGGCCGACATCCTTGGTGAAGCGGCCGACCGAGAACAGGTTTCTGGATAACTTTGGGATGTGCCACACGTTTGTGAGCACACCTTTCTTCATCCCTTGGGGTGTCTTCATCGACATGACAATGTCCCCACTGCCGATTGCTTGGACGATTCCATCATCCGCGAGATGGACATCCACAGCGTCAAATCCCTTGTAGTTCCGCATGAACTTCTTGGAGCACGTCATGTGCTGCGTCGCCCCGGAGTCGACCAGCCAGATGTCGCTCGATTTCGCAGATGTCGTTTCACCGATCGAAAAGAGGTAGTCGCCCGAGTCTTCTTCTTGAGCGACGTTTGCACGTTGTGATCGATAGCGGTCGCCGCTGTCTTGAGCACGCTGTGGCCGGTGTCTCTCCGTGTTTTCTTGGATGCGCGAGGGGCACTCCGCCATCCAGTGACCAATCTTTCCGCAATTGTGGCACGGCCAGGACTTCTTCACTGGTCGCCCTTTGCGCTGATTGTCCCCTTGTGATGAACGCTTGACCTTGCGAAGCTTCATCACCTTTACTTCCTTGCTCCCTCCGCTTCATTTCTTCATGAAGCAGTCGAGACGTCACGAGCTCCCAGCTAAGAGTGTCTGAGCGCGACTCCAAAGCTGTGATCAAGAATTGATACGAGTCACTCAGGCTGCCGAGAAGTGTGATCACCAGATCGTCCTCGCAGACTGGAGCCCCCACCGCTTCTAGCTGTTCCGCCAGCGTCTTGAGCTTGTTGATGTGTTCGAGTACATCGTCGCCTTCTTCCATCATTGTCGTGAAGAAGCGACGGCGCAAGAACAGCTTGTTGGCAAGACTCTTCTTCTCGAAGTGGTCTTCCAACCTTGACCATGCGTCGCATGCACCACTTGCCGACCGGACCAACGGTAGCTGGGAATCTTCCATGGCTAGACAGATCACTGCCATCGCCTTTCTTGACTTCCTCTTGTACGTCGCTTGGTCCAACTGAGTCTCGCACTGTTCCGCCTTGATCTCACCGCTGACGACCTCCCATAGGTCCCGTTCCTCCAGCACCATCTGCATCTTGAACTTCCAGGCGTGGAAGTTAGTTCCATCGAACTTGGAGATGCGGAGGGAGGAGAGGCGTCCATGGCAGCTAAGCTTGAATTGTTGGCGGTTTCAGAGTCTGACGAACTTGGGCTCATAACCTGATGAACTTTAGACTTCTTGGTCCGAGTGCAAAACGCAAAGTGAATATATATTTATAATAGGTACTTAGTTCGCAACTTTGAATACTACCTCTAAGCCTATTATTCACAGTGACGCCATCCAGTGACGTCACCCACTGACGTCACCCACTGACGTCATGCAATGACGTCATCCAGTGACGTCATTTCCTGACTTCGCCCTTACTGGTACATACCGGTACCCACCGGTATAGCGAAGCTTGGTCTTCCACTTGCTTCAACACTTGACGCAGCTTGACGAGGTGTCTTCTTCACAGCCGCTGTCTTTTCAACAGTGCCGAACTGAGTTTGAATCTTGATGATGTGGTTCTTGATACAGTCTTCACTCTCAGACTTGGACCGCAGACAGAAGCCCTTCATGTAACCGCTGGCTTCGTCAACCACAAGCAGTAAGTATCTGCTGCCGCCGATCGAGACTTGTTCCATTGGCCCGCAGATGTCGAAGTGCAGCAACTCGAACACACCATATTGGCGTTTGTCACGGTTGGTTGGGAATGGTTTTTGGGCCATCTTTCCTTGCTGGCAACCGCGACACACACTTGGACCAGTCGAGTTGAGAGGTACCTTGGCGTCCTTGATCATGCCAGTGGCCACCATCTTGCGCAGAACTTCGAGGGGTGCATGACCCATGCGCGCATGCAAGTCGATGGTCCCATTGCGTGTTGCTGCATTTGCCGATCGTTGAGGAGTCCGCAGCCAGTAAAGTCCATCGACGAGATCCGCTGTTGCCACGACTTGTGTGGAATTCTTGCGCTTCACTTGCATCTTGGATCCATCGAACACGACTTGGAACCTGCCACCCTTGTTGATCTGTGGCACCGAAAGCAGATTCTTGCTCATACTTGGTACGAACAGTGCGTCCTTGATCTCGATGTCGCGTTCGTCACCATTGGGCAGAACCACCCGTTCCATGATGGTTCCCACACCCTTGATCGCAGCCTTGCTGCCATCAGCCACTGATAGTTCGCCTTCCTCTCGCTCATTCAGGCTTGCAAACTTGGCCTTGTCGTTGCAGATGTGATGCGTCGCACCGCTGTCGACTGCCCACATCCCTGGCATATTCTTGCCCGTCGAAAGTCCAGCCTCCAGCGAAACCGCGAACGCAACTCGATCGTAGTTGTCATCGTAGTTGCTGTTGGTTCGCCACTGAACGTTGTTGGCTCCGCGTCCACGAGCATTGTTGCCGCCGCGTCGAGCTCCACCTTGATTTTCGTCCTTCTGCTTGGTCCAGCACCGCTCCGCCGTGTGCCCCAATTTTCCGCAGTATGTACACTGGCGAGGTTCACGCTCGGCACTGAACGCCTTCGCCGCGTCTTCAGTCTTCACCGATGTCGTCTTGTCACCTTGTCTCTTGATGTGCTCATTCGTGAGCACTCTCACGACGTCTCGCGATCGCAGTTCCGCGCTGCTCATCTCCAAGTTGAGAACGACGTTCTCGTAGCTCTTGGGGAGGCTGCGCAACAAGCAGATCGCCACGTCCTCGTCCTCCATCTTGGCGCCGATGCTGCTGAGCTTCGCGCTGATGTTGAGGACTTCGTTGCAATGATGCATCACATTGCCGCCTTCCGCCATCTCCATGCTGAACAGCTGGCGCTTCAAGTAGATGCGTCCAGCCTTCTGCGACCCGCCGTACAGCGTCTTCAAACGCGCCCACGCGACCCACGCCTCTTCACAGTCATCAACCACGTGATGATAATCCGCGCTCATGTGCAGCAGCATCAAGCCGAACGCAATGTTGTTCGTCTTGATGTAGTCGTCACTGGCGCGAGGATCGGCGAAGGTGGGGGTGGTCTCCCGGTTCACCACGTGCCACGCCGACTTGGTCAGGAACACGCCACGCATGTAGCGGCTCCACGTCGCGTAGTTGTCGCCGTCGAACTTGTCGATGGAGATCTTGGTGGTGGCATCATGAGCAGAGGACATCGTGCTTGGGCTCATAACCTGTTGAATGGTGAAAAGCTTGACGACCGAAACTGGGAGTGATGCTGGGAGTCTACTCGGAAGACTGGAGAAGACACTTGGGGGGTAGATGGAAGATTCGAAAGTGATTGATTATCGGGGCTTACTACTTACTACATGATTTATATGTGGTGCACATATAAATCATGTGAAGCGTCTCATCATCCTACGCGTCTAATCAACGATGGTAATTACCGTAAGAACTACGTCGTAAATACTAAGCTGAACAGGCGGTTCGGATTGGACCGGTCACGGTTACCAATACTGGTAGAAACCGATGACCGTCAACAGCCCCGCGTCCACGACCATTGCCGCCGCGTCGGGCTCCCCGACCTTCGTTTTTCTGCTTTGTCCAGCAACGATCCACCGTGTGTCCCACCTTGCCACAATACGTGCATTGGTAGGGCTCACGCTCGGCGCTGAATGCCTTGCTTGCATCTTCAGCCTTCACCGTAGTCGCTGTCGTTGTCCCTTTTTCTCCTTGACGCTTGGCATGCTCATTCGTCAGGACTCTCACCACATCTTGAGTGCGAAGCTCGGTGATGCTCATTTCCATGTTGAGCACCACATTTTCGTAGCTCTTCGGAAGACTGAGTAGCAGACAAATTGCAACGTCTTCGTCTTCCATCTTCGCACCGATGCCGCTAAGCTTGGCGGAGATGTTGAGGACCTCGTTGCAGTGATGCATGACGTTCGCGCCTTCAGCCATCTTGATACTGAAAAGTTGTCGCTTGAGGTAGATGCGTCCTGCCTTCTGCGACCCACCGTACAGCGTCTTCAGACTTGTCCACGCAACCCAGGCTTCCTCGCAGTTGTCCAGCACATGATGGTAGTCCGCGTTCATGTGCAGCAGCATCATACCAAACGCGACGTTGCTTGCCTTGACGTAGCCATCGGACGCTCGCGGGTCGGTGAAAGTCGGAGTCACTTCACGGTTGACAACGTGCCAGACGGACTTCGTCAAAAACACACCGCGCATGTACCAGCTCCACGTTGCGTAATTGTCTCCGTTGAACTTGTCAATGGAGGCGTTGCTGGTGGACGACATGGCGCTTGGGCTCATAACCTGTTGCATTGTAGATCGGAGCGAGGAAAGCGGAGCGAACGGAGCGGAGAGACCGAAGAGAGTAGAGCAGAAAACACTTGCCCAATAGTTGGAAGATTCGAAAGTGATTGATTATCGGGGCTTACTACTTACTACATGATTTATATGTGGTGTACATATAAATCATGTGAAGCGTCTCATCATCCTACGCGTCTAATCAACTATGGTAATTACCGTAAGAACTACGTCGTAAATACTAAGCTGAACAGGCGGTTCGGATTGGATCGGTCACGGTTACCAATACTGGTAGAAGACCGATGACCGTCAACACGTCCGAAGTCTTGATGTAGAGACATGGGTCGAAGTCCGATACTTGAAATCCGATGGAGCACACATACTCGTCGAACGTCTCGTTCCACACTCGCGACGCTTGCTTGAGGCCGTAAATTGACTTCACCAATTCCAGGCAGTCGAACGTACTGTCAAGTTCGACGCCTTCAGGAATCACGCAGAACACTTGTTCCTTCATGACGCCATACAGGAAAGCTGTCACCACATCAAGCTGGTCGATGGGCCATCCAAAGTTATTGGAAATTGCGATCACCATTCGCAGCGTCACATACTTGACCACAGGCGAAAACGTCTCCGTGTAGTCGATGCCATACTTTTGGCGGAAACCCTTGGCCACAAGTCGTGCCTTGTACTTCTCGATTGACCCATCCGCCTTGCGCTTGATCTTGAACACCCATTTTGTGCCAATGGCGCGTTGTCCGTTGGGCAGCTTGGCTGCACGAAACACACCGCGAAGTCGCATTGACTCGAGCTCTGCATGAATTGCTTTTCTCCAGTGCACTTGGTCAGGGCCGCTTACTGCTGCTTCAAATGTTGAGGGTTCTAATAAGTCCACTGCTGCTTCAACGGCATTTGCACTCGCACGCCAAAACACAGGCGGTGTTGAATCACCAGAATCCTTCGTTTCTTCGTCTTCTTCTTGTCGTGACGAGTTGTTTTCCGGCGCGCTTGACTCTTCTAGTCCTGGTCGTTGACGCACTGCACGCGGTCGTGGAGCTGCTGTATCTTCATCATTGAGTCGGTTCTTGCGCTTGCCTGTTTGCTTGTACTCCATTTGACGCAGCTCTTCGTCATCAAGATCCAGCAATTCGAAGTCCAGGTCATCGACATCTTCATCAGTGATCGGCAGTTGAAGTCCAAAGGTGGACTCGTCGAAGTTGACATCGCGGCTGATAACCACCTGCCCCGCCTCGATGTCATAAACACGATATGCCTTCGAAACTTCTTCGTAGACCACGAATATGCCAGCGCGAGCCTTTGGATCCCACTTGAGTCGATTCTCTTTAGGCGTCAGTATGTATGTCTGACACCCGAATGTTCGCATGTGCTTGACGCTTGGTTTCAAGTTGTAGACGATCTCAAACGGGGTCTTGTGCACGACTTTAGGTGACGGCAGTCGATTCTTGACGTAGATGGCCGTCATCGCTGCTTCGGCCCAGAAACACTTGTCCAGTTTGGCATGATGAAGCATGCTGCGGCCGATCGTGACAATAGTCCTAATGGCACGCTCTGCTGTTCCGTTTGTTTGATGTGCATACGGCACCGTTGTCTGCTGTTCAATGCCTTCGTCTTCGTAGAACAGTTGAAGCGAGTTGGTTGCAAACTCGCGAGCTCCGTCGTGTCGCACGAACTTGACCTTCTTACAGAATTGCGTCTGTACCATGGTGATATATTTCCGGATGTAGTCTTCACTCTCGGACTTCACTCGTAGACAAAAGCCCTTCATGCATCCACTGGCTTCGTCGATGATCAGCAGCAAATATTTGCTGCCACCGAGCGAATCTGTTAATTGGTGAAAAGCTTGACGACCGAAACTGGGAGTGATGCTGGGAGTCTACTCGGAAGACCGGAGAAGACACTTGGGGGGTAGATGGAAGATTGGAAAGTGATTGATTATCGGGGCTTACTACTTACTACATGATTTATATGTGGTGTACATATAAATCATGTGAAGCGTCTCATCATCCTACGCGTCTAATCAACTATGGTAATTACCGTAAGAACTACGTCGTAAATACTAAGCTGAACAGGCGGTTCGGATTGGACCGGTCACGGTTACCAATACTGGTAGAAAACCGATGACCGTCAACACGCCCCCTCAATCCGAACTCGCACGAATGCCGAGAGCCGTCGTCAAGTCCTTGTGACGAGGTCCCGAAAGTCCCTTGGTCATGATGTCCGCCATCATCACGGAAGTCTCGCAATACTCGAGCTTCACTTCACCGCGCTTGACCTCATCACGGATGTGATGGTACTTGATGTCGATGTGCTTGGCGCGGCCATGATTCACCGGATTCTTCGTCATCTTGATGCACGACTGGTTGTCTTCACGGATGACGAGGTCCGGTCCTGGTTCGTTTGCGGCCGCCAAAATCTCGCATAGCAGGCGATGCACCCACTTGCCTTCCTGGATGGCCAGACTCAGTGCGATGTATTCCGCTTCACTCGTCGACAGCGACACACTTGACTGCTTCTTGCTTCCCCAACTCACAGGAGCACCCATCAGCATGAAAGTGTAACCCGAAGTCGACTTGCGATCAGCGTGGTCGCCGGCCCAGTCCGCGTCCGAGTAGCCACGAAAGTCGATCTTGTCGCTTGGCTGGAAGCGGAGTCCGTGCGACTTGGTCCCTTGCAAGTAACGAAAGATGCGCTTCACCGCCGTCCAATGTTCTTGCTGCGGACTCTCCATGAAGCGCGAGACGTACCCCACAGCATACGCAATGTCCGGGCGCGTCGCAGTCGTCAAGTGCATCAAAGCTCCCACAGCTTCACGAAACGGAACGTCGATCTTGGCCGCTTCGGTGCTTGCGACAAGCCGAGTGCTCAAGTCGACCGGACTTGCTGTGGCCTTGCACTCATCCATGCCGAAGCGCTTGAGGATGTCGTTGACATACCGTCGCTGGCACATCGTCACGCTGCCATCCGATTCATCCACCAGTTCGATGCCCAGTACAAAAGTACACTTGCCACTGTCGGTCATCTCGAAACGCGTCTTGAGGTCGGCCTTCGTCTGCGCAATCAACTCGAGCGAGCTGCCGGTGACCAACACGTCATCCACGTAGACCAGCACGAGCACACAGTGACCGTCGACAACCTTGATGTAGAGACATGGGTCGAACGCCGACGCCTCGAAACCGATAGAGCATACAAACTCGTCGAAAGTCTCGTTCCACACACGTGAAGCTTGCTTGAGACCGTAGATCACCTTCACCAACTCGAGACAGTCGAAGTCGCCATCCATCTCGACGCCTTCTGGTATCACGCAGTACACCTTCTCCTTCATCACTCCGTAGAGAAAGGCTGTCACCACATCGAGTTGGTCCAGTGGCCAGTCGAAATACTTGGTGATCGCGATCACCATACGCAGTGTCACGTACTTGACCACGGGCGAGAACGTCTCTGTGTAGTCGATGCCGTACTTCTGCTTGAAGCCCTTGGCAACGAGACGCGCCTTGTATTTCTCGACCGATCCATCCGCTTTGCGCTTGATCTTGAACACCCACTTGGTGCCGATCGCGCCTTGGCCTCTTGGCAGTTTTGCCGCACGGAAAACTCCACGAAGGTGCATCGACTTGAGTTCCGCCTTCACAGCATTTCGCCAGTGAGCTTGATCAGGACCATTGATCGTGTTGAAAAGACAGCGGCTGTGAAGAAGACACCTCGTCAAGCTGCGTCAAGTGTTGAAGCAAGTGGAAGACCAAGCTTCGCTATACCGGTGGGTACCGGTATGTACCAGTAAGGGCGAAGTCAGGAAATGACGTCACTGGATGACGTCATTGCATGACGTCACTGGATGACGTCACTGCGAATAATAGGCTTAGAGGTAGTATTCAAAGTTGCGAACTAAGTACCTATTATAAATATATATTCACTTTGCGTTTTGCACTCGGACCAAGAAGTCTAAAGTTCATCAGGTTATGAGCCCAAGTTCGTCAGACTCTGAAACCGCCAACAATTCAAGCTTAGCTGCCATGGACGCCTCCTCCCTCCGCATCTCCAAGTTCGATGGAACTAACTTCCACGCCTGGAAGTTCAAGATGCAGATGGTGCTGGAGGAACGGGACCTATGGGAGGTCGTCAGCGGTGAGATCAAGGCGGAACAGTGCGAGACTCAGTTGGACCAAGCGACGTACAAGAGGAAGTCAAGAAAGGCGATGGCAGTGATCTGTCTAGCCATGGAAGATTCCCAGCTACCGTTGGTCCGGTCGGCAAGTGGTGCATGCGACGCATGGTCAAGGTTGGAAGACCACTTCGAGAAGAAGAGTCTTGCCAACAAGCTGTTCTTGCGCCGTCGCTTCTTCACGACAATGATGGAAGAAGGCGACGATGTGCTCGAACACATCAACAAGCTCAAGACGCTGGCGGAACAGCTAGAAGCGGTGGGGGGCTCCAGTCTGCGAGGACGATCTGGTGATCACACTCCTCGGCAGCCTGAGTGACTCGTATCAATTCTTGATCACAGCTTTGGAGTCGCGCTCAGACACTCTTAGCTGGGAGCTCGTGACGTCTCGACTGCTTCATGAAGAAATGAAGCGGAAGGAGCAAGGAAGTAAAGGTGATGAAGCTTCGCAAGGTCAAGCGTTCATCACAAGGGACAATCAGCGCAAAGGGCGACCAGTGAAGAAGTCCTGGCCGTGCCACAATTGCGGAAAGATTGGTCACTGGATGGCGGAGTGCCCCTCGCGCATCCAAGAAAACACGGAGAGACACCGGCCACAGCGTGCTCAAGACAGCGGCGACCGCTATCGATCACAACGTGCAAACGTCGCTCAAGAAGAAGACTCGGGCGACTACCTCTTTTCGATCGGTGAAACGACATCTGCGAAATCGAGCGACATCTGGCTGGTCGACTCCGGGGCGACGCAGCACATGACGTGCTCCAAGAAGTTCATGCGGAACTACAAGGGGTTTGACGCTGTGGATGTCCATCTCGCGGATGATGGAATCGTCCAAGCAATCGGCAGTGGGGACATTGTCATGTCGATGAAGACACCCCAAGGGATGAAGAAAGGTGTGCTCACAAACGTGTGGCACATCCCAAAGTTATCCAGAAACCTGTTCTCGGTCGGCCGCTTCACCAAGGATGTCGGCCCAGTGACGTTCACGAAGGATGGGTGCTATGGAGAAGCGAAAGGGACCAAGTGGAAAATTGGTGCCCGTGAAGGTAAAGGACTGTTCAAGCTGCAAATGACTCCAGTGGCGCCGGAACAAGCAAATGCAGCCAAGTCGTCGGGATGTCAAGGGGGCACCAAGTCGTACCTCTGGCACCTTCGGCTTGGCCACATAGGTCACGATGGACTCAATTGCATCGTGACGAAGAACATTGGAATTGGCATCGACATATCTTCGGTGAAGAAGTGGGACGTGTGTGAAGGTTGTGCTCTGGGAAAACAGACTCGAGTGCGCTTCCAATCAAACACTACAGCTCGCACCTCCAAACTCCTCGAAGTGATTCACAGCGACGTATGCGGACCGATGTCGATGGCAACTTTCAGTGGAAAACGGTACTTCGTGACATTCATCGATGACAAGTCAAGATACTGTGTCGTCTATCTGCTCAAGAGCAAATCTGAAGTTGCGGCGAAGTTCATGGAATACGCTGCGATGGCCGAAACGCAAACCGGAAAGCGCGTGAAGTACCTTCAAAGCGACAATGGGGGTGAATACAAGTCCGACAAGCTGGCACGATTCTGCGCGGAACGGGGAATACAACAAAGGTTCACACCCCCATATATGTTAGCGAGTGATGATGCGGCGACTTGTGCAGGGTGTATATTGCATATTTGCATTAGTTGTATTGTTCTTTGGCAGGTTTATATTGTGGGATGTTAGCGAAACGACAAGTCATCGGATTGGCTCAGTCGTTTGGGAAGGGGGATTCCACGCGGGTGAGTGCGGGTTCGATCCCCGCCGTGTACAAGTTAATTGTGACTGACACTCACGACCTGGTGTTTGGGGTTCACCAGAACTGTGACCCGCCCGCAGTTACGTCCCCCACCCACGCAATCGTTTTCATTCAGCATATGACACAGCAGAGTTTTTACGAAAGGTATTTACGAGACGTAATTACCCAGGGATAGGTAAAACAGAAAGCGGTGGAGACAGGGCACGAAATAGGTGGCTGAGAGTCACCGGCTACTACTAGCCATTCGTTTTCGAAGCTAGGAACAATTTGAATACAACTCACTTTTCGGTTTTCATCCCCGGCCGTAAGCCATCTTCTTCTCAGCATCAGCTCCACAACCTAGTTAATTCTAACAGGTTATGAGCCCAAGTAACGACTCCGGTTTCAAGGTCGAGCCTTTCGACGGCTCGAACTATGGGTTGTGGAGTTACAAGATGAAGATGTACCTGATGTCGAAGGGGCTGTGGGGGCGCGATCGCGGGCGATGAGACAACAAGTGAGGCCAAGGAACAGCAAGCCCACGCCGCGATCGTGCTGAATCTGAGCGATTCACAGTTGATGCATGTCATCGACTCGGCCACCGCAAGAGAAGCGTGGGGACGTCTGGCGCAATTTCATCACAGTCATGACATGGCGAATCGACTTTGGCTGAAGGAAAAGTTCGCGTCGTTCAAGTATGCAGCATCAAGCATGAGCGGTCATGTGATGGAGCTGGAGGACCTCGTGATGAAGATGAAGCGCGCGAACTGCGGTCCAAGTGAAGAGGACGTGTGCGCAGTACTGTTGCGGAGTCTACCTTCAAGCTTCGAGAGCTTGGTACAGGCATTCCGCATGTCCGTCGCAAGCTTCAGTTTCAGTGACCTCGTGAGCAAGTTGATCGCCGAAGAAGTGCGCCAGAATGAGGGAGCACGAGTAGAAGATGCAACGGCGCTCTACGCAGGCAAGAGGAAGGGTAAGCAGTACCCGAAGAAGCAACAAGGACGGCGCGCGAAAGGACCATCAGGGACCTGCTACAACTGTGGCAAGGTCGGACACTACGCCAGAGATTGTCGCTCCGGTCGAGGGCCAAGGGAGCAACAGCATGACCAGTCGAATGTCGCGTTTCATGCCAGCGAAGGTTTCGCGAGCAACAGCTGGGTCATGGACAGTGGCGCGTCAGCACACATGTGCAAGGATCGAGATGCGTTCGAAGAGTACGAAGAAGTGCATCATGCGCGAAGCATTTCAAGCGCAAAGAGCGACGTGAAGCTGAATGTCATTGGACATGGGACAGTGAAGCTGCGCGTCTGGACAGGACATGCGTGGATCGACGCTCGCCTTGAGAACACACTTCACGTTCAAGATTTGTCCAAGAACCTGTTTTCGCTCACGGCTGCGGCAGCGCGCGGCATGACAGTGGAGATAACGCGCAACGAGTGCGTGGTCAAGCGTGGCGGCACACCCGTCGCAACAGGAAGGAAGCAGGGGGTTCCTCCTGTATCTCAATGCTGACTGTGGTACGGAGTGCCACATGGCCGAAGACGATACAGAGCTATGGCATAGAAGATTGGGTCACGTGTCGTATGGTACGCTGAATGCCATGGTCAAGGACGGAAGGATCAAGGGCGCAACGATGAAGACGAACGTTGCGTGTGACGTATGCGCAACGTCAAAGCAAGTGCGCAAGTCATTCAAGACAAGTGAAGAAGACGCTGAAACCAGGGAGAGTTCGCGTTCCGACGTGGTGGTGTGCTCCGACGTTCTCGGACCTATCACGCCAGCGTCCAAGTCTGGTTTCAGTTACGCCGTAACCTTCATCATGATGAAGAGCAGGTATGTAACGGTCTATCCGTTGCGAAAGAAGAGCGACGTTGCGAGTGCGTTCAAGCGGTTTTACCAAGATGTCAAGACAGCATCTGGAACGAATATAAAGGTGTTGCGAAGTGACAACGGCGGCGAATACCGGAACGAAACGATGAACAGCTTTTGCAGGGCAAAGTTCATTAAGCAAGAGTTCACGGTTCCGTACAATCCAGAGCAGAACGGGATGGCGGAGCGGATGAACCGCACGCTGGTGGAGATGACGCGCTGTATGCTCAAGGAAAGCGGCCTCGACAAGTCCTATTGGTGCGAGGCACTAATGACAGCGGCAGACATCAGAAACATTCTGCCGAACGCGTCGAACAAGAACTCAAGCCCACACGAAATGGTGTTCAAGAAGGTTCCGCGCATCGATCACATGCGCGTGTTTAGTGCGCAATGCTATGCGCATGTGGCGAAGGAGAAGAGAAAGAAGCTGGACGACTCAGGCGTGCGATGTTTCTTTCTCGGCTATGAGAAGGACCAAAAGGCGTATTGGCTTCTCAACGCGGACGATGGCTCGATCGTGATTTCAAGAAGCGTCACGTTCGCTGATCGTTCTGCCTCGAAAGCATCGAAAAGCAGAGACACGCAGGTCTTCGATGTCATTGAAGAAGATGAAAGTGTGGAGGCGTCGCTAACCGATGATGAAGACATACCAGCGCCGGTGACCGAAGAAGAGCTGCGCACCCCACCACTTCGAGCGCAGAACAGCTCTCATCACGGACCAAGTGTTCGACCAAGCGACACCATTCCTACGCGCGCATCCAGCACACCCGGAAGAAATGGAGAAGAAGAGTGGATGGTGCGACCGGTTCGAAAGAAGCGCGGCGTGGTTCGCTACGATCAAGAATTTCCAAGCCATCGTCGCGGTCACTTCAATTTGGACGACTACGAAGGTGACTTCGACTCTTTCTACTGTTTCTCGGCTGAAGAAGATGGGGAACAAGCGTCCAGCTATCAAGAAGTGATGAAGAGCGGCTACAAGGAGCAGTGGCTCCAGGCAATGAAGAGCGAGATGAAGTCGCTTGAAGAACACAGCACATGGAAGCTAGTAAAAATGCCACCGGGCAAGAAGGCCGTAGGCTGCAAGTGGGTCTTCAAGATTAAACGCGATCCAAGTGGCGAGATAATCAAGTTCAAGGCACGCTTGGTTGCGAAAGGGTTCACGCAGCGTCCTGGCATCGACTACAACGAGACCTTTGCACCAGTGGCGCGCAAGGAATCTATCAACACAGTGTTGGCGATCGCTGCAGCTGAAGACCTGGAAGCAGAGAACGTTGATGTCGACACAGCGTTTCTCAACGGCGAAGTGGAAGAGGAGATCTACATGGACCAACCTGACGGTTTTGAAGATGAAGGAAGCCCGAATAAGAAGTGTTTGCTGCAGAAGGCGCTATACGGGACGAAGCAAGCGGCGCGGCAGTGGAACAACAAGTTGAGTCAGCACTTGGTTGATCAAGGGTTCAAGAGCAGTACAGCGGACCCGTGTGTGTTCGTTCGAGTGACAAGAGAGGAGTACAGCATCATCGTGATCTACGTGGACGACTTGATGATTTTCTGCAAGACGAAGGAGCACATCGCAAGTATCAAGAACTCATTGATGGAAGATTTCAGCATTAAAGATCTTGGAGATCTCAAGTACTGCCTCGGGATCGAGATTCATCGCAAGCGCGAAGATGGAACGATCAAGATGAACCAGAAGGCGTACATCAAGCGACTTTCGGAGAAGTTCGGCGTTGAGAACTGCAAGGACATGCACACGCCGGCGGACAGTAATTCGAAGCTGATCAAGATGAGTCAAGAGGAAGCGTTTGTACCAAAGTACCCATACCGTGAGCTGGTGGGCGCTTTAATGTACATCGCCACATGTACACGACCGGACATTGCGCATGCGGTTGGCGAAGTTGCGAAGTTTTGCGAGCGCTACGACAAGTCGCATTGGACAGCAGCAAAGCGGATTCTCAAGTATCTCAAGACGACTCAAGACTTAAGCATCGTGTTCAGCGGCATCAACAAGGGAGAGCTTATTGGATTTGCAGATGCAAACTGGGCTGGCGACCTCGACACGCGGCGTTCGACAACAGGATACGTTTTCTTCCTGAACGGAAGCGTGATATCGTGGAGCTCGAAGCGTCAACCAACGGTCGCGACCTCAAGTACGGAAGCAGAGTACATGAGTCTGTACAGCGCGACGCAGGAAGCAATTTGGCTTCGAGGTCTGCTCAAGGACCTGAACTACTGTGCCAAGAACGCGACGACGATTTTTCAAGACAATCAAGGTTGCATCGCGCTGGCCAAGAATCCTGTGTACCACTCGCGCACGAAGCACATCGACATCAAGTTTCACTTTTTGCGTGAAAAGGTTGCAAGTGCAGTTATCGCGCTAGAGTTCAAGCCGACAGAAGAAATGGTCGCGGATGGATTCACCAAAGCACTTCCAAGAGACAAGCACAGCAAGTTCATCACGGGTTTGTGCATGGCGGTGTAGGGGTCACACGTCGCACGCACATCAAGGGAGAGTGTTAGCGAGTGATGATGCGGCGACTTGTGCAGGGTGTATATTGCATATTTGCATTAGTTGTATTGTTCTTTGGCAGGTTTATATTGTGGGATGTTAGCGAAACGACAAGTCATCGGATTGGCTCAGTCGTTTGGGAAGGGGGATTCCACGCGGGTGAGTGCGGGTTCGATCCCCGCCGTGTACAAGTTAATTGTGACTGACACTCACGACCTGGTGTTTGGGGTTCACCAGAACTGTGACCCGCCCGCAGTTACGTCCCCCCACCCACGCAATCGTTTTCATTCAGCATATGACACAGCAGAGTTTTTACGAAAGGTATTTACGAGACGTAATTACCCAGGGATAGGTAAAACAGAAAGCGGTGGAGACAGGGCACGAAATAGGTGGCTGAGAGTCACCGGCTACTACTAGCCATTCGTTTTCGAAGCTAGGAACAATTTGAATACAACTCACTTTTCGGTTTTCATCCCCGGCCGTAAGCCATCTTCTTCTCAGCATCAGCTCCACAACCTAGTTAATTCTAACAATATACTCCTCAGCTAAACGGAGTAGCTGAGAGAATGAATCGCACGCTGGTCGAGTGTGCGCGTTGCATGATGGAACACGCTGGACTGGGAAAGAGCTACTGGGGTGAAGCAGTGATGACGGCGATGTTTCTTCGAAACCGCTGTCCAACACGTGCCATTCACCAAGACAAGTCTCCATATCAAGTGTGGACGATGAAGAAACCGATTCTGGCCAACCTTAAAGTGTTTGGATGCCACGCGTATGTTCAAGTGCCTCAAGACAAACGCGCGAAGTTCGACTCCAAGTCATCACTCTGTCGTTTCCTGGGATACGCCGAACACCAGAAGTCATATCGATTTGAGGAAGTGTCAACAGGAGCGATCAAGATCAGTCGCGATGCCACATTCATGGAAGACAAGTTTGATGAAGGTCCGCGCAACTACAACGATGAGTCAAGTGTCGTTGAGTTTGATGATCATGATGAGGACGAAGAAAAAGAAGAAGGTAAAACTGACGACGACATGGACTCGAGCGACGATGACAACGAAGACACCAGGTCTTCGAAGAGCAACATCAAGAGACACACGCGCACTCAATCACTTGAGAAAGCTACCGTCATTCCAAGTCCCAAGCGAAGAACGTACAGAGGTCCGTCGCTTGAGCATGTGTCAGCGGCTGCAATGGAAATTGAAGCAGCCTACATCGTTGATTCAGTGGGGGAAACGCCGACTACATTCAAGTCGGCGATGGAATCAAGCGACTCCGGCAAGTGGAAAGAAGCGTGTGACTCGGAGTTCGATTCGCTTCAGAGAAACGACACGTGGGATATTGTGCCTCTTCCGAAAGGTCGCAAGGCCATCGGGTGCCGATGGGTTTTTCGTGTAAAGGAGAATCAAGATGGCGAAGTTGAACGTTTCAAGGCAAGACTTGTGGCCAAAGGATTCTCACAGAAATTCGGAGTTGACTATGAAGAAACTTTCGCACCGGTGGCCAAGTTCACATCGATTCGTGTGGTGCTCAGTATGGCGGCTAAGTACGGCCTAATGCTACATCAGATGGACGTCAAGACAGCGTTTCTTAACGGCTCCCTCAACGAAGACATCTACATGGACCAGCCGGACGGATACCTGGATGCAACACAGCCGGACTATGTGTGCAAGCTAAAGAGATCACTCTACGGCTTGAAGCAATCGCCTCGCATGTGGAACCAAACAATCGATGGGTTCATGATCAAGATGGGATTCAAGAAGTGCGAATCGGACCACTGCATCTACATCAAGCGAGACGACCAAGACATGATTCTCGTGGTGCTCTACGTCGATGATCTCATCCTGGCCAGCAGCAACAACGAGCTCCTCAAGTCGACCAAGATGGCGCTGAGCAAACGCTTCGAAATGACGGATCTCGGTGAGCTCGATTACTTTCTCGGCATGGAGATCAAGAACGACCGTAAGACGGGAATGGTGACTGTACAACAAACCAAGTTTCTCAAGTCCGTGTTAACCAAGTTCGGAATGGATAACAGCAAGCCAGTGAAGACGCCTCAAGATCCCGGCCTGAAGCTAACCAAGAACATGTGTGAACAAGAATGCAAGCACGAAGACACCATGTGCAACGTGCCATATCGAAGTGCTGTCGGAGGCATCATGTATCTCATGGTCGCCACACGTCCGGATCTAGCTGCTGCAGTGGGATCATTATCCCAGTTCTCGTCCGACCCATGCCCGACTCACTGGCAAGCTTTGAAGCGTGTGCTGAGATACCTGCAAGCAACGCCCAATCATGGTCTTGAGTTTACACGTGAAGAAGGAAGCCGTATCTGCGGGTACACCGACGCAGACTGGGCCGGCGACATTGAGTCAAGACGAAGTACAAGCGGCTATGTGTTCATGATGAGCGGAGGATGCATCAGCTGGAAAAGCCAGAAACAACGGACGGTCGCGCTATCTTCAACAGAAGCAGAATACATGGCGCTTTCCGAAGCAACCAAAGAAGCAGTATGGCTCAAAGTGCTTTTGGGGAACTTGGTGAGATGACAAGCGACGAAGCGATCAAGATGTATGAAGACAACCAAGGATCAATCGCTCTCGCCAAGAACCCGGAGTTCCATAAGAGAACAAAACACATCGACATACGCTACCATTTTGTGCGTGAGAAGGTGGAATCAGGTGAAGTCGTTTTGGAGTATTGCCCGACTCAAGATATGCTGGCAGACATGATGACCAAGCCGATCGCCGCTGTACAATTTGAAAACATTCGCGATCGACTTGGGATCCAAGGTGCCGCAGCTAACGAGTCGAGAGGGAGTGTTGAAAAGACAGCGGCTGTGAAGAAGACACCTCGTCAAGCTGCGTCAAGTGTTGAAGCAAGTGGAAGACCAAGCTTCGCTATACCGGTGGGTACCGGTATGTACCAGTAAGGGCGAAGTCAGGAAATGACGTCACTGGATGACGTCATTGCATGACGTCACTGGATGACGTCACTGCGAATAATAGGCTTAGAGGTAGTATTCAAAGTTGCGAACTAAGTACCTATTATAAATATATATTCACTTTGCGTTTTGCACTCGGACCAAGAAGTCTAAAGTTCATCAGATCGCGTCTTGAAAAGTCACAGGTTCTGCTAGGTCCGTTGCTTCCACTGCGTTTGCACTTGCACGCCAAAATGTTGGAGGCGTCGAGTCGTCATCTTGATCGTACACGCTTGCATCTTCTTCGTCATCAGGCATCGTTTCTGGAGCACTTGATCGTCGTTTCTGGTGACGGTTGGAGACGTATTCCAGCGCACTTGCTTGTTCCAACCCAGTTCGAGGGCGAGCTGAACGTGACATGCCGGGTCTTGCTTCACTCTTGCGCTTGCCAGTCTGCTTGTAGACGGTTTGACGCACGTCGTCCTCGTTGATCGCCAGGAGGTCGAGGTCCAACTCCGCATCTTCATCATCGTCACTTGGTCGGTCCATCGAAAAGTCAAAAGTCGATTCGTCGAAGGTGATGTCACGACTGATCACCACTTGGCCCGCCTCAATGTCGTACACTCGATAAGCTTTTGACGCTTCTTCGTAGCCCATGAACATCCCTTCACGAGCCTTCGGGTCCCACTTCAATCGCTTCTCCCTTGGTGTCAGGATAAACGCCCAACATCCAAACACGCGCATGTGCTTGACACTTGGTTTCGACTTGTACACGATCTCGAACGGAGTCTTGTGGTCGATCTTGGATGAAGGCAGGCGGTTCTTGATGTAGATCGCCGTCATTGCCGCTTCAGCCCAGAAACACTTCTCCAGTTTTGCATGATGCAACAAGCTGCGTCCGATCGTGACGATGGTCCTTATCGCGCGTTCTGCGGTGCCGTTGGTCTGGTGTGCATACGGCACCGTGATCTGTTGTTCGATACCATGATCTTCGTAGAAGGTCTTGATGGAGTTGGTCGCAAACTCATGCGCTCCATCGTGCCGAACAAACTTGATCTTCGTGCCGAACTGAGTTTGAATCTTGATGATGTGGTTCTTGATACAGTCTTCACTCTCAGACTTGGACCGCAGACAGAAGCCCTTCATGCAACCGCTAGCTTCGTCAACCACAAGCAGTAAGTATCTGCTGCCGCCGATCGAGACTTGTTCCATTGGCCCGCAGATGTCGAAGTGCAGCAACTCGAACACACCATATTGGCGTTTGTCACGGTTGGTTGGGAATGGTTTTTGGACCATCTTTCCTTGCTGGCAACCGCGACACACACTTGGACCAGTCGAGTTGAGAGGTGCCTTGGCGTCCTTGATCATGCCGGTGGCCATCATCTTGCGCAGAACTTCGAGGGGTGCATGACCCATGCGCGCATGCAAGTCGATGGTCCCATTGCGTGTTGCTGCATTTGCCGATCGTTGAGGAGTCCGCAGCCAGTAAAGTCCATCGACGAGATCCGCTGTTGCCACGACTAGTGTGGAATTCTTGCGCTTCACTTGCATCTTGGATCCATCGAACACGACTTGGAACCTGCCACCCTTGTTGATCTGTGGCACCGAAAGCAGATTCTTGCTCATACTTGGTACGAACAGTGCGTCCTTGATCTCGATGTCGCGTTCGTCACCATTGGGTAGAACCACCCGTTCCATGATGGTTCCCACACCCTTGATCGCAGCCTTGCTGCCATCAGCCACTGATAGTTCGCCTTCCTCTCGCTCATTCAGGCTTGCAAACTTGGCCTTGTCGTTGCAGATGTGATGCGTCGCACCGCTGTCGACTGCCCACATCCCTGGCATATTCTTGCCCGTCGAAAGTCCAGCCTCCAGCGAAACCGCGAACGCAACTCGATCGTAGTTGTCATCGTAGTTGCTGTTGGTTCGCCACTGAACGTTGTTGGCTCCGCGTCCACGAGCATTGTTGCCGCCGCGTCGAGCTCCACCTTGATTTTCGTCCTTCTGCTTGGTCCAGCACCGCTCCGCCGTGTGCCCCAATTTTCCGCAGTATGTACACTGGCGAGGTTCACGCTCGGCACTGAACGCCTTCGCCGCGTCTTCAGTCTTCACCGATGTCGTCTTGTCACCTTGTCTCTTGATGTGCTCGTTCGTGAGCACTTTCACGACGTCCCGCGATTGAAGCTCTGCGCTGCTCATCTCCAAGTTGAGAACCACGTTCTCGAAACTCTTGGGCAGACTGCGCAGTAAGCAGATCGCAATGTCTTCGTCTTCCATCTTGGCACCGATGCTGCTGAGCTTGGCGCCGATGTTCAAGACTTCGTTGCAATGGTGCAAGACGTTGGCACCTTCCGCCATCTTGATGCTGAACAGCTGGCGCTTGAGGTAGATGCGTCCCGCCTTCTGCGACCCACCATAGAGCATCTTCAACCGCAACCACGCTGTCCATGCTTCTTCACAGTTGTCGACCACATGGTGGTATTCGGCGTCCATGTGGAGCAACATCAACCCGAACGCGATGTTGCTCGCCTTGACGTACTCGTCGGAAGCTCGCGTGTCGGTGAAGGTTGGAGACGTTTCGCGGTTCACGACGTACCAGACTGACTTCGTCAGAAACACGCCGCGCATGTAGCGACACCAGGTTGAGTAGTTGTCCCCATCGAACTTATCGATGGAGACACTGGCCGAGGTGTTGTTGGACGACATGGCGCTTGGGCTCATAACCTGTTGTAACTTGAGCGCGAGGCGAAGAGAAAACGAAGCGGAGAGACCGGAGAGAACGAAGCAGAGAACACTTGCTCACTTGAGGGAGGATTCGAAAGTGATTGATTTATAGGTCTTAACTTCTGCCTACCCTAGACTGCATCCAATCACATGGTGCATCTAATCAACCTGATTTACACGCGTCCAATCATCCTACGCGTCTAATCATCTCTGAGGTAATTACCGATGTAAAAACTATCTCGTAAGAACTACGCGCTAGGTTCGGATTGTACCGGTAACCCTCAATAGAGAACCCCCAAGTCGAGCATTGGATGGCGGTCAAGCGCATTTTGCGATACTTACAAGGGACTAAGTCGCACGGTATCTGTTTCAAGCCTGATGACAAGATAGACTTCTGTGGCTACTCGGATGCAGATTGGGCCGGCGACCATGCAGACCGGAAGTCGGGACTTCAGGATACGCGTTTATCCTGATGGGTGCTCCGGTGAGCTGGGGAAGCAAAAGCAGTCAAGTGTGTCGCTGTCAACAAGTGAAGCTGAGTACATTGCACTAAGTCTGGCGATTCAAGAAGGAAAGTGGGTGCATCGATTGCTGTGCGAGATTCTGGATGCCGCAGAGGACAAGTCTGGACCCGAGCTCAAGATCATGGAAGACAACCAGTCGTGCATCAAGATGACGAAGAATCCGGTGAACCATGGTCGGGCCAAGCACATCGACATCAAGTACCACCACATTCGTGATGAAGTCAAGCGTGGTGATGTCAAGTTGGAGTACTGTGAGACTACGATCATGTTGGCGGACATCATGACGAAGGGACTGCCAGGACCGCGTCACAAGGACTTGACGGCAGCGCTCGGCATACACGCGTGTTCGCATTGAGGGGGGCGTATTGTGGGTTGACGGTTGAGGTACTGCTATCAGCTACCATGGGAACCGTAAACCTGTCCAAGTCGATCCCGCGTAATTACGGTGAGTTTTTACCAATGATTAGACGCATAGGATGATTGGATGACCTACGTGATTTATGATTCATGATTTATATGTGGACAACATATAAATCAGTGCAGAGATATATCAGGTAGCTTTAACAAAACCCACAAATAAATTCACTTCCAAATATTCCTTTTTCAGCACAAGTCGTCTACACTTCGAAGTGCAGACTTCTTCAGCGTTCTTCAAGCTTCGTTCTCTCGTCCAGTGCTCTTCAGATTTTGAACAATGTGCATACGGCACCGTTGTCTGCTGTTCAATGCCTTCGTCTTCGTAGAACAGTTGAAGCGAGTTGGTTGCAAACTCGCGAGCTCCGTCGTGTCGCACGAACTTGACCTTCTTACAGAATTGCGTCTGTACCATGGTGATATATTTCCGGATGTAGTCTTCACTCTCACTCGTAGACAAAAGCCCTTCGTGCATCCACTCCACTGGCTTCGTCTACGATCAGTAGCATATATCTGCTACCACCGAGCGAATCGTTTTCCATGGACCCACAGATGTCCAGATGAAGCAGCTCACACTTATCGTAGCTGCGCTTGTCTCGGGTTGCTTGGAAATGGTTTTGGACCATTTTCCCTTGTTGACATCCTCGACATGTAGTTGCTCCACCCGATTTGAGAGGGACTCGCACATCCTTGATCATGTTGGTCGCGATCAGCTTGCGAAGTACATCGACTGGAGCATGACCCATTCTCGCATGTAGATCGGCACAACTGGTTCCACTTGTTGTCACATTCGCTGATAGTTGAGTCGTCCGAAGCCAGTAGAGTCCATCCACGAGATCCGCTGTCGCCACCACTTGCTGTGAGTTCTTGAGAGTCACATACATCTTGGACCCGTCAAAAACGACTTGAAACTTGCCATGGCTGTTAATCTGTGGCACCGAGAGCAGGTTCTTGCTCATACTTGGAACATATAGCGCGTTCTTGATTTCGATCTCACGCTCTTCACCGTTGGGCAGAACCACCTTTTCCATGATGGTTCCCACACCCTTGATGGCCACCTTGTTGCCATCAGCCACCAAGAGTTCGCCCTCATTGCGCTCTGCCAAACTTGCGAACTTGGTCTTGTCGTGGCAAATGTGGTGCGTTGCACCACTGTCGACGGCCCACATTCCAGACACGTCCTTGCTCGTCGAAACTCCACATTCGAACGAGACTGCAAACGCCACTCGATCGTAGCCATTGCCTTCATCATGATGTCCCCACTGGACATTGTTAGCCCCGCGTCCACGACCATTGCCGCCGCGTCGGGCTCCCCGACCTTCGTTCTTCTGCTTTGTCCAGCAACGATCCACCGTGTGTCCCACCTTGCCACAATACGTGCATTGGTAGGGCTCACGCTCGGCGCTGAATGCCTTGCTTGCATCTTCAGCCTTCACCGTAGTCGCTGTCGTTGTCCCTTTTTCTCCTTGACGCTTGGCATGCTCATTCGTCAGGACTCTCACCACATCTTGAGTGCGAAGCTCGGTGCTGCTCATTTCCATGTTGAGCACCACATTTTCGCAGCTCTTCGGAAGACTGAGTAGCAGACAAATTGCAACGTCTTCGTCTTCCATCTTCGCACCGATGCCGCTAAGCTTGGCGGAGATGTTGAGGACCTCGTTGCAGTGATGCATGACGTTCGCGCCTTCAGCCATCTTGATACTGAAAAGTTGTCGCTTGAGGTAGATGCGTCCTGCCTTCTGCGACCCACCGTACAGCGTCTTCAGACTTGTCCACGCAACCCAGGCTTCCTCGCAGTTGTCCAGCACATGATGGTAGTCCGCGTTCATGTGCAGCAGCACCATACCAAACGCGACGTTGCTTGCCTTGACGTAGCCATCGGACGCTCGCGGGTCGGTGAAAGTCGGAGTCACTTCACGGTTGACAACGTGCCAGACGGACTTCGTCAAAAACACACCGCGCATGTACCGGCTCCACGTTGCGTAATTGTCTCCGTTGAACTTGTCAATGGAGGCGTTGCTGGTGGACGACATGGCGCTTGGGCTCATAACCTGTTGCATTGTAGATCGGAGCGAGGAAAGCGGAGCAAACGGAGCGGAGAGACCGAAGAGAGTAGAGCAGAAAACACTTGCCCAATAGTTGGAAGATTCGAAAGTAATTGATTATCGGGGCTTACTACTTACTACATGATTTATATGTGGTGTACATATAAATCATGTGAAGCGTCTCATCATCCTACGCGTCTAATCAACTATGGTAATTACCGTAAGAACTACGTCGTAAATACTAAGCTGAACAGGCGGTTCGGATTGGATCGGTCACGGTTACCAATACTGGTAGAAAACCGATGACCGTCAACAAAGATGACGAAGAACCCAGTCAACCACGGCCGTGCCAAGCACATTGATATCAAGTACCATCACATCCGTGATGAGGTCAAGCGCGGTGAAGTGAAGCTCAAGTACTGTGAAACTGCGGTGATGTTAGCGGACATCATGACGAAGGGACTTCATGGACCACGCCACAAGGAGATGACGACGGCTCTCGGGATTCGTGAGCATTCGGATTGAGGGGGCGTGTTGACGGTCATCGGTTTTCTACCAGTATTGGTAACCGTGACCGATCCAATCCGAACCGCCTGTTCAGCTTAGTATTTACGACGTAGTTCTTACGGTAATTACCATAGTTGATTAGACGCGTAGGATGATGAGACGCTTCACATGATTTATATGTACACCACATATAAATCATGTAGTAAGTAGTAAGCCCCGATAATCAATCACTTTCGAATCTTCCAACTATTGGGCAAGTGTTTCTGCTCTACTCTCTTCGGTCTCTCCGCTCCGTTTGCTCCGCTTTCCTCGCTCCGATCTACAATGCAACACTTGCGAAGCTTCATCATCTTTACTTCCTTGCTCCTTCCGCTTCATTTCTTCATGAAGCAGTCGAGACGTCACGAGCTCCCAGCTAAGAGTGTCTGAGCGCGACTCCAAGCTGTGATCAAGAATTGATACGAGTCACTCAGGCTGCCGAGAAGTGTGATCACCAGATCGTCCTCGCAGACTGGAGCACCCACCGCTTCTAGCTGTTCCGCCAGCGGCTTGAGCTTGTTGATGTGTTCGAGCACATCGTCGCCTTCTTCCATCATTGTCGTGAAGAAGCGACGGCGCAAGAACAGCTTGTTGGCAAGACTCTTCTTCTCGAAGTGGTCTTCCAACCTTGACCATGCGTCGCATGCACCACTTGCCGACCGGACCAACGGTAGCTAAGAATCTTCCATGGCTAGACAGATCACTGCCATCGCCTTTCTTGACTTCCTCTTGTACGTCGCTTGGTCCAACTGAGTCTCGCACTGCTCCGCCTTGACCTCACCACTGACGACCTCCCACAGGTCCCGTACTTCGAGCACCATCTGCATCTTGAACATCCATGCGTGGAAGTTGGTCCCGTCGAACTTGGAGATGCGGAGGGAGGAGGCGTCCATGGCAGCTAAGCTTGAATTGTTGGCGGTTTCAGAGTCTGACGAACTTGGGCTCATAACCTGATGAACTTTAGACTTCTTGGTCCGAGTGCAAAACGCAAAGTGAATATATATTTATAATAGGTACTTAGTTCGCAACTTTGAATACTACCTCTAAGCCTATTATTCGCAGTGACGTCATCCAGTGACGTCACCCACTGACGTCACCCACTGACGTCATCCAATGACGTCATTTCCTGACTTCGCCCTTACTGGTACATACCGGTACCCACCGGTATAGCGAAGCTTGGTCTTCCACTTGCTTCAACACTTTACGCAGCTTGACGAGGTGTCTTCTTCACAGCCGCTGTCTTTTCAACATCGACGAGCAAAGACGTGTCTGGAATGTGGGCCGTCGACAGTGGTGCAATGCACCACATTTGCCACGACAAGACCAAGTTCGCAAGTTTGGCAGAGCGCAATGAGGGCGAACTCTTGGTGGCTGATGGCAACAAGGTGGCCATCAAGGGTGTGGGAACCATCATGGAAAAGGTGGTTCTGCCCAACGGTGAAGAGCGTGAGATAGAAATCAAGAACGCACTATATGTTCCAAGTATGAGTGTTGTAACTTGAGCGCGAGGCGAAGAGAAAACGAAGCGGAGAGACCGGAGAGAACGAAGCAGAGAACACTTGCTCACTTGAGGGAGGATTCGAAAGTGATTGATTTATAGGTCTTAACTTCTGCCTACCCTAGACTGCATCCAATCACATGGTGCATCTAATCAACCTGATTTACACGCGTCCAATCATCCTACGCGTCTAATCATCTCTGAGGTAATTACCGATGTAAAAACTATCTCGTAAGAACTACGCGCTAGGTTCGGATTGTACCGGTAACCCTCAATAGAGCCCCCTCAATCCGAACACGCACGGATGCCAAGCGCCGCCGTCAAGTCCTTGTGACGCGGTCCGTGAAGTCCCTTCGTCATGATGTCCGCCAACATCAACGTCGTCTCGCAGTATTCAAGCTTCACTTCGCCGCGCTTGACTTCATCACGGATGTGATGGTACTTGATGTCGATGTGTTTAGCGCGGCCGTGGTTGACCGGATTCTTCGTCATCTTGATGCACGACTGGTTGTCTTCACGGATGACGAGCTCGGGTCCTTCTTCGTTTGCAGCCGCCATGATCTCGCACAGCAAGCGATTGATCCACTTGCCTTCTTGGATCGCCAGGCTGAGCGCGATGTACTCCGCTTCGCTTGTAGACAGTGACACACTTGGCTGTTTCTTGCTGCCCCAACTCACCGGAGCACCCAATAGCATGAAGACGTAGCCGGACGTCGATTTGCGATCAGCAAGGTCACCGGCCCAGTCTGCATCTGAATAGCCACGAAAGTCGATCTTCGCACTTGGCTTGTAGCAGATTCCATGCATCTTGGTGCCTTGTAGGTAGCGGAAGATGCGCTTGACTGCAACCCAGTGTTCTTCTTGGGGTTTCTCCATGAACCGTGACACAAAGCTAACAGCATAGGCGATGTCCGGTCGCGTTGCAGTCGTCAGATGCATCAAAGCACCCACTGCTTCACGGAATGGGACATCCACCTTGCTTGCAGAGTTGCTTGGAACCAGTCGAGAGCTGACGTCCACCGGACTTGTTACAGCCTCGCACTCATCCATTCCAAAGCGCTTGAGGACATCGTCGACATAACGGCGCTGACACATAGTCACGCTGCCATCTTCACCGTCCAATAACTCGATCCCAAGAACAAAGGCACACTTGCCGCTGTCCGTCATCTCGAAGCGTGTCTTGAGGTCGTTCTTGGTGCGCGCAATCATCTCGAGCGAGCTTCCAGTCACCAAGACATCGTCCACGTAGACCAGCACAAAAACACAATGGCCTTCCGAAGTCATGATGTAGAGACATGGATCGAATCCCGACGCTTGAAAACCAATCGAGCGTATGAACTCGTCGAAGGTCTCGTTCCAAACACGCGAGGCTTGCTTGAGACCGTAGATCGCCTTGATCAGCTCGAGACAGTCGAAATCACCTTCCATCTTGACGCCTTCCGGAACAGCGCAGAACACCTTCTCCTTCATCACTCCATACAGGAACGCAGTCACCACATCGAGCTGGTCGAGGGGCCATCCAAAGTGCTTGGTAATGGCGATGACCATTCGCAGCGTCACATACTTGACCACGGGCGAGAACGTCTCCGTGTAGTCGATGCCATACTTTTGGCGAAAACCCTTGGCCACAAGTCGTGCCTTGTATTTCTCGATCGACCCATCCGCCTTGCGCTTGATCTTGAAGACCCACTTTGTGCCAATGGCGCTTTGTCCGTTGGGTAACTTGGCCGCACGAAAGACACCGCGAAGCTTCATCGAATCGAGCTCCGCATCAATTGCCTTGCGCCAGTGTACTTGGTCCGGGCCAGACACTGCTTCTTCAAATGTCGATGGCTCCGAAAAATCGACCGCTGCTTCGACGGCGTTTGCACTCGCATGCCAAAACGCGGAGGAAGTCGGTGTGTCATGTTGTTCCTCCGACTTCCTTTCTTCATCTTCGTTGGCTCGACGTGAAGAGAGGTCATCCGGCGCACTTGACTCTTCCAATCCGGGTCGTTGGCGCACTGCTCGGGGCATGCTTGCGTCGTCATTGTCGTGACTGGGTCGGGCCTTGCGCTTTCCTGTTTGTTTGAAGTGTCTCGGAAGCGGTTCTTCATCATCAAGATCGATCGATTCGAAGTCCAGGCCATCAACATCGTCATCGGAAATCAGCATCGACATTCCAAAGGCCGACTCATCGAAGTTGACATCGCGACTTATCATCACCTGCCCCGCTTCGATGTCGTAAACTCGATACGCCTTGGACACTTCTTCGTAGCCCAAAAACAATCCAGCCCGGGCCTTGGGATCCCACTTGAGTCGTTTCTCCTTCGGGGTCAAGATGTATGCTTGGCACCCAAAAACGCGCATGTGCTTGACACTTGGCTTAGAATTGTAGACAATCTCGAACGGTGTCTTGTATGGAATCTTGGGTGACGGCAAACGGTTCTTCACATAGACGGCCGTCATTGCCGCTTCAGCCCAGAAGTACTTGTCCAACTTGGCATGATGGAGCATGCTACGACCGATGGTGACGATAGTTCGAATCGCGCGTTCAGCAGTTCCATTGGCTTGATGTGCGTATGGCACCGTGGTTTGTTGCTCGATGCCTTCGACTTCGTAGAAATCTTGAAGCGAGTTCGTCGCAAACTCGCGGGCTCCATCGTGTCGCACAAATTTGACCTTCTTGTTGAACTGCGTCTGTATCATCGTGATGTACTTCTTGATGCACTCTTCGCTCTCTGACTTGGAATGCAGACAAAAACCCTTCATGCATCCGCTGGCTTCATCCACGATCAGCAGCAGATACTTGCTGCCACCCAGAGATTTTTCTTCCATGGGTCCGCAGATGTCGAAGTGGAGCATCTCGAAGGTGTTGTAGGTGCGCTTGTCACGGTTGCTCGGGAATGGTTTTTGGACCATCTTCCCTTCTTGGCATCCTCGACACACACTTGATCCATTCGGCTTGGAAGGGATGTGAGCGTCCTTGATCATGTGGCTTGTCACCATCCTGCGAAGCACGTCGACTGGAGCATGGCCCATTCGCGCATGTAGATCAACAGCGTTGCTGAGTGATGTCGCATTGGCCGATCGCTGCGTCGTGCGAAGCCAGTAGAGTCCGTCTACAAGATCCGCAGCTGCCACCACTTGGTTGGAATCCTTGCGAGCGACGTACATCGTATCCCCGTCAAACACCACTTGGAAGTTGCCGTGCTTGTTAATCTGCGGCACCGAGAGCAGATTTTTGCTCATGCTGGGCACATAGAGCGCGTTCTTGATCTCGATCTCGCGCTCTTCCCCGTTTGGCAGAATCAACTTTTCCACGATGGTCCCCACACCTTTGATGACCGCCTTGTTGCCATCAGCCACCAGGATCTCGCCATCATTGCCTTCGACCAAGCTTGCAAACTTGAACTTGTCGTGGCAGATGTGATGCGTTGCCCCGCTGTCAACGGCCCACATTCCTGGTCCATTCTTGTTCGTCGAAACTCCGCATTCAAACGAAACTGCAAACGCCACTCGATCGTAGCTGTTGCCTTCATCATAATGTCGCCACTGGACATTTTTTGCCCCGCGTCCACGACCATTGCCGCCGCGTTGGGCTCCTCGACTTTCATCCTTTTGCTTCGTCCAGCAACGCTCTGCCGTGTGCCCCACCTTGCCGCAGTATGTGCATTGGTAGGGCTTGCGCTCGGTACTGAATGCCTTTGTCGCATCTTCAGTCTTCACCGTTGTCGTTGCCGTTGTCATCTTCTCGCCTTGTCGCTTGATGTGCTCGTTAGTCAGCACCTTGACCACATCTTGCGTGCGCAGCTCTGCATTGCTCATCTCCAAGTTCAGAACCACGTTCTCGAAACTCTTCGGGAGACTGAGCAGCAAGCAGATCGCAATGTCTTCGTCTTCCATCTTGGCACCGATGCTGCTGAGCTTGGCGCCGATGTTCAAGACTTCGTTGCAATGGTGCAAGACGTTGGCACCTTCCGCCATCTTGATGCTGAACAGCTGGCGCTTGAGGTAGATGCGTCCCGCCTTCTGCGACCCACCATAGAGCATCTTCAACCGCAACCACGCTGTCCATGCTTCTTCACAGTTGTCGACCACATGGTGGTATTCGGCGTCCATGTGGAGCAACATCAACCCGAACGCGATGTTGCTCGCCTTGACGTACTCGTCGGAAGCTCGCGTGTCGGTGAAGGTTGGAGACGTTTCGCGGTTCACGACGTACCAGACTGACTTCGTCAGAAACACGCCGCGCATGTAGCGACACCAGGTTGAGTAGTTGTCCCCATCGAACTTATCGATGGAGACACTGGCCGAGGTGTTGTTGGACGACATGGCGCTTGGGCTCATAACCTGTTGTAACTTGAGCGCGAGGCGAAGAGAAAACGAAGCGGAGAGACCGGAGAGAACGAAGCAGAGAACACTTGCTCACTTGAGGGAGGATTCGAAAGTGATTGATTTATAGGTCTTAACTTCTGCCTACCCTAGACTGCATCCAATCACATGGTGCATCTAATCAACCTGATTTACACGCGTCCAATCATCCTACGCGTCTAATCATCTCTGAGGTAATTACCGATGTAAAAACTATCTCGTAAGAACTACGCGCTAGGTTCGGATTGTACCGGTAACCCTCAATAGAGAACCCCCAAGTCGAGCATTGGATGGCGGTCAAGCGCATTTTGCGATACTTACAAGGGACTAAGTCGCACGGTATCTGTTTCAAGCCTGATGACAAGATAGACTTCTGTGGCTACTCGGATGCAGATTGGGCCGGCGACCATGCAGACCGGAAGTCGACTTCAGGATACGCGTTTATCCTGATGGGTGCTCCGGTGAGCTGGGGAAGCAAAAAGCAGTCAAGTGTGTCGCTGTCAACAAGTGAAGCTGAGTACATTGCACTAAGTCTGGCGATTCAAGAAGGAAAGTGGGTGCATCGATTGCTGTGCGAGATTCTGGATGCCGCAGAGGACAAGTCTGGACCCGAGCTCAAGATCATGGAAGACAACCAGTCGTGCATCAAGATGACGAAGAATCCGGTGAACCATGGTCGGGCCAAGCACATCGACATCAAGTACCACCACATTCGTGATGAAGTCAAGCGTGGTGATGTCAAGTTGGAGTACTGTGAGACTACGATCATGTTGGCGGACATCATGACGAAGGGACTGCCAGGACCGCGTCACAAGGACTTGACGGCAGCGCTCGGCATACACGCGTGTTCGCATTGAGGGGGCGTATTGTGGGTTGACGGTTGAGGTACTGCTATCAGCTACCATGGGAACCGTAAACCTGTCCAAGTCGATCCCGCGTAATTACGGTGAGTTTTTACCAATGATTAGACGCATAGGATGATTGGATGACCTACGTGATTTATGATTCATGATTTATATGTGGACAACATATAAATCAGTGCAGAGATATATCAGGTAGCTTTAACAAAACCCACAAATAAATTCACTTCCAAATATTCCTTTTTCAGCACAAGTCGTCTACACTTCGAAGTGCAGACTTCTTCAGCGTTCTTCAAGCTTCGTTCTCTCGTCCAGTGCTCTTCAGATTTTGAACAATGTGCATACGGCACCGTTGTCTGCTGTTCAATGCCTTCGTCTTCGTAGAACAGTTGAAGCGAGTTGGTTGCAAACTCGCGAGCTCCGTCGTGTCGCACGAACTTGACCTTCTTACAGAATTGCGTCTGTACCATGGTGATATATTTCCGGATGTAGTCTTCACTCTCACTCGTAGACAAAAGCCCTTCGTGCATCCACTCCACTGGCTTCGTCTACGATCAGTAGCATATATCTGCTACCACCGAGCGAATCGTTTTCCATGGACCCACAGATGTCCAGATGAAGCAGCTCACACTTATCGTAGCTGCGCTTGTCTCGGTTGCTTGGAAATGGTTTTTGGACCATTTTCCCTTGTTGACATCCTCGACATGTAGTTGCTCCACCCGATTTGAGAGGGACTCGCACATCCTTGATCATGTTGGTCGCGATCAGCTTGCGAAGTACATCGACTGGAGCATGACCCATTCTCGCATGTAGATCGGCACAACTGGTTCCACTTGTTGTCACATTTGCTGATCGTTGAGTCGTCCGAAGCCAGTAGAGTCCATCCACGAGATCCGCTGTCGCCACCACTTGCTGTGAGTTCTTGAGAGTCACATACATCTTGGACCCGTCAAACACGACTTGAAACTTGCCATGGCTGTTAATCTGTGGCACCGAGAGCAGGTTCTTGCTCATTATTGAGAGTTACCGGTACAATCCGAACCTAGCGCGTAGTTCTTACGAGATAGTTTTTACATCGGTAATTACCTCAGAGATGATTAGACGCGTAGGATGATTGGACGCGTGTAAATCAGGTTGATTAGATGCACCATGTGATTGGATGCAGTCTAGGGTAGGCAGAAGTTAAGACCTATAAATCAATCACTTTCGAATCCTCTCTCAAGTGAGCAAGTGTTCTCTGCTTCGTTCTCTCCGGTCTCTCCGCTTCGTTTTCTCTTCGCCTCGCGCTCAAGTTACAACAGGTTATGAGCCCAAGCGCCATGTCGTCCAACAACACCTCGGCCAGTGTCTCCATCGATAAGTTCGATGGGGACAACTAATCAACCTGGTGTCGCTACATGCGCGGCGTGTTTCTGACGAAGTCAGTCTGGTACGTCGTGAACCGCGAAACGTCTCCAACCTTCACCGACACGCGAGCTTCCGACGAGTACGTCAAGGCGAGCAACATCGCGTTCGGGTTGATGTTGCTCCACATGGACGCCGACTACCACCATGTGGTCGACAACTGTGAAGAAGCATGGACAGCGTGGTCGCGGTTGAAGATGCTCTATGGTGGGTCGCAGAAGGCGGGACGCATCTACCTCAAGCGCCAGCTGTTCAGCATCAAGATGGCGGAAGGTGCCAACGTCTTGCACCATTGCAACGAAGTCTTGAACATCGGCGCCAAGCTCAGCAGCATCGGTGCCAAGATGGAAGACGAAGACATTGCGATCTGCTTGCTGCTCAGTCTCCCGAAGAGTTTCGAGAACGTGGTTCTGAACTTGGAGATGAGCAATGCAGAGCTGCGCACGCAAGATGTGGTCAAGGTGCTGACTAACGAGCACATCAAGCGACAAGGCGAGAAGATGACAACGGCAACGACAACGGTGAAGACTGAAGATGCGACAAAGGCATTCAGTACCGAGCGCAAGCCCTACCAATGCACATACTGCGGCAAGGTGGGGCACACGGCAGAGTGTTGAAAAGACAGCGGCTGTGAAGAAGACACCTCGTCAAGCTGCGTCAAGTGTTGAAGCAAGTGGAAGACCAAGCTTCGCTATACCGGTGGGTACCGGTATGTACCAGTAAGGGCGAAGTCAGGAAATGACGTCACTGGATGACGTCATTGCATGACGTCAGTGGGTGACGTCAGTGGGTGACGTCACTGGATGACGTCACTGCGAATAATAGGCTTAGAGGTAGTATTCAAAGTTGCGAACTAAGTACCTATTATAAATATATATTCACTTTGCGTTTTGCACTCGGACCAAGAAGTCTAAAGTTCATCAGGTTATGAGCCCAAGTTCGTCAGACTCTGAAACCGCCAACAATTCAAGCTTAGCTGCCATGGACGCCTCCTCCCTCCGCATCTCCAAGTTCGATGGAACTAACTTCCACGCCTGGAAGTTCAAGATGCAGATGGTGCTGGAGGAACGGGACCTATGGGAGGTCGTCAGCGGTGAGATCAAGGCGGAACAGTGCGAGACTCAGTTGGACCAAGCGACGTACAAGAGGAAGTCAAGAAAGGCGATGGCAGTGATCTGTCTAGCCATGGAAGATTTCCAGCTACCGTTGGTCCGGTCGGCAAGTGGTGCATGCGACGCATGGTCAAGGTTGGAAGACCACTTCGAGAAGAAGAGTCTTGCCAACAAGCTGTTCTTGCGCCGTCGCTTCTTCACGACAATGATGGAAGAAGGCGACGATGTGCTCGAACACATCAACAAGCTCAAGACGCTGGCGGAACAGCTAGAAGCGGTGGGGGACTCCAGTCTGCGAGGACGATCTGGTGATCACACTCCTCGGCAGCCTGAGTGACTCGTATCAATTCTTGATCACCGCTTTGGAGTCGCGTGTTGAAAAGACAGCGGCTGTGAAGAAGACACCTCGTCAAGCTGCGTCAAGTGTTGAAGCAAGTGGAAGACCAAGCTTCGCTATACCGGTGGGTACCGGTATGTACCAGTAAGGGCGAAGTCAGGAAATGACGTCATTGGATGACGTCATTGCATGACGTCAGTGGGTGACGTCAGTGGGTGACGTCACTGGATGACGTCACTGCGAATAATAGGCTTAGAGGTAGTATTCAAAGTTGCGAACTAAGTACCTATTATAAATATATATTCACTTTGCGTTTTGCACTCGGACCAAGAAGTCTAAAGTTCATCAGGTTATGAGCCCAAGTTCGTCAGACTCTGAAACCGCCAACAATTCAAGCTTAGCTGCCATGGACGCCTCCTCCCTCCGCATCTCCAAGTTCGATGGAACTAACTTCCACGCCTGGAAGTTCAAGATGCAGATGGTGCTGGAGGAACGGGACCTATGGGAGGTCGTCAGCGGTGAGATCAAGGCGGAACAGTGCGAGACTCAGTTGGACCAAGCGACGTACAAGAGGAAGTCAAGAAAGGCGATGGCAGTGATCTGTCTAGCCATGGAAGATTCCCAGCTACCGTTGGTCCGGTCGGCAAGTGGTGCATGCGACGCATGGTCAAGGTTGGAAGACCACTTCGAGAAGAAGAGTCTTGCCAACAAGCTGTTCTTGCGCCGTCGCTTCTTCACGACAATGATGGAAGAAGGCGACGATGTGCTCGAACACATCAACAAGCTCAAGACGCTGGCGGAACAGCTAGAAGCGGTGGGGGCTCCAGTCTGCGAGGACGATCTGGTGATCACACTTCTCGGCAGCCTGAGTGACTCGTATCAATTCTTGATCACAGCTTTGGAGTCGCGCTCAGACACTCTTAGCTGGGAGCTCGTGACGTCTCGACTGCTTCATGAAGAAATGAAGCGGAAGGAGCAAGGAAGTAAAGGTGATGAAGCTTCGCAAGGTCAAGCGTTCATCACAAGGGACAATCAGCGCAAAGGGCGACCAGTGAAGAAGTCCTGGCCGTGCCACAATTGCGGAAAGATTGGTCACTGGATGGCGGAGTGCCCCTCGCGCATCCAAGAAAACACGGAGAGACACCGGCCACAGCGTGCTCAAGACAGCGGCGACCGCTATCGATCACAACGTGCAAACGTCGCTCAAGAAGAAGACTCGGGCGACTACCTCTTTTCGATCGGTGAAACGACATCTGCGAAATCGAGCGGCATCTGGCTGGTCGAATCCGGGGCGACGCAGCACATGACGTGCTCCAAGAAGTTCATGCGGAACTACAAGGGGTTTGACGCTGTGGATGTCCATCTCGCGGATGATGGAATCGTCCAAGCAATCGGCAGTGGGGACATTGTCATGTCAATGAAGACACCCCAAGGGATGAAGAAAGGTGTGCTCACAAACGTGTGGCACATCCCAAAGTTATCCAGAAACCTGTTCTCGGTCGGCCGCTTCACCAAGGATGTCGGCCCAGTGACGTTCACGAAGGATGGGTGCTATGGAGAAGCGAAAGGGACCAAGTGGAAAATTGGTGCCCGTGAAGGTAAAGGACTGTTCAAGCTGCAAATGACTCCAGTGGCGCCGGAACAAGCAAATGCAGCCAAGTCGTCGGGATGTCAAGGGGGCACCAAGTCGTACCTCTGGCACCTTCGGCTTGGCCACATAGGTCACGATGGACTCAATTGCATCGTGACGAAGAACATTGGAATTGGCATCGACATATCTTCGGTGAAGAAGTGGGACGTGTGTGAAGGTTGTGCTCTGGGAAAACAGACTCGAGTGCGCTTCCAATCAAACACTACAGCTCGCACCTCCAAACTCCTCGAAGTGATTCACAGCGACGTATGCGGACCGATGTCGATGGCAACTTTCAGTGGAAAACGGTACTTCGTGACATTCATTGATGACAAGTCAAGATACTGTGTCGTCTATCTGCTCAAGAGCAAATCTGAAGTTGCGGCGAAGTTCATGGAATACGCTGCGATGGCCGAAACGCAAACCGGAAAGCGCGTGAAGTACCTTCAAAGCGACAATGGGGGTGAATACAAGTCCGACAAGCTGGCACGATTCTGCGCGGAACGGGGAATACAACAAAGGTTCACACCCCCATATACTCCTCAGCTAAACGGAGTAGCTGAGAGAATGAATCGCACGCTGGTCGAGTGTGCGCGTTGCATGATGGAACACGCTGGACTGGGAAAGAGCTACTGGGGTGAAGCAGTGATGACGGCGATGTTTCTTCGAAACCGCTGTCCAACACGTGCCATTCACCAAGACAAGTCTCTATATCAAGTGTGGACGATGAAGAAACCGATTCTGGCCAACCTTAAAGTGTTTGGATGCCACGCGTATGTTCAAGTGCCTCAAGACAAACGCGCGAAGTTCGACTCCAAGTCATCACTCTGTCGTTTCCTGGGATACGCCGAACACCAGAAGTCATATCGATTTGAGGAAGTGTCAACAGGAGCGATCAAGATCAGTCGCGATGCCACATTCATGGAAGACAAGTTTGATGAAGGTCCGCGCAACTACAACGATGAGTCAAGTGTCGTTGAGTTTGATGATCAAGACGAGGACGAAGAAAAAGAAGAAGGTAAAACTGACGACGACATGGACTCGAGCGACGATGACAACGAAGACACCAGGTCTTCGAAGAGCAACATCAAGAGACACACGCGCACTCAATCACTTGAGAAAGCTACCGTCATTCCAAGTCCCAAGCGAAGAACATACAGATGTCCGTCGCTTGAGCATGTGTCAGCGGCTGCAATGGATTTTGAAGCAGCCTACATCGTTGATTCAGTGGGGGAAACGCCGACTACATTCAAGTCGGCGATGGAATCAAGCGACTCCGGCAAGTGGAAAGAAGCGTGTGACTCGGAGTTCGACTCGCTTCAGAGAAACGACACGTGGGAAATCGTGCCTCTTCCGAAAGGTCGCAAGGCCATCGGGTGCCGATGGGTTTTTCGTGTAAAGGAGAATCAAGATGGCGAAGTTGAACGTTTCAAGGCAAGACTTGTGGCCAAAGGATTCTCACAGAAATTCGGAGTTGACTATGAAGAAACTTTCGCACCGGTGGCCAAGTTCACATCGATTCGTGTGGTGCTCAGTATGGCGGCTAAGTACGGCCTAATGCTACATCAGATGTGATGAACTTTAGACTTCTTGGTCCGAGTGCAAAACGCAAAGTGAATATATATTTATAATAGGTACTTAGTTCGCAACTTTGAATACTACCTCTAAGCCTATTATTCGCAGTGACGTCATCCAGTGACGTCATTTCCTGACTTCGCCCTTACTGGTACATACCGGTACCCACCGGTATAGCGAAGCTTGGTCTTCCACTTGCTTCAACACTTGACGCAGCTTGACGAGGTGTCTTCTTCACAGCCGCCGTCTTCCCAACACTCCCTCTCGACTCGTTAGCTGCGGCACCTTGGATCCCAAGTCGATCGCGAATGTTTTCAAATTGTACAGCGGCGATCGGCTTGGTCATCATGTCTGCCAGCATATCTTGAGTCGGGCAATACTCCAAAACGACTTCACCTGATTCCACCTTCTCACGCACAAAATGGTAGCGTATGTCGATGTGTTTTGTTCTCTTATGGAACTCCGGGTTCTTGGCGAGAGCGATTGATCCTTGGTTGTCTTCATACATCTTGATCGCTTCGTCGCTTGTCATCTCACCAAGTTCCCCCAAAAGCACTTTGAGCCATACTGCTTCTTTGGTTGCTTCGGAAAGCGCCATGTATTCTGCTTCTGTTGAAGATAGCGCGACCGTCCGTTGTTTCTGGCTTTTCCAGCTGATGCATCCTCCGCTCATCATGAACACATAGCCGCTTGTACTTCGTCTTGACTCAATGTTGATGAACTTTAGACTTCTTGGTCCGAGTGCAAAACGCAAAGTGAATATATATTTATAATAGGTACTTAGTTCGCAACTTTGAATACTACCTCTAAGCCTATTATTCGCAGTGACGTCATCCAGTGACGTCACCCACTGACGTCACCCACTGACGTCATGCAATGACGTCATCCAGTGACGTCATTTCCTGACTTCGCCCTTACTGGTACATACCGGTACCCACCGGTATAGCGAAGCTTGGTCTTCCACTTGCTTCAACACTTGACGCAGCTTGACGAGGTGTCTTCTTCACAGCCGCTGTCTTTTCAACACTCCCTCTCGACTCGTTAGCTGCGGCACCTTGGATCCCAAGTCGATCGCGAATGTTTTCAAATTGTACAGCGGCGATCGGCTTGGTCATCATGTCTGCCAGCATATCTTGAGTCGGGCAATACTCCAAAACGACTTCACCTGATTCCACCTTCTCACGCACAAAAATGGTAGCGTATGTCGATGTGTTTTGTTCTCTTATGGAACTCCGGGTTCTTGGCGAGAGCGATTGATCCTTGGTTGTCTTCATACATCTTGATCGCTTCGTCGCTTGTCATCTCACCAAGTTCCCCAAAAGCACTTTGAGCCATACTGCTTCTTTGGTTGCTTCGGAAAGCGCCATGTATTCTGCTTCTGTTGAAGATAGCGCGACCGTCCGTTGTTTCTGGCTTTTCCAGCTGATGCATCCTCCGCTCATCATGAACACATAGCCGCTTGTACTTCGTCTTGACTCAATGTCGCCGGCCCAGTCTGCGTCGGTGTACCCGCAGATACGGCTTCCTTCTTCACGTGTAAACTCAAGACCATGATTGGGCGTTGCTTGCAGGTATCTCAGCACACGCTTCAAAGCTTGCCAGTGAGTCGGGCATGGGTCGGACGAGAACTGGGATAATGATCCCACTGCAGCAGCTAGATCCGGACGTGTGGCGACCATGAGATACATGATGCCTCCGACAGCACTTCGATATGGCACGTTGCACATGGTGTCTTCGTGCTTGCATTCTTGTTCACACATGTTCTTGGTTAGCTTCAGGCCGGGATCTTGAGGCGTCTTCACTGGCTTGCTGTTATCCATTCCGAACTTGGTTAACACGGACTTGAGAAACTTGGTTTGTTGTACAGTCACCATTCCCGTCTTACGGTCGTTCTTGATCTCCATGCCGAGAAAGTAATCGAGCTCACCGAGATCCGTCATTTCGAAGCGTTTGCTCAGCGCCATCTTGGTTGACTTGAGGAGTTCGTTGTTGCTGCTGGCCAGGATGAGATCATCGACGTAGAGCACCACGAGAATCATGTCTTGGTCGTCTCGCTTGATGTAGATGCAGTGGTCCGATTCGCACTTCTTGAATCCCATCTTGATCATGAACCCATCGATTGTTTGGTTCCACATGCGAGGCGATTGCTTCAAGCCGTAGAGTGATCTCTTTAGCTTGCACACATAGTCCGGCTGTGTTGCATCCAGGTATCCGTCCGGCTGGTCCATGTAGATGTCTTCGTTGAGGGAGCCGTTAAGAAACGCTGTCTTGACGTCCATCTGATGTAGCATTAGGCCGTACTTAGCCGCCATACTGAGCACCACACGAATCGATGTGAACTTGGCCACCGGTGCGAAAGTTTCTTCATAGTCAACTCCGAATTTCTGTGAGAATCCTTTGGCCACAAGTCTTGCCTTGAAACGTTCAACTTCGCCATCTTGATTCTCCTTTACACGAAAAACCCATCGGCACCCGATGGCCTTGCGACCTTTCGGAAGAGGCACGATTTCCCACGTGTCGTTTCTCTGAAGCGAATCGAACTCCGAGTCACACGCTTCTTTCCACTTGCCGGAGTCGCTTGATTCCATCGCCGACTTGAATGTAGTCGGCGTTTCCCCCACTGAATCAACGATGTAGGCTGCTTCAAAATCCATTGCAGCCGCTGACACATGCTCAAGCGACGGACCTCTGTATGTTCTTCGCTTGGGACTTGGAATGACGGTAGCTTTCTCAAGTGATTGAGTGCGCGTGTGTCTCTTGATGTTGCTCTTCGAAGACCTGGTGTCTTCGTTGTCATCGTCGCTCGAGTCCATGTCGTCGTCAGTTTTACCTTCTTCTTTTCTTCGTCCTCATCATGATCATCAAACTCAACGACACTTGACTCATCGTTGTAGTTGCGCGGACCTTCATCAAACTTGTCTTCCATGAATGTGGCATCGCGACTGATCTTGATCGCTCCTGTTGACACTTCCTCAAATCGATATGACTTCTGGTGTTCGGCGTATCCCAGGAAACGACAGAGTGATGACTTGGAGTCGAACTTCGCGCGTTTGTCTTGAGGCACTTGAACATACGCGTGGCATCCAAACACTTTAAGGTTGGCCAGAATCGGTTTCTTCATCGTCCACACTTGATATGGAGACTTGTCTTGGTGAATGGCACGTGTTGGACAGCGGTTTCGAAGAAACATCGCCGTCATCACTGCTTCACCCCAGTAGCTCTTTCCCAGTCCAGCGTGTTCCATCATGCAACGCGCACACTCGACCAGCGTGCGATTCATTCTCTCAGCTACTCCGTTTAGCTGAGGAGTATATGGGGGTGTGAACCTTTGTTGTATTCCCCGTTCCGCACAGAATCGTGCCAGCTTGTCGGACTTGTATTCACCCCCATTGTCGCTTTGAAGGTACTTCACGCGCTTTCCGGTTTGCGTTTCGGCCATCGCAGCGTATTCCATGAACTTCGCCGCAACTTCAGATTTGCTCTTGAGCAGATAGACGACACAGTATCTTGACTTGTCATCAATGAATGTCACGAAGTACCGTTTTCCACTGAAAGTTGCCATCGACATCGGTCCGCATACGTCGCTGTGAATCACTTCGAGGAGTTTGGAGGTGCGAGCTGTAGTGTTTGATTGGAAGCGCACTCGAGTCTGTTTTCCCAGAGCACAACCTTCACACACGTCCCACTTCTTCACCGAAGATATGTCGATGCCAATTCCAATGTTCTTCGTCACGATGCAATTGAGTCCATCGTGACCTATGTGGCCAAGCCGAAGGTGCCAGAGGTACGACTTGGTGCCCCCTTGACATCCCGACGACTTGGCTGCATTTGCTTGTTCCGGCGCCACTGGAGTCATTTGCAGCTTGAACAGTCCTTTACCTTCACGGGCACCAATTTTCCACTTGGTCCCTTTCGCTTCTCCATAGCACCCATCCTTCGTGAACGTCACTGGGCCGACATCCTTGGTGAAGCGGCCGACCGAGAACAGGTTTCTGGATAACTTTGGGATGTGCCACACGTTTGTGAGCACACCTTTCTTCATCCCTTGGGGTGTCTTCATTGACATGACAATGTCCCCACTGCCGATTGCTTGGACGATTCCATCATCCGCGAGATGGACATCCACAGCGTCAAACCCCTTGTAGTTCCGCATGAACTTCTTGGAGCACGTCATGTGCTGCGTCGCCCCGGAGTCGACCAGCCAGATGTGTTGAAAAGACAGCGGCTGTAAAGAAGACACCTCGTCAAGCTGCGTCAAGTGTTGAAGCAAGTGGAAGACCAAGCCTCGCTATACCGGTGGGTACCGGTATGTACCAGTAAGGGCGAAGTCAGGAAATGACGTCACTGGATGACGTCATTGCATGACGTCAGTGGGTGACGTCAGTGGGTGACGTCACTGGATGACGTCACTGCGAATAATAGGCTTAGAGGTAGTATTCAAAGTTGCGAACTAAGTACCTATTATAAATATATATTCACTTTGCGTTTTGCACTCGGACCAAGAAGTCTAAAGTTCATCAGGTTATGAGCCCAAGTTCGTCAGACTCTGAAACCGCCAACAATTCAAGCTTAGCTGCCATGGACGCCTCCTCCCTCCGCATCTCCAAGTTCGATGGAACTAACTTCCACGCCTGGAAGTTCAAGATGCAGATGGTGCTGGAGGAACGGGACCTATGGGAGGTCGTCAGCGGTGAGATCAAGGCGGAACAGTGCGAGACTCAGTTGGACCAAGCGACGTACAAGAGGAAGTCAAGAAAGGCGATGGCAGTGATCTGTCTAGCCATGGAAGATTCCCAGCTACCGTTGGTCCGGTCGGCAAGTGGTGCATGCGACGCATGGTCAAGGTTGGAAGACCACTTCGAGAAGAAGAGTCTTGCCAACAAGCTGTTCTTGCGCCGTCGCTTCTTCACGACAATGATGGAAGAAGGCGACGATGTGCTCGAACACATCAACAAGCTCAAGACGCTGGCGGAACAGCTAGAAGCGGTGGGGGGCTCCAGTCTGCGAGGACGATCTGGTGATCACACTCCTCGGCAGCCTGGAGTGACTCGTATCAATTCTTGATCACAGCTTTGGAGTCGCGCTCAGACACTCTTAGCTGGGAGCTCGTGACGTCTCGACTGCTTCATGAAGAAATGAAGCGGAAGGAGCAAGGAAGTAAAGGTGATGAAGCTTCGCAAGGTCAAGCGTTCATCACAAGGGACAATCAGCGCAAAGGGCGACCAGTGAAGAAGTCCTGGCCGTGCCACAATTGCGGAAAGATTGGTCACTGGATGGCGGAGTGCCCCTCGCGCATCCAAGAAAACACGGAGAGACACCGGCCACAGCGTGCTCAAGACAGCGGCGACCGCTATCGATCACAACGTGCAAACGTCGCTCAAGAAGAAGACTCGGGCGACTACCTCTTTTCGATCGGTGAAACGACATCTGCGAAATCGAGCGACATCTGGCTGGTCGACTCCGGGGCGACGCAGCACATGACGTGCTCCAAGAAGTTCATGCGGAACTACAAGGGGTTTGACGCTGTGGATGTCCATCTCGCGGATGATGGAATCGTCCAAGCAATCGGCAGTGGGGACATTGTCATGTCGATGAAGACACCCCAAGGGATGAAGAAAGGTGTGCTCACAAACGTGTGGCACATCCCAAAGTTATCCAGAAACCTGTTCTCGGTCGGCCGCTTCACCAAGGATGTCGGCCCAGTGACGTTCACGAAGGATGGGTGCTATGGAGAAGCGAAAGGGACCAAGTGGAAAATTGGTGCCCGTGAAGGTAAAGGACTGTTCAAGCTGCAAATGACTCCAGTGGCGCCGGAACAAGCAAATGCAGCCAAGTCGTCGGGATGTCAAGGGGGCACCAAGTCGTACCTCTGGCACCTTCGGCTTGGCCACATAGGTCACGATGGACTCAATTGCATCGTGACGAAGAACATTGGAATTGGCATCGACATATCTTCGGTGAAGAAGTGGGACGTGTGTGAAGGTTGTGCTCTGGGAAAACAGACTCGAGTGCGCTTCCAATCAAACACTACAGCTCGCACCTCCAAACTCCTCGAAGTGATTCACAGCGACGTATGCGGACCGATGTCGATGGCAACTTTCAGTGGAAAACGGTACTTCGTGACATTCATTGATGACAAGTCAAGATACTGTGTCGTCTATCTGCTCAAGAGCAAATCTGAAGTTGCGGCGAAGTTCATGGAATACGCTGCGATGGCCGAAACGCAAACCGGAAAGCGCGTGAAGTACCTTCAAAGCGACAATGGGGGTGAATACAAGTCCGACAAGCTGGCACGATTCTGCGCGGAACGGGGAATACAACAAAGGTTCACACCCCCATATACTCCTCAGCTAAACGGAGTAGCTGAGAGAATGAATCGCACGCTGGTCGAGTGTGCGCGTTGCATGATGGAACACGCTGGACTGGGAAAGAGCTACTGGGGTGAAGCAGTGATGACGGCGATGTTTCTTCGAAACCGCTGTCCAACACGTGCCATTCACCAAGACAAGTCTCCATATCAAGTGTGGACGATGAAGAAACCGATTCTGGCCAACCTTAAAGTGTTTGGATGCCACGCGTATGTTCAAGTGCCTCAAGACAAACGCGCGAAGTTCGACTCAAGTCATCACTCTGTCGTTTCCTGGGATACGCCGAACACCAGAAGTCATATCGATTTGAGGAAGTGTCAACAGGAGCGATCAAGATCAGTCGCGATGCCACATTCATGGAAGACAAGTTTGATGAAGGTCCGCGCAACTACAACGATGAGTCAAGTGTCGTTGAGTTTGATGATCATGATGAGGACGAAGAAAAAGAAGAAGGTAAAACTGACGACGACATGGACTCGAGCGACGATGACAACGAAGACACCAGGTCTTCGAAGAGCAACATCAAGAGACACACGCGCACTCAATCACTTGAGAAAGCTACCGTCATTCCAAGTCCCAAGCGAAGAACATACAGAGGTCCGTCGCTTGAGCATGTGTCAGCGGCTGCAATGGATTTTGAAGCAGCCTACATCGTTGATTCAGTGGAAACGCCGACTACATTCAAGTCGGCGATGGAATCAAGCGACTCCGGCAAGTGGAAAGAAGCGTGTGACTCGGAGTTCGACTCGCTTCAGAGAAACGACACGTGGGAAATCGTGCCTCTTCCGAAAGGTCGCAAGGCCATCGGGTGCCGATGGGTTTTTCGTGTAAAGGAGAATCAAGATGGCGAAGTTGAACGTTTCAAGGCAAGACTTGTGGCCAAAGGATTCTCACAGAAATTCGGAGTTGACTATGAAGAAACTTTCGCACCGGTGGCCAAGTTCACATCGATTCGTGTGGTGCTCAGTATGGCGGCTAAGTACGGCCTAATGCTACATCAGATGGACGTCAAGACAGCGTTTCTTAACGGCTCCCTCAACGAAGACATCTACATGGACCAGCCGGACGGATACCTGGATGCAACACAGCCGGACTATGTGGCAAGCTAAAGAGATCACTCTACGGCTTGAAGCAATCGCCTCGCATGTGGAACCAAACAATCGATGGGTTCATGATCAAGATGGGATTCAAGAAGTGCGAATCGGACCACTGCATCTACATCAAGCGAGACGACCAAGACATGATTCTCGTGGTACTCTACGTCGATGATCTCATCCTGGCCAGCAGCAACAACGAACTCCTCAAGTCAACCAAGATGGCGCTGAGCAAACGCTTCGAAATGACGGATCTCGGTGAGCTCTGATTACTTTCTCGGCATGGAGATCAAGAACGACCGTAAGACGGGAATGGTGACTGTACAACAAACCAAGTTCCTCAAGTCCGTGTTAACCAAGTTCGGAATGGATAACAGCAAGCCAGTGAAGACGCCTCAAGATCCCGGCCTGAAGCTAACCAAGAACATGTGTGAACAAGAATGCAAGCACGAAGACACCATGTGCAACGTGCCATATCGAAGTGCTGTCGGAGGCATCATGTATCTCATGGTCGCCACACGTCCGGATCTAGCTGCTGCAGTGGGATCATTATCCCAGTTCTCGTCCGACCCATGCCCGACTCACTGGCAAGCTTTGAAGCGTGTGCTGAGATACCTGCAAGCAACGCCCAATCATGGTCTTGAGTTTACACGTGAAGAAGGAAGCCGTATCTGCGGGTACACCGACGCAGACTGGGCCGGCGACATTGAGTCAAGACGAAGTACAAGCGGCTATGTGTTCATGATGAGCGGAGGATGCATCAGCTGGAAAAGCCAGAAACAACGGACGGTCGCGCTATCTTCAACAGAAGCAGAATACATGGCGCTTTCCGAAGCAACCAAAGAAGCAGTATGGCTCAAAGTGCTTTTGGGGAACTTGGTGAGATGACAAGCGACGAAGCGATCAAGATGTATGAAGACAACCAAGGATCAATCGCTCTCGCCAAGAACCCGGAGTTCCATAAGAGAACAAAACACATCGACATACGCTACCATTTTGTGCGTGAGAAGGTGGAATCAGGTGAAGTCGTTTTGGAGTATTGCCCGACTCAAGATATGCTGGCAGACATGATGACCAAGCCGATCGCCGCTGTACAATTTGAAAACATTCGCGATCGACTTGGGATCCAAGGTGCCGCAGCTAACGAGTCGAGAGGGAGTGTTGAAAAGACAGCGGCTGTAAAGAAGACACCTCGTCAAGCTGCGTCAAGTGTTGGAAGCAAGTGGAAGACCAAGCCTCGCTATGCCGGTGGGTACCGGTATGTACCAGTAAGGGCGAAGTCAGGAAATGACGTCACTGGATGACGTCATTGCATGACGTCAGTGGGTGACGTCAGTGGGTGACGTCACTGGATGACGTCACTGCGAATAATAGGCTTAGAGGTAGTATTCAAAGTTGCGAACTAAGTACCTATTATAAATATATATTCACTTTGCGTTTTGCACTCGGACCAAGAAGTCTAAAGTTCATCAAGATGTCGCTCGATTTCGTAGATGTCGTTTCACCGATCGAAAAGAGGTAGTCGCCCGAGTCTTCTTCTTGAGCGACGTTTGCACGTTGTGATCGATAGCGGTCGCCGCTGTCTTGAGCACGCTGTGGCCGGTGTCTCTCCGTGTTTTCTTGGATGCGCGAGGGGCACTCCGCCATCCAGTGACCAATCTTTCCGCAATTGTGGCACGGCCAGGACTTCTTCACTGGTCGCCCTTTTGCGCTGATTGTCCCTTTTTGTGATGAACGCTTGACCTTGCGAAGCTTCATCACCTTTACTTCCTTGCTCCTTCCGCTTCATTTCTTCATGAAGCAGTCGAGATGTCATCGAGCTCCCAGCTAAGAGTGTCTGAGCGCGACTCCAAAGCTGTGATCAAGAATTGATTACGAGTCACTCAGGCTGCCGAGGAGTGTGATCACCAGATCGTCCTCGCAGACTGGAGCCCCCACCGCTTCTAGCTGTTCCGCCAGCGTCTTGAGCTTGTTGATGTGTTCGAGCACATCGTCGCCTTCTTCCATCATTGTCGTGAAGAAGCGACGGCGCAAGAACAGCTTGTTGGCAAGACTCTTCTTCTCGAAGTGGTCTTCCAACCTTGACCATGCGTCGCATGCACCACTTGCCGACCGGACCAACGGTAGCTGGGAATCTTCCATGGCTAGACAGATCACTGCCATCGCCTTTCTTGACTTCCTCTTGTACGTCGCTTGGTCCAACTGAGTCTCGCACTGTTCCGCCTTGATCTCACCGCTGACGACCTCCCATAGGTCCCGTTCCTCCAGCACCATCTGCATCTTGAACTTCCAGGCGTGGAAGTTAGTTCCATCGAACTTGGAGATGCGGAGGGAGGAGGCGTCCATGGCAGCTAAGCTTGAATTGTTGGCGGTTTCAGAGTCTGACGAACTTGGGCTCATAACCTGATGAACTTTAGACTTCTTGGTCCGAGTGCAAAACGCAAAGTGAATATATATTTATAATAGGTACTTAGTTCGCAACTTTGAATACTACCTCTAAGCCTATTATTCGCAGTGACGTCATCCAGTGACGTCACCCACTGACGTCACCCACTGACGTCATGCAATGATAGGCTTAGAGGTAGTATTCAAAGTTGCGAACTAAGTACCTATTATAAATATATATTTACTTTGCGTTTTGCACTCGGACCAAGAAGTCTAAAGTTCATCAACACCGGCCACAGCGTGCTCAAGACAGCGGCGACCGCTATCGATCACAACGTGCAAACGTCGCTCAAGAAGAAGACTCGGGCGACTACCTCTTTTCGATCGGTGAAACGACATCTGCGAAATCGAGCGACATCTGGCTGGTCGACTCCGGGGCGACGCAGCACATGACGTGCTCCAAGAAGTTCATGCGGAACTACAAGGGGTTTGACGCTGTGGATGTCCATCTCGCGGATGATGGAATCGTCCAAGCAATCGGCAGTGGGGACATTGTCATGTCGATGAAGACACCCCAAGGGATGAAGAAAGGTGTGCTCACAAACGTGTGGCACATCCCAAAGTTATCCAGAAACCTGTTCTCGGTCGGCCGCTTCACCAAGGATGTCGGCCCAGTGACGTTCACGAAGGATGGGTGCTATGGAGAAGCGAAAGGGACCAAGTGGAAAATTGGTGCCCGTGAAGGTAAAGGACTGTTCAAGCTGCAAATGACTCCAGTGGCGCCGGAACAAGCAAATGCAGCCAAGTCGTCGGGATGTCAAGGGGGCACCAAGTCGTACCTCTGGCACCTTCGGCTTGGCCACATAGGTCACGATGGACTCAATTGCATCGTGACGAAGAACATTGGAATTGGCATCGACATATCTTCGGTGAAGAAGTGGGACGTGTGTGAAGGTTGTGCTCTGGGAAAACAGACTCGAGTGCGCTTCCAATCAAACACTACAGCTCGCACCTCCAAACTCCTCGAAGTGATTCACAGCGACGTATGCGGACCGATGTCGATGGCAACTTTCAGTGGAAAACGGTACTTCGTGACATTCATTGATGACAAGTCAAGATACTGTGTCGTCTATCTGCTCAAGAGCAAATCTGAAGTTGCGGCGAAGTTCATGGAATACGCTGCGATGGCCGAAACGCAAACCGGAAAGCGCGTGAAGTACCTTCAAAGCGACAATGGGGGTGAATACAAGTCCGACAAGCTGGCACGATTCTGCGCGGAACGGGGAATACAACAAAGGTTCACACCCCCATATACTCCTCAGCTAAACGGAGTAGCTGAGAGAATGAATCGCACGCTGGTCGAGTGTGCGCGTTGCATGATGGAACACGCTGGACTGGGAAAGAGCTACTGGGGTGAAGCAGTGATGACGGCGATGTTTCTTCGAAACCGCTGTCCAACACGTGCCATTCACCAAGACAAGTCTCCATATCAAGTGTGGACGATGAAGAAACCGATTCTGGCCAACCTTAAAGTGTTTGGATGCCACGCGTATGTTCAAGTGCCTCAAGACAAACGCGCGAAGTTCGACTCCAAGTCATCACTCTGTCGTTTCCTGGGATACGCCGAACACCAGAAGTCATATCGATTTGAGGAAGTGTCAACAGGAGCGATCAAGATCAGTCGCGATGCCACATTCATGGAAGACAAGTTTGATGAAGGTCCGCGCAACTACAACGATGAGTCAAGTGTCGTTGAGTTTGATGATCATGATGAGGACGAAGAAAAAGAAGAAGGTAAAACTGACGACGACATGGACTCGAGCGACGATGACAACGAAGACACCAGGTCTTCGAAGAGCAACATCAAGAGACACACGCGCACTCAATCACTTGAGAAAGCTACCGTCATTCCAAGTCCCAAGCGAAGAACATACAGAGGTCCGTCGCTTGAGCATGTGTCAGCGGCTGCAATGGATTTTGAAGCAGCCTACATCGTTGATTCAGTGGGGGAAACGCCGACTACATTCAAGTCGGCGATGGAATCAAGCGACTCCGGCAAGTGGAAAGAAGCGTGTGACTCGGAGTTCGATTCGCTTCAGAGAAACGACACGTGGGAAATCGTGCCTCTTCCGAAAGGTCGCAAGGCCATCGGGTGCCGATGGGTTTTTCGTGTAAAGGAGAATCAAGATGGCGAAGTTGAACGTTTCAAGGCAAGACTTGTGGCCAAAGGATTCTCACAGAAATTCGGAGTTGACTATGAAGAAACTTTCGCACCGGTGGCCAAGTTCACATCGATTCGTGTGGTGCTCAGTATGGCGGCTAAGTACGGCCTAATGCTACATCAGATGGACGTCAAGACAGCGTTTCTTAACGGCTCCCTCAACGAAGACATCTACATGGACCAGCCGGACGGATACCTGGATGCAACACAGCCGGACTATGTGTGCAAGCTAAAGAGATCACTCTACGGCTTGAAGCAATCGCCTCGCATGTGGAACCAAACAATCGATGGGTTCATGATCAAGATGGGATTCAAGAAGTGCGAATCGGACCACTGCATCTACATCAAGCGAGACGACCAAGACATGATTCTCGTGGTGCTCTACGTCGATGATCTCATCCTGGCCAGCAGCAACAACGAACTCCTCAAGTCAACCAAGATGGCGCTGAGCAAACGCTTCGAAATGACGGATCTTGGTGAGCTCGATTACTTTCTCGGCATGGAGATCAAGAACGACCGTAAGACGGGAATGGTGACCGTACAACAAACCAAGTTTCTCAAGTCCGTGTTAACCAAGTTCGGAATGGATAACAGCAAGCCAGTGAAGACGCCTCAAGATCCCGGCCTGAAGCTAACCAAGAACATGTGTGAACAAGAATGCAAGCACGAAGACACCATGTGCAACGTGCCATATCGAAGTGCTGTCGGAGGAATCATGTATCTCATGGTCGCCACACGTCCGGATCTAGCTGCTGCAGTGGGATCATTATCCCAGTTCTCGTCCGACCCATGCCCGACTCACTGGCAAGCTTTGAAGCGTGTGCTGAGATACCTGCAAGCAACGCCCAACCATGGTCTTGAGTTTACACGTGAAGAAGGAAGCCGTATCTGCGGGTACACCGACGCAGACTGGGCCGGCGACATTGAGTCAAGACGAAGTACAAGCGGCTATGTGTTCATGATGAGCGGAGGATGCATCAGCTGGAAAAGCCAGAAACAACGGACGGTCGCGCTATCTTCAACAGAAGCAGAATACATGGCGCTTTCCGAAGCAACCAAAGAAGCAGTATGGCTCAAAGTGCTTTTGGGGGAACTTGGTGAGATGACAAGCGACGAAGCGATCAAGATGTATGAAGACAACCAAGGATCAATCGCTCTCGCCAAGAACCCGGAGTTCCATAAGAGAACAAAACACATCGACATACGCTACCATTTTGTGCGTGAGAAGGTGGAATCAGGTGAAGTCGTTTTGGAGTATTGCCCGACTCAAGATATGCTGGCAGACATGATGACCAAGCCGATCGCCGCTGTACAATTTGAAAACATTCGCGATCGACTTGGGATCCAAGGTGCCGCAGCTAACGAGTCGAGAGGGAGTGTTGAAAAGACAGCGGCTGTGAAGAAGACACCTCGTCAAGCTGCGTCAAGTGTTGAAGCAAGTGGAAGACCAAGCTTCGCTATACCGGTGGGTACCGGTATGTACCAGTAAGGGCGAAGTCAGGAAATGACGTCACTGGATGACGTCATTGCATGACGTCAGTGGGTGACGTCACTGGATGACGTCACTGCGAATAATAGGCTTAGAGGTAGTATTCAAAGTTGCGAACTAAGTACCTATTATAAATATATATTCACTTTGCGTTTTGCACTCGGACCAAGAAGTCTAAAGTTCATCACACTCGGACCAAGAAGTCTAAAGTTCATCAGGTTATGAGCCCAAGTTCGTCAGACTCTGAAACCGCCAACAATTCAAGCTTAGCTGCCATGGACGCCTCCTCCCTCCGCATCTCCAAGTTCGATGGAACTAACTTCCACGCCTGGAAGTTCAAGATGCAGATGGTGCTGGAGGAACGGGACCTATGGGAGGTCGTCAGCGGTGAGATCAAGGCGGAACAGTGCGAGACTCAGTTGGACCAAGCGACGTACAAGAGGAAGTCAAGAAAGGCGATGGCAGTGATCTGTCTAGCCATGGAAGATTCCCAGCTACCGTTGGTCCGGTCGGCAAGTGGTGCATGCGACGCATGGTCAAGGTTGGAAGACCACTTCGAGAAGAAGAGTCTTGCCAACAAGCTGTTCTTGCGCCGTCGCTTCTTCACGACAATGATGGAAGAAGGCGACGATGTGCTCGAACACATCAACAAGCTCAAGACGCTGGCGGAACAGCTAGAAGCGGTGGGGGCTCCAGTCTGCGAGGACGATCTGGTGATCACACTCCTCGGCAGCCTGAGTGACTCGTATCAATTCTTGATCACAGCTTTGGAGTCGCGCTCAGACACTCTTAGCTGGGAGCTCGTGACGTCTCGACTGCTTCATGAAGAAATGAAGCGGAAGGAGCAAGGAAGTAAAGGTGATGAAGCTTCGCAAGGTCAAGCGTTCATCACAAGGGACAATCAGCGCAAAGGGCGACCAGTGAAGAAGTCCTGGCCGTGCCACAATTGCGGAAAGATTGGTCACTGGATGGCGGAGTGCCCCTCGCGCATCCAAGAAAACACGGAGAGACACCGGCCACAGCGTGCTCAAGACAGCGGCGACCGCTATCGATCACAACGAGCAAACGGCCGCCTCAAGAAGAAGACACGGCGACTACCTCTGTTCGATCGGTGAAAGCATCAGCTGGAAAATCGAGCGACAACTGGCTGGTCGCTACTTCAACGAAGCAGAACATGACGCTTTCGAAGCACCAAAGAAGCAGTATGGCTCAAAGTGCTTTTGGGGAACTTGGTGAGATGACAAGCGACGAAGCGATCAAGCATGTCATGAAGACAACCCAAGGATCAATCGCTTGCCAAGAACCCGGAGTTCCATAAGAGAACAAAACACATCGACATACCTACCATTTGTGCGTGAGAAGGTGGAATCAGGTGAAGTCGTTTTGGAGTATTGCCCGACTCAAGATATGCTGGCAGACATGATGACCAAGCGATCGCCGCTGTACAATTGAAAATTCGCGATCGACTTGGGATCAAGGTGCCGCAGCTAACGAGTCGAGAGGAAGTGTTGAAAAGACAGCGGCTGTGAAGAAGACACCTCGTCAAGCTGCGTCAAGTGTTGAAGCAAGTGGAAGACCAAGCTTCGCTATACCGGTGGGTACCGGTATGTACCAGTAAGGGCGAAGTCAGGAAATGACGTCACTGGATGACGTCATTGCATGACGTCAGTGGGTGACGTCAGTGGGTGACGTCACTGGATGACGTCACTGCGAATAATAGGCTTAGAGGTAGTATTCAAAGTTGCGAACTAAGTACCTATTATAAATATATATTCACTTTGCGTTTTGCACTCGGACCAAGAAGTCTAAAGTTCATCAGGTTATGAGCCCAAGTTCGTCAGACTCTGAAACCGCCAACAATTCAAGCTTAGCTGCCATGGACGCCTCCTCCCTCCGCATCTCCAAGTTCGATGGAACTAACTTCCACGCCTGGAAGTTCAAGATGCAGATGGTGCTGGAGGAACGGGACCTATGGGAGGTCGTCAGCGGTGAGATCAAGGCGGAACAGTGCGAGACTCAGTTGGACCAAGCGACGTACAAGAGGAAGTCAAGAAAGGCGATGGCAGTGATCTGTCTAGCCATGGAAGATTCCCAGCTACCGTTGGTCCGGTCGGCAAGTGGTGCATGCGACGCATGGTCAAGGTTGGAAGACCACTTCGAGAAGAAGAGTCTTGCCAACAAGCTGTTCTTGCGCCGTCGCTTCTTCACGACAATGATGGAAGAAGGCGACGATGTGCTCGAACACATCAACAAGCTCAAGACGCTGGCGGAACAGCTAGAAGCGGTGGGGGCTCCAGTCTGCGAGGACGATCTGGTGATCACACTCCTCGGCAGCCTGAGTGACTCGTATCAATTCTTGATCACAGCTTTGGAGTCGCGCTCAGACACTCTTAGCTGGGAGCTCGTGACGTCTCGACTGCTTCATGAAGAAATGAAGCGGAAGGAGCAAGGAAGTAAAGGTGATGAAGCTTCGCAAGGTCAAGCGTTCATCACAAGGGACAATCAGCGCAAAGGGCGACCAGTGAAGAAGTCCTGGCCGTGCCACAATTGCGGAAAGATTGGTCACTGGATGGCGGAGTGCCCCTCGCGCATCCAAGAAAACACGGAGAGACACCGGCCACAGCGTGCTCAAGACAGCGGCGACCGCTATCGATCACAACGTGCAAACGTCGCTCAAGAAGAAGACTCGGGCGACTACCTCTTTTCGATCGGTGAAACGACATCTGCGAAATCGAGCGACATCTGGCTGGTCGACTCCGGGGCGACGCAGCACATGACGTGCTCCAAGAAGTTCATGCGGAACTACAAGGGGTTTGACGCTGTGGATGTCCATCTCGCGGATGATGGAATCGTCCAAGCAATCGGCAGTGGGGACATTGTCATGTCGATGAAGACACCCCAAGGGATGAAGAAAGGTGTGCTCACAAACGTGTGGCACATCCCAAAGTTATCCAGAAACCTGTTCTCGGTCGGCCGCTTCACCAAGGATGTCGGCCCAGTGACGTTCACGAAGGATGGGTGCTATGGAGAAGCGAAAGGGACCAAGTGGAAAATTGGTGCCCGTGAAGGTAAAGGACTGTTCAAGCTGCAAATTGTTGAAAAGACAGCAGCTGTGAAGAAGACACCTCGTCAAGCTGCGTCAAGTGTTGAAGCAAGTGGAAGACCAAGCTTCGCTATACCGGTGGGTACCGGTATGTACCAGTAAGGGCGAAGTCAGGAAATGACGTCACTGGATGACGTCATTGCATGACGTCAGTGGGTGACGTCAGTGGGTGACGTCACTGGATGACGTCACTGCGAATAATAGGCTTAGAGGTAGTATTCAAAGTTGCGAACTAAGTACCTATTATAAATATATATTTACTTTGCGTTTTGCACTCGGACCAAGAAGTCTAAAGTTCATCAGGTTATGAGCCCAAGTTCGTCAGACTCTGAAACCGCCAACAATTCAAGCTTAGCTGCCATGGACGCCTCCTCCCTCCGCATCTCCAAGTTCGATGGAACTAACTTCCACGCCTGGAAGTTCAAGATGCAGATGGTGCTGGAGGAACGGGACCTATGGGAGGTCGTCAGCGGTGAGATCAAGGCGGAACAGTGCGAGACTCAGTTGGACCAAGCGACGTACAAGAGGAAGTCAAGAAAGGCGATGGCAGTGATCTGTCTAGCCATGGAAGATTCCCAGCTACCGTTGGTCCGGTCGGCAAGTGGTGCATGCGACGCATGGTCAAGGTTGGAAGACCACTTCGAGAAGAAGAGTCTTGCCAACAAGCTGTTCTTGCGCCGTCGCTTCTTCACGACAATGATGGAAGAAGGCGACGATGTGCTCGAACACATCAACAAGCTCAAGACGCTGGCGGAACAGCTAGAAGCGGTGGGGGCTCCAGTCTGCGAGGACGATCTGGTGATCACACTCCTCGGCTGCCTGAGTGACTCGTATCAATTCTTGATCACAGCTTTGGAGTCGCGCTCAGACACTCTTAGCTGGGAGCTCGTGACGTCTCGACTGCTTCATGAAGAAATGAAGCGGAAGGAGCAAGGAAGTAAAGGTGATGAAGCTTCGCAAGGTCAAGCGTTCATCACAAGGGACAATCAGCGCAAAGGGCGACCAGTGAAGAAGTCCTGGCTGATGAACTTTAGACTTCTTGGTCCGAGTGCAAAACGCAAAGTGAATATATATTTATAATAGGTACTTAGTTCGCAACTTTGAATACTACCTCTAAGCCTATTATTCGCAGTGACGTCATCCAGTGACGTCACCCACTGACGTCATGCAATGACGTCATCCAGTGACGTCATTTCCTGACTTCGCCCTTACTGGTACATACCGGTACCCACCGGTATAGCGAGGCTTGGTCTTCCACTTGCTTCAACACTTGACGCAGCTTGACGAGGTGTCTTCTTTACAGCCGCTGTCTTTTCAACACTCCCTCTCGACTCGTTAGCTGCGGCACCTTGGATCCCAAGTCGATCGCGAATGTTTTCAAATTGTACAGCGGCGATCGGCTTGGTCATCATGTCTGCCAGCATATCTTGAGTCGGGCAATACTCCAAAACGACTTCACCTGATTCCACCTTCTCACGCACAAAATGGTAGCGTATGTCGATGTGTTTTGTTCTCTTATGGAACTCCGGGTTCTTGGCGAGAGCGATTGATCCTTGGTTGTCTTCATACATCTTGATCGCTTCGTCGCTTGTCATCTCACCAAGTTCCCCAAAAGCACTTTGAGCCATACTGCTTCTTTGGTTGCTTCGGAAAGCGCCATGTATTCTGCTTCTGTTGAAGATAGCGCGACCGTCCGTTGTTTCTGGCTTTTCCAGCTGATGCATCCTCCGCTCACCATGAACACATAGCCGCTTGTACTTCGTCTTGACTCAATGTCGCCGGCCCAGTCTGCGTCGGTGTACCCGCAGATACGGCTTCCTTCTTCACGTGTAAACTCAAGACCATGATTGGGCGTTGCTTGCAGGTATCTCAGCACACGCTTCAAAGCTTGCCAGTGAGTCGGGCATGGGTCGGACGAGAACTGGGATAATGATCCCACTGCAGCAGCTAGATCCGGACGTGTGGCGACCATGAGATACATGATGCCTCCGACAGCACTTCGATATGGCACGTTGCACATGGTGTCTTCGTGCTTGCATTCTTGTTCACACATGTTCTTGGTTAGCTTCAGGCCGGGATCTTGAGGCGTCTTCACTGGCTTGCTGTTATCCATTCCGAACTTGGTTAACACGGACTTGAGAAACTTGGTTTGTTGTACAGTCACCATTCCCGTCTTACGGTCGTTCTTGATCTCCATGCCGAGAAAGTAATCGAGCTCACCGAGATCCGTCATTTCGAAGCGTTTGCTCAGCGCCATCTTGGTTGACTTGAGGAGTTCGTTGTTGCTGCTGGCCAGGATGAGATCATCGACGTAGAGTACCACGAGAATCATGTCTTGGTCGTCTCGCTTGATGTAGATGCAGTGGTTCGATTCGCACTTCTTGAATCCCATCTTGATCATGAACCCATCGATTGTTTGGTTCCACATGCGAGGCGATTGCTTCAAGCCGTAGAGTGATCTCTTTAGCTTGCACACATAGTCCGGCTGTGTTGCATCCAGGTATCCGTCCGGCTGGTCCATGTAGATGTCTTCGTTGAGGGAGCCGTTAAGAAACGCTGTCTTGACGTCCATCTGATGTAGCATCAGGCCGTACTTAGCCGCCATACTGAGCACCACACGAATCGATGTGAACTTGGCCACCGGTGCGAAAGTTTCTTCATAGTCAACTCCGAATTTCTGTGAGAATCCTTTGGCCACAAGTCTTGCCTTGAAACGTTCAACTTCGCCATCTTGATTCTCCTTTACACGAAAAACCCATCGGCACCCGATGGCCTTGCGACCTTTCGGAAGAGGCACGATTTCCCACGTGTCGTTTCTCTGAAGCGAGTCGAACTCCGAGTCACACGCTTCTTTCCACTTGCCGGAGTCGCTTGATTCCATCGCCGACTTGAATGTAGTCGGCGTTTCCCCCACTGAATCAACGATGTAGGCTGCTTCAAAATCCATTGCAGCCGCTGACACATGCTCAAGCGACGGACCTCTGTATGTTCTTCGCTTGGGACTTGGAATGACGGTAGCTTTCTCAAGTGATTGAGTGCGCGTGTGTCTCTTGATGTTGCTCTTCGAAGACCTGGTGTCTTCGTTGTCATCGTCGCTCGAGTCCATGTCGTCGTCAGTTTTACCTTCTTCTTTTTCTTCGTCCTCATCATGATCATCAAACTCAACGACACTTGACTCATCGTTGTAGTTGCGCGGACCTTCATCAAACTTGTCTTCCATGAATGTGGCATCGCGACTGATCTTGATCGCTCCTGTTGACACTTCCTCAAATCGATATGACTTCTGGTGTTCGGCGTATCCCAGGAAACGACAGAGTGATGACTTGGAGTCGAACTTCGCGCGTTTGTCTTGAGGCACTTGAACATACGCGTGGCATCCAAACACTTTAAGGTTGGCCAGAATCGGTTTCTTCATCGTCCACACTTGATATGGAGACTTGTCTTGGTGAATGGCACGTGTTGGACAGCGGTTTCGAAGAAACATCGCCGTCATCACTGCTTCACCCCAGTAGCTCTTTCCCAGTCCAGCGTGTTCCATCATGCAACGCGCACACTCGACCAGCGTGCGATTCATTCTCTCAGCTACTCCGTTTAGCTGAGGAGTATATGGGGGTGTGAACCTTTGTTGTATTCCCCGTTCCGCGCAGAATCGTGCCAGCTTGTCGGACTTGTATTCACCCCCATTGTCGCTTTGAAGGTACTTCACGCGCTTTCCGGTTTGCGTTTCGGCCATCGCAGCGTATTCCATGAACTTCGCCGCAACTTCAGATTTGCTCTTGAGCAGATAGACGACACAGTATCTTGACTTGTCATCAATGAATGTCACGAAGTACCGTTTTCCACTGAAAGTTGCCATCGACATCGGTCCGCATACGTCGCTGTGAATCACTTCGAGGAGTTTGGAGGTGCGAGCTGTAGTGTTTGATTGGAAGCGCACTCGAGTCTGTTTTCCCAGAGCACAACCTTCACACACGTCCCACTTCTTCACCGAAGATATGTCGATGCCAATTCCAATGTTCTTCGTCACGATGCAATTGAGTCCATCGTGACCTATGTGGCCAAGCCGAAGGTGCCAGAGGTACGACTTGGTGCCCCCTTGACATCCCGACGACTTGGCTGCATTTGCTTGTTCCGGCGCCACTGGAGTCATTTGCAGCTTGAACAGTCCTTTACCTTCACGGGCACCAATTTTCCACTTGGTCCCTTTCGCTTCTCCATAGCACCCATCCTTCGTGAACGTCACTGGGCCGACATCCTTGGTGAAGCGGCCGACCGAGAACAGGTTTCTGGATAACTTTGGGATGTGCCACACGTTTGTGAGCACACCTTTCTTCATCCCTTGGGGTGTCTTCATCGACATGACAATGTCCCCACTGCCGATTGCTTGGACGATTCCATCATCCGCGAGATGGACATCCACAGCGTCAAACCCCTTGTAGTTCCGCATGAACTTCTTGGAGCACGTCATGTGCTGCGTCGCCCCGGAGTCGACCAGCCAGATGTCGCTCGATTTCGCAGATGTCGTTTCACCGATCGAAAAGAGGTAGTCGCCCGAGTCTTCTTCTTGAGCGACGTTTGCACGTTGTGATCGATAGCGGTCGCCGCTGTCTTGAGCACGCTGTGGCCGGTGTCTCTCCGTGTTTTCTTGGATGCGCGAGGGGCACTCCGCCATCCAGTGACCAATCTTTCCGCAATTGTGGCACGGCCAGGACTTCTTCACTGGTCGCCCTTTGCGCTGATTGTCCCTTGTGATGAACGCTTGACCTTGCGAAGCTTCATCACCTTTACTTCCTTGCTCCTTCCGCTTCATTTCTTCATGAAGCAGTCGAGACGTCACGAGCTCCCAGCTAAGAGTGTCTGAGCGCGACTCCAAAGCTGTGATCAAGAATTGATACGAGTCACTCAGGCTGCCGAGGAGTGTGATCACCAGATCGTCCTCGCAGACTGGAGCCCCCACCGCTTCTAGCTGTTCCGCCAGCGTCTTGAGCTTGTTGATGTGTTCGAGCACATCGTCGCCTTCTTCCATCATTGTCGTGAAGAAGCGACGGCGCAAGAACAGCTTGTTGGCAAGACTCTTCTTCTCGAAGTGGTCTTCCAACCTTGACCATGCGTCGCATGCACCACTTGCCGACCGGACCAACGGTAGCTGGGAATCTTCCATGGCTAGACAGATCACTGCCATCGCCTTTCTTGACTTCCTCTTGTACGTCGCTTGGTCCAACTGAGTCTCGCACTGTTCCGCCTTGATCTCACCGCTGACGACCTCCCATAGGTCCCGTTCCTCCAGCACCATCTGCATCTTGAACTTCCAGGCGTGGAAGTTAGTTCCATCGAACTTGGAGATGCGGAGGGAGGAGGCGTCCATGGCAGCTAAGCTTGAATTGTTGGCGGTTTCAGAGTCTGACGAACTTGGGCTCATAACCTGATGAACTTTAGACTTCTTGGTCCGAGTGCAAAACGCAAAGTGAATATATATTTATAATAGGTACTTAGTTCGCAACTTTGAATACTACCTCTAAGCCTATTATTCGCAGTGACGTCATCCAGTGACGTCACCCACTGACGTCACCCACTGACGTCATGCAATGACGTCATCCAGTGACGTCATTTCCTGACTTCGCCCTTACTGGTACATACCGGTACCCACCGGTATAGCGAGGCTTGGTCTTCCACTTGCTTCAACACTTGACGCAGCTTGACGAGGTGTCTTCTTTACAGCCGCTGTCTTTTCAACAGGAGTGCCCCTCGCGCATCCAAGAAAACACGGAGAGACACCGGCCACAGCGTGCTCAAGACAGCGGCGACCGCTATCGATCACAACGTGCAAACGTCGCTCAAGAAGAAGACTCGGGCGACTACCTCTTTTCGATCGGTGAAACGACATCTGCGAAATCGAGCGACATCTGGCTGGTCGACTCCGGGGCGACGCAGCACATGACGTGCTCCAAGAAGTTCATGCGGAACTACAAGGGGTTTGACGCTGTGGATGTCCATCTCGCGGATGATGGAATCGTCCAAGCAATCGGCAGTGGGGACATTGTCATGTCGATGAAGACACCCCAAGGGATGAAGAAAGGTGTGCTCACAAACGTGTGGCACATCCCAAAGTTATCCAGAAACCTGTTCTCGGTCGGACGCTTCACCAAGGATGTCGGCCCAGTGACGTTCACGAAGGATGGGTGCTATGGAGAAGCGAAAGGGACCAAGTGGAAAATTGGTGCCCGTGAAGGTAAAGGACTGTTCAAGCTGCAAATGACTCCAGTGGCGCCGGAACAAGCAAATGCAGCCAAGTCGTCGGGATGTCAAGGGGGCACCAAGTCGTACCTCTGGCACCTTCGGCTTGGCCACATAGGTCACGATGGACTCAATTGCATCGTGACGAAGAACATTGGAATTGGCATCGACATATCTTCGGTGAAGAAGTGGGACGTGTGTGAAGGTTGTGCTCTGGGAAAACAGACTCGAGTGCGCTTCCAATCAAACACTACAGCTCGCACCTCCAAACTCCTCGAAGTGATTCACAGCGACGTATGCGGACCGATGTCGATGGCAACTTTCAGTGGAAAACGGTACTTCGTGACATTCATTGATGACAAGTCAAGATACTGTGTCGTCTATCTGCTCAAGAGCAAATCTGAAGTTGCGGCGAAGTTCATGGAATACGCTGCGATGGCCGAAACGCAAACCGGAAAGCGCGTGAAGTACCTTCAAAGCGACAATGGGGGTGAATACAAGTCCGACAAGCTGGCACGATTCTGCGCGGAACGGGGAATACAACAAAGGTTCACACCCCCATATACTCCTCAGCTAAACGGAGTAGCTGAGAGAATGAATCGCACGCTGGTCGAGTGTGCGCGTTGCATGATGGAACACGCTGGACTGGGAAAGAGCTACTGGGGTGAAGCAGTGATGACGGCGATGTTTCTTCGAAACCGCTGTCCAACACGTGCCATTCACCAAGACAAGTCTCCATATCAAGTGTGGACGATGAAGAAACCGATTCTGGCCAACCTTAAAGTGTTTGGATGCCACGCGTATGTTCAAGTGCCTCAAGACAAACGCGCGAAGTTCGACTCCAAGTCATCACTCTGTCGTTTCCTGGGATACGCCGAACACCAGAAGTCATATCGATTTGAGGAAGTGTCAACAGGAGCGATCAAGATCAGTCGCGATGCCACATTCATGGAAGACAAGTTTGATGAAGGTCCGCGCAACTACAACGATGAGTCAAGTGTCGTTGAGTTTGATGATCATGATGAGGACGAAGAAAAAGAAGAAGGTAAAACTGACGACGACATGGACTCGAGCGACGATGACAACGAAGACACCAGGTCTTCGAAGAGCAACATCAAGAGACACACGCGCACTCAATCACTTGAGAAAGCTACCGTCATTCCAAGTCCCAAGCGAAGAACGTACAGATGTCCGTCGCTTGAGCATGTGTCAGCGGCTGCAATGGATTTTGAAGCAGCCTACATCGTTGATTCAGTGGGGGAAACGCCGACTACATTCAAGTCGGCGATGGAATCAAGCGACTCCGGCAAGTGGAAAGAAGCGTGTGACTCGGAGTTCGACTCGCTTCAGAGAAACGACACGTGGGAAATCGTGCCTCTTCCGAAAGGTCGCAAGGCCATCGGGTGCCGATGGGTTTTTCGTGTAAAGGAGAATCAAGATGGCGAAGTTGAACGTTTCAAGGCAAGACTTGTGGCCAAAGGATTCTCACAGAAATTCGGAGTTGACTATGAAGAAACTTTCGCACCGGTGGCCAAGTTCACATCGATTCGTGTGGTGCTCAGTATGGCGGCTAAGTACGGCCTAATGCTACATCAGATGGACGTCAAGACGGCGTTTCTTAACGGCTCCCTCAACGAAGACATCTACATGGACCAGCCGGACGGATACCTGGATGCAACACAGCCGGACTATGTGTGCAAGCTAAAGAGATCACTCTACGGCTTGAAGCAATCGCCTCGCATGTGGAACCAAACAATCGATGGGTTCATGATCAAGATGGGATTCAAGAAGTGCGAATCGGACCACTGCATCTACATCAAGCGAGACGACCAAGACATGATTCTCGTGGTGCTCTACGTCGATGATCTCATCCTGGCCAGCAGCAACAACGAACTCCTCAAGTCGACCAAGATGGCGCTGAGCAAACGCTTCGAAATGACGGATCTCGGTGAGCTCGATTACTTTCTCGGCATGGAGATCAAGAACGACCGTAAGACGGGAATGGTGACTGTGCAACAAACCAAGTTTCTCAAGTCCGTGTTAACCAAGTTCGGAATGGATAACAGCAAGCCAGTGAAGACGCCTCAAGATCCCGGCCTGAAGCTAACCAAGAACATGTGTGAACAAGAATGCAAGCACGAAGACACCATGTGCAACGTGCCATATCGAAGTGCTGTCGGAGGCATCATGTATCTCATGGTCGCCACACGTCCGGATCTAGCTGCTGCAGTGGGATCATTATCCCAGTTCTCGTCCGACCCATGCCCGACTCACTGGCAAGCTTTGAAGCGTGTGCTGAGATACCTGCAAGCAACGCCCAACCATGGTCTTGAGTTTACACGTCAAGAAGGAAGCCGTATCTGCGGGTACACCGACGCAGACTGGGCCGGCGACATTGAGTCAAGACGAAGTACAAGCGGCTATGTGTTCATGATGAGCGGAGGATGCATCAGCTGGAAAAGCCAGAAACAACGGACGGTCGCGCTATCTTCAACAGAAGCAGAATACATGGCGCTTTCCGAAGCAACCAAAGAAGCAGTATGGCTCAAGGTGCTTTTGGGGGAACTTGGTGAGATGACAAGCGACGAAGCGATCAAGATGTATGAAGACAACCAAGGATCAATCGCTCTCGCCAAGAACCCGGAGTTCCATAAGAGAACAAAACACATCGACATACGCTACCATTTTGTGCGTGAGAAGGTGGAATCAGGTGAAGTCGTTTTGGAGTATTGCCCGACTCAAGATATGCTGGCAGACATGATGACCAAGCCGATCGCCGCTGTACAATTTGAAAACATTCGCGATCGACTTGGGATCCAAGGTGCCGCAGCTAACGAGTCGAGAGGGAGTGTTGAAAAGACAGCAGCTGTGAAGAAGACACCTCGTCAAGCTGCGTCAAGTGTTGAAGCAAGTGGAAGACCAAGCTTCGCTATACCGGTGGGTACCGGTATGTACCAGTAAGGGCGAAGTCAGGAAATGACGTCACTGGATGACGTCATTGCATGACGTCAGTGGGTGACGTCAGTGGGTGACGTCACTGGATGACGTCACTGCGAATAATAGGCTTAGAGGTAGTATTCAAAGTTGCGAACTAAGTACCTATTATAAATATATATTTACTTTGCGTTTTGCACTCGGGCCAAGAAGTCTAAAGTTCATCACAAATGACTCCAGTGGCGCCGGAACAAGCAAATGCAGCCAAGTCGTCGGGATGTCAAGGGGGCACCAAGTCGTACCTCTGGCACCTTCGGCTTGGCCACATAGGTCACGATGGACTCAATTGCATCGTGACGAAGAACATTGGAATTTGCATCGACATATCTTCGGTGAAGAAGTGGGACGTGTGTGAAGGTTGTGCTCTGGGAAAACAGACTCGAGTGCGCTTCCAATCAAACACTACAGCTCGCACCTCCAAACTCCTCGAAGTGATTCACAGCGACGTATGCGGACCGATGTCGATGGCAACTTTCAGTGGAAAACGGTACTTCGTGACATTCATTGATGACAAGTCAAGATACTGTGTCGTCTATCTGCTCAAGAGCAAATCTGAAGTTGCGGCGAAGTTCATGGAATACGCTGCGATGGCCGAAACGCAAACCGGAAAGCGCGTGAAGTACCTTCAAAGCGACAATGGGGGTGAATACAAGTCCGACAAGCTGGCACGATTCTGCGCGGAACGGGGAATACAACAAAGGTTCACACCCCCATATACTCCTCAGCTAAACGGAGTAGCTGAGAGAATGAATCGCACGCTGGTCGAGTGTGCGCGTTGCATGATGGAACACGCTGGACTGGGAAAGAGCTACTGGGGTGAAGCAGTGATGACGGCGATGTTTCTTCGAAACCGCTGTCCAACACGTGCCATTCACCAAGACAAGTCTCCATATCAAGTGTGGACGATGAAGAAACCGATTCTGGCCAACCTTAAAGTGTTTGGATGCCACGCGTATGTTCAAGTGCCTCAAGACAAACGCGCGAAGTTCGACTCCAAGTCATCACTCTGTCGTTTCCTGGGATACGCCGAACACCAGAAGTCATATCGATTTGAGGAAGTGTCAACAGGAGCGATCAAGATCAGTCGCGATGCCACATTCATGGAAGACAAGTTTGATGAAGGTCCGCGCAACTACAACGATGAGTCAAGTGTCGTTGAGTTTGATGATCATGATGAGGACGAAGAAAAAGAAGAAGGTAAAACTGACGACGACATGGACTCGAGCGACGATGACAACGAAGACACCAGGTCTTCGAAGAGCAACATCAAGAGACACACGCGCACTCAATCACTTGAGAAAGCTACCGTCATTCCAAGTCCCAAGCGAAGAACATACAGAGGTCCGTCGCTTGAGCATGTTTCAGCGGCTGCAATGGATTTTGAAGCAGCCTACATCGTTGATTCAGTGGGGGAAACGCCGACTACATTCAAGTCGGCGATGGAATCAAGCGACTCCGGCAAGTGGAAAGAAGCGTGTGACTCGGAGTTCGATTCGCTTCAGAGAAACGACACGTGGGAAATCGTGCCTCTTCCGAAAGGTCGCAAGGCCATCGGGTGCCGATGGGTTTTTCGTGTAAAGGAGAATCAAGATGGCGAAGTTGAACGTTTCAAGGCAAGACTTGTGGCCAAAGGATTCTCACAGAAATTCGGAGTTGACTATGAAGAAACTTTCGCACCGGTGGCCAAGTTCACATCGATTCGTGTGGTGCTCAGTATGGCGGCCAAGTACGGCCTAATGCTACATCAGATGGACGTCAAGACAGCGTTTCTTAACGGCTCCCTCAACGAAGACATCTACATGGACCAGCCGGACGGATACCTGGATGCAACACAGCCGGACTATGTGTGCAAGCTAAAGAGATCACTCTACGGCTTGAAGCAATCGCCTCGCATGTGGAACCAAACAATCGATGGGTTCATGATCAAGATGGGATTCAAGAAGTGCGAATCGGACCACTGCATCTACATCAAGCGAGACGACCAAGACATGATTCTCGTGGTGCTCTACGTCGATGATCTCATCCTGGCCAGCAGCAACAACGAACTCCTCAAGTCGACCAAGATGGCGCTGAGCAAACGCTTCGAAATGACGGATCTCGGTGAGCCTCGATTACTTTCTCGGCATAGAGATCAAGAACGACCGTAAGACGGGAATGGTGACTGTACAACAAACCAAGTTTCTCAAGTCCGTGTTAACCAAGTTCGGAATGGATAACAGCAAGCCAGTGAAGACGCCTCAAGATCCCGGCCTGAAGCTAACCAAGAACATGTGTGAACAAGAATGCAAGCACGAAGACACCATGTGCAACGTGCCATATCGAAGTGCTGTCGGAGGCATCATGTATCTCATGGTCGCCACACGTCCGGATCTAGCTGCTGCAGTGGGATCATTATCCCAGTTCTCGTCCGACCCATGCCCGACTCACTGGCAAGCTTTGAAGCGTGTGCTGAGATACCTGCAAGCAACGCCCAACCATGGTCTTGAGTTTACACGTGAAGAAGGAAGCCGTATCTGCGGGTACACCGACGCAGACTGGGCCGGCGACATTGAGTCAAGACGAAGTACAAGCGGCTATGTGTTCATGGTGAGCGGAGGATGCATCAGCTGGAAAAGCCAGAAACAACGGACGGTCGCGCTATCTTCAACAGAAGCAGAATACATGGCGCTTTCCGAAGCAACCAAAGAAGCAGTATGGCTCAAGGTGCTTTTGGGGGAACTTGGTGAGATGACAAGCGACGAAGCGATCAAGATGTATGAAGACAACCAAGGATCAATCGCTCTCGCCAAGAACCCGGAGTTCCATAAGAGAACAAAACACATCGACATACGCTACCATTTTGTGCGTGAGAAGGTGGAATCAGGTGAAGTCGTTTTGGAGTATTGCCCGACTCAAGATATGCTGGCAGACATGATGACCAAGCCGATCGCCGCTGTACAATTTGAAAACATTCGCGATCGACTTGGGATCCAAGGTGCCGCAGCTAACGAGTCGAGAGGGAGTGTTGAAAAGACAGCAGCTGTGAAGAAGACACCTCGTCAAGCTGCGTCAAGTGTTGAAGCAAGTGGAAGACCAAGCTTCGCTATACCGGTGGGTACCGGTATGTACCAGTAAGGGCGAAGTCAGGAAATGACGTCACTGGATGACGTCATTGCATGACGTCAGTGGGTGACGTCAGTGGGTGACGTCACTGGATGACGTCACTGCGAATAATAGGCTTAGAGGTAGTATTCAAAGTTGCGAACTAAGTACCTATTATAAATATATATTTACTTTGCGTTTTGCACTCGGGCCAAGAAGTCTAAAGTTCATCACAAATGACTCCAGTGGCGCCGGAACAAGCAAATGCAGCCAAGTCGTCGGGATGTCAAGGGGGCACCAAGTCGTACCTCTGGCACCTTCGGCTTGGCCACATAGGTCACGATGGACTCAATTGCATCGTGACGAAGAACATTGGAATTTGCATCGACATATCTTCGGTGAAGAAGTGGGACGTGTGTGAAGGTTGTGCTCTGGGAAAACAGACTCGAGTGCGCTTCCAATCAAACACTACAGCTCGCACCTCCAAACTCCTCGAAGTGATTCACAGCGACGTATGCGGACCGATGTCGATGGCAACTTTCAGTGGAAAACGGTACTTCGTGACATTCATTGATGACAAGTCAAGATACTGTGTCGTCTATCTGCTCAAGAGCAAATCTGAAGTTGCGGCGAAGTTCATGGAATACGCTGCGATGGCCGAAACGCAAACCGGAAAGCGCGTGAAGTACCTTCAAAGCGACAATGGGGGTGAATACAAGTCCGACAAGCTGGCACGATTCTGCGCGGAACGGGGAATACAACAAAGGTTCACACCCCCATATACTCCTCAGCTAAACGGAGTAGCTGAGAGAATGAATCGCACGCTGGTCGAGTGTGCGCGTTGCATGATGGAACACGCTGGACTGGGAAAGAGCTACTGGGGTGAAGCAGTGATGACGGCGATGTTTCTTCGAAACCGCTGTCCAACACGTGCCATTCACCAAGACAAGTCTCCATATCAAGTGTGGACGATGAAGAAACCGATTCTGGCCAACCTTAAAGTGTTTGGATGCCACGCGTATGTTCAAGTGCCTCAAGACAAACGCGCGAAGTTCGACTCCAAGTCATCACTCTGTCGTTTCCTGGGATACGCCGAACACCAGAAGTCATATCGATTTGAGGAAGTGTCAACAGGAGCGATCAAGATCAGTCGCGATGCCACATTCATGGAAGACAAGTTTGATGAAGGTCCGCGCAACTACAACGATGAGTCAAGTGTCGTTGAGTTTGATGATCATGATGAGGACGAAGAAAAAGAAGAAGGTAAAACTGACGACGACATGGACTCGAGCGACGATGACAACGAAGACACCAGGTCTTCGAAGAGCAACATCAAGAGACACACGCGCACTCAATCACTTGAGAAAGCTACCGTCATTCCAAGTCCCAAGCGAAGAACATACAGAGGTCCGTCGCTTGAGCATGTTTCAGCGGCTGCAATGGATTTTGAAGCAGCCTACATCGTTGATTCAGTGGGGGAAACGCCGACTACATTCAAGTCGGCGATGGAATCAAGCGACTCCGGCAAGTGGAAAGAAGCGTGTGACTCGGAGTTCGATTCGCTTCAGAGAAACGACACGTGGGAAATCGTGCCTCTTCCGAAAGGTCGCAAGGCCATCGGGTGCCGATGGGTTTTTCGTGTAAAGGAGAATCAAGATGGCGAAGTTGAACGTTTCAAGGCAAGACTTGTGGCCAAAGGATTCTCACAGAAATTCGGAGTTGACTATGAAGAAACTTTCGCACCGGTGGCCAAGTTCACATCGATTCGTGTGGTGCTCAGTATGGCGGCCAAGTACGGCCTAATGCTACATCAGATGGACGTCAAGACAGCGTTTCTTAACGGCTCCCTCAACGAAGACATCTACATGGACCAGCCGGACGGATACCTGGATGCAACACAGCCGGACTATGTGTGCAAGCTAAAGAGATCACTCTACGGCTTGAAGCAATCGCCTCGCATGTGGAACCAAACAATCGATGGGTTCATGATCAAGATGGGATTCAAGAAGTGCGAATCGGACCACTGCATCTACATCAAGCGAGACGACCAAGACATGATTCTCGTGGTGCTCTACGTCGATGATCTCATCCTGGCCAGCAGCAACAACGAACTCCTCAAGTCGACCAAGATGGCGCTGAGCAAACGCTTCGAAATGACGGATCTCGGTGAGCTCGATTACTTTCTCGGCATAGAGATCAAGAACGACCGTAAGACGGGAATGGTGACTGTGCAACAAACCAAGTTTCTCAAGTCCGTGTTAACCAAGTTCGGAATGGATAACAGCAAGCCAGTGAAGACGCCTCAAGATCCCGGCCTGAAGCTAACCAAGAACATGTGTGAACAAGAATGCAAGCACGAAGACACCATGTGCAACGTGCCATATCGAAGTGCTGTCGGAGGCATCATGTATCTCATGGTCGCCACACGTCCGGATCTAGCTGCTGCAGTGGGATCATTATCCCAGTTCTCGTCCGACCCATGCCCGACTCACTGGCAAGCTTTGAAGCGTGTGCTGAGATACCTGCAAGCAACGCCCAACCATGGTCTTGAGTTTACACGTCAAGAAGGAAGCCGTATCTGCGGGTACACCGACGCAGACTGGGCCGGCGACATTGAGTCAAGACGAAGTACAAGCGGCTATGTGTTCATGATGAGCGGAGGATGCATCAGCTGGAAAAGCCAGAAACAACGGACGGTCGCGCTATCTTCAACAGAAGCAGAATACATGGCGCTTTCCGAAGCAACCAAAGAAGCAGTATGGCTCAAGGTGCTTTTGGGGGAACTTGGTGAGATGACAAGCGACGAAGCGATCAAGATGTATGAAGACAACCAAGGATCAATCGCTCTCGCCAAGAACCCGGAGTTCCATAAGAGAACAAAACACATCGACATACGCTACCATTTTGTGCGTGAGAAGGTGGAATCAGGTGAAGTCGTTTTGGAGTATTGCCCGACTCAAGATATGCTGGCAGACATGATGACCAAGCCGATCGCCGCTGTACAATTTGAAAACATTCGCGATCGACTTGGGATCCAAGGTGCCGCAGCTAACGAGTCGAGAGGGAGTGTTGAAAAGACAGCAGCTGTGAAGAAGACACCTCGTCAAGCTGCGTCAAGTGTTGAAGCAAGTGGAAGACCAAGCTTCGCTATACCGGTGGGTACCGGTATGTACCAGTAAGGGCGAAGTCAGGAAATGACGTCACTGGATGACGTCATTGCATGACGTCAGTGGGTGACGTCAGTGGGTGACGTCACTGGATGACGTCACTGCGAATAATAGGCTTAGAGGTAGTATTCAAAGTTGCGAACTAAGTACCTATTATAAATATATATTTACTTTGCGTTTTGCACTCGGACCAAGAAGTCTAAAGTTCATCACAAATGACTCCAGTGGCGCCGGAACAAGAAAATGCAGCCAAGTCGTCGGGATGTCAAGGGGGCACCAAGTCGTACCTCTGGCACCTTCGGCTTGGCCACATAGGTCACGATGGACTCAATTGCATCGTGACGAAGAACATTGGAATTTGCATCGACATATCTTCGGTGAAGAAGTGGGACGTGTGTGAAGGTTGTGCTCTGGGAAAACAGACTCGAGTGCGCTTCCAATCAAACACTACAGCTCGCACCTCCAAACTCCTCGAAGTGATTCACAGCGACGTATGCGGACCGATGTCGATGGCAACTTTCAGTGGAAAACGGTACTTCGTGACATTCATTGATGACAAGTCAAGATACTGTGTCGTCTATCTGCTCAAGAGCAAATCTGAAGTTGCGGCGAAGTTCATGGAATACGCTGCGATGGCCGAAACGCAAACCGGAAAGCGCGTGAAGTACCTTCAAAGCGACAATGGGGGTGAATACAAGTCCGACAAGCTGGCACGATTCTGCGCGGAACGGGGAATACAACAAAGGTTCACACCCCCATATACTCCTCAGCTAAACGGAGTAGCTGAGAGAATGAATCGCACGCTGGTCGAGTGTGCGCGTTGCATGATGGAACACGCTGGACTGGGAAAGAGCTACTGGGGTGAAGCAGTGATGACGGCGATGTTTCTTCGAAACCGCTGTCCAACACGTGCCATTCACCAAGACAAGTCTCCATATCAAGTGTGGACGATGAAGAAACCGATTCTGGCCAACCTTAAAGTGTTTGGATGCCACGCGTATGTTCAAGTGCCTCAAGACAAACGCGCGAAGTTCGACTCCAAGTCATCACTCTGTCGTTTCCTGGGATACGCCGAACACCAGAAGTCATATCGATTTGAGGAAGTGTCAACAGGAGCGATCAAGATCAGTCGCGATGCCACATTCATGGAAGACAAGTTTGATGAAGGTCCGCGCAACTACAACGATGAGTCAAGTGTCGTTGAGTTTGATGATCATGATGAGGACGAAGAAAAAGAAGAAGGTAAAACTGACGACGACATGGACTCGAGCGACGATGACAACGAAGACACCAGGTCTTCGAAGAGCAACATCAAGAGACACACGCGCACTCAATCACTTGAGAAAGCTACCGTCATTCCAAGTCCCAAGCGAAGAACGTACAGATGTCCGTCGCTTGAGCATGTGTCAGCGGCTGCAATGGATTTTGAAGCAGCCTACATCGTTGATTCAGTGGGGGAAACGCCGACTACATTCAAGTCGGCGATGGAATCAAGCGACTCCGGCAAGTGGAAAGAAGCGTGTGACTCGGAGTTCGATTTGCTTCAGAGAAACGACACGTGGGAAATCGTGCCTCTTCCGAAAGGTCGCAAGGCCATCGGGTGCCGATGGGTTTTTCGTGTAAAGGAGAATCAAGATGGCGAAGTTGAACGTTTCAAGGCAAGACTTGTGGCCAAAGGATTCTCACAGAAATTCGGAGTTGACTATGAAGAAACTTTCGCACCGGTGGCCAAGTTCACATCGATTCGTGTGGTGCTCAGTATGGCGGCCAAGTACGGCCTAATGCTACATCAGATGGACGTCAAGACAGCGTTTCTTAACGGCTCCCTCAACGAAGACATCTACATGGACCAGCCGGACGGATACCTGGATGCAACACAGCCGGACTATGTGTGCAAGCTAAAGAGATCACTCTACGGCTTGAAGCAATCGCCTCGCATGTGGAACCAAACAATCGATGGGTTCATGATCAAGATGGGATTCAAGAAGTGCGAATCGGACCACTGCATCTACATCAAGCGAGACGACCAAGACATGATTCTCGTGGTGCTCTACGTCGATGATCTCATCCTGGCCAGCAGCAACAACGAACTCCTCAAGTCGACCAAGATGGCGCTGAGCAAACGCTTCGAAATGACGGATCTCGGTGAGCTCGATTACTTTCTCGGCATGGAGATCAAGAACGACCGTAAGACGGGAATGGTGACTGTGCAACAAACCAAGTTTCTCAAGTCCGTGTTAACCAAGTTCGGAATGGATAACAGCAAGCCAGTGAAGACGCCTCAAGATCCCGGCCTGAAGCTAACCAAGAACATGTGTGAACAAGAATGCAAGCACGAAGACACCATGTGCAACGTGCCATATCGAAGTGCTGTCGGAGGCATCATGTATCTCATGGTCGCCACACGTCCGGATCTAGCTGCTGCAGTGGGATCATTATCCCAGTTCTCTGATGAACTTTAGACTTCTTGGTCCGAGTGCAAAACGCAAAGTGAATATATATTTATAATAGGTACTTGGTTCGCAACTTTGAATACTACCTCTAAGCCTATTATTCGCAGTGACGTCATCCAGTGACGTCACCCACTGACGTCACCCACTGACGTCATGCAATGACGTCATCCAGTGACGTCATTTCCTGACTTCGCCCTTACTGGTACATACCGGTACCCACCGGTATAGCGAGGCTTGGTCTTCCACTTGCTTCAACACTTGACGCAGCTTGACGAGGTGTCTTCTTCACAGCCGCTGTCTTTTCAACACTCCCTCTCGACTCGTTAGCTGCGGCACCTTGGATCCCAAGTCGATCGCGAATGTTTTCAAATTGTACAGCGGCGATCGGCTTGGTCATCATGTCTGCCAGCATATCTTGAGTCGGGCAATACTCCAAAACGACTTCACCTGATTCCACCTTCTCACGCACAAAATGGTAGCGTATGTCGATGTGTTTTGTTCTCTTATGGAACTCCGGGTTCTTGGCGAGAGCGATTGATCCTTGGTTGTCTTCATACATCTTGATCGCTTCGTCGCTTGTCATCTCACCAAGTTCCCCCAAAAGCACTTTGAGCCATACTGCTTCTTTGGTTGCTTCGGAAAGCGCCATGTATTCTGCTTCTGTTGAAGATAGCGCGACCGTCCGTTGTTTCTGGCTTTTCCAGCTGATGCATCCTCCGCTCATCATGAACACATAGCCGCTTGTACTTCGTCTTGACTCAATGTCGCCGGCCCAGTCTGCGTCGGTGTACCCGCAGATACGGCTTCCTTCTTCACGTGTAAACTCAAGACCATGATTGGGCGTTGCTTGCAGGTATCTCAGCACACGCTTCAAAGCTTGCCAGTGAGTCGGGCATGGGTCGGACGAGAACTGGGATAATGATCCCACTGCAGCAGCTAGATCCGGACGTGTGGCGACCATGAGATACATGATGCCTCCGACAGCACTTCGATATGGCACGTTGCACATGGTGTCTTCGTGCTTGCATTCTTGTTCACACATGTTCTTGGTTAGCTTCAGGCCGGGATCTTGAGGCGTCTTCACTGGCTTGCTGTTATCCATTCCGAACTTGGTTAACACGGACTTGAGGAACTTGGTTTGTTGTACAGTCACCATTCCCGTCTTACGGTCGTTCTTGATCTCCATGCCGAGAAAGTAATCGAGCTCACCGAGATCCGTCATTTCGAAGCGTTTGCTCAGCGCCATCTTGGTTGACTTGAGGAGTTCGTTGTTGCTGCTGGCCAGGATGAGATCATCGACGTAGAGTACCACGAGAATCATGTCTTGGTCGTCTCGCTTGATGTAGATGCAGTGGTCCGATTCGCACTTCTTGAATCCCATCTTGATCATGAACCCATCGATTGTTTGGTTCCACATGCGAGGCGATTGCTTCAAGCCGTAGAGTGATCTCTTTAGCTTGCACACATAGTCCGGCTGTGTTGCATCCAGGTATCCGTCCGGCTGGTCCATGTAGATGTCTTCGTTGAGGGAGCCGTTAAGAAACGCTGTCTTGACGTCCATCTGATGTAGCATTAGGCCGTACTTAGCCGCCATACTGAGCACCACACGAATCGATGTGAACTTGGCCACCGGTGCGAAAGTTTCTTCATAGTCAACTCCGAATTTCTGTGAGAATCCTTTGGCCACAAGTCTTGCCTTGAAACGTTCAACTTCGCCATCTTGATTCTCCTTTACACGAAAAACCCATCGGCACCCGATGGCCTTGCGACCTTTCGGAAGAGGCACGATTTCCCACGTGTCGTTTCTCTGAAGCGAATCGAACTCCGAGTCACACGCTTCTTTCCACTTGCCGGAGTCGCTTGATTCCATCGCCGACTTGAATGTAGTCGGCGTTTCCCCCACTGAATCAACGATGTAGGCTGCTTCAAAATCCATTGCAGCCGCTGACACATGCTCAAGCGACGGACCTCTGTATGTTCTTCGCTTGGGACTTGGAATGACGGTAGCTTTCTCAAGTGATTGAGTGCGCGTGTGTCTCTTGATGTTGCTCTTCGAAGACCTGGTGTCTTCGTTGTCATCGTCGCTCGAGTCCATGTCGTCGTCAGTTTTACCTTCTTCTTTTTCTTCGTCCTCATCATGATCATCAAACTCAACGACACTTGACTCATCGTTGTAGTTGCGCGGACCTTCATCAAACTTGTCTTCCATGAATGTGGCATCGCGACTGATCTTGATCGCTCCTGTTGACACTTCCTCAAATCGATATGACTTCTGGTGTTCGGCGTATCCCAGGAAACGACAGAGTGATGACTTGGAGTCGAACTTCGCGCGTTTGTCTTGAGGCACTTGAACATACGCGTGGCATCCAAACACTTTAAGGTTGGCCAGAATCGGTTTCTTCATCGTCCACACTTGATATGGAGACTTGTCTTGGTGAATGGCACGTGTTGGACAGCGGTTTCGAAGAAACATCGCCGTCATCACTGCTTCACCCCAGTAGCTCTTTCCCAGTCCAGCGTGTTCCATCATGCAACGCGCACACTCGACCAGCGTGCGATTCATTCTCTCAGCTACTCCGTTTAGCTGAGGAGTATATGGGGGTGTGAACCTTTGTTGTATTCCCCGTTCCGCGCAGAATCGTGCCAGCTTGTCGGACTTGTATTCACCCCCATTGTCGCTTTGAAGGTACTTCACGCGCTTTCCGGTTTGCGTTTCGGCCATCGCAGCGTATTCCATGAACTTCGCCGCAACTTCAGATTTGCTCTTGAGCAGATAGACGACACAGTATCTTGACTTGTCATCAATGAATGTCACGAAGTACCGTTTTCCACTGAAAGTTGCCATCGACATCGGTCCGCATACGTCGCTGTGAATCACTTCGAGGAGTTTGGAGGTGCGAGCTGTAGTGTTTGATTGGAAGCGCACTCGAGTCTGTTTTCCCAGAGCACAACCTTCACACACGTCCCACTTCTTCACCGAAGATATGTCGATGCCAATTCCTATGTTCTTCGTCACGATGCAATTGAGTCCATCGTGACCTATGTGGCCAAGCCGAAGGTGCCAGAGGTACGACTTGGTGCCCCTTGACATCCCGACGACTTGGCTGCATTTGCTTGTTCCGGCGCCACTGGAGTCATTTGCAGCTTGAACAGTCCTTTACCTTCACGGGCACCAATTTTCCACTTGGTCCCTTTCGCTTCTCCATAGCACCCATCCTTCGTGAACGTCACTGGGCCGACATCCTTGGTGAAGCGGCCGACCGAGAACAGGTTTCTGGATAACTTTGGGATGTGCCACACGTTTGTGAGCACACCTTTCTTCATCCCTTGGGGTGTCTTCATCGACATGACAATGTCCCCACTGCCGATTGCTTGGACGATTCCATCATCCGCGAGATGGACATCCACAGCGTCAAACCCCTTGTAGTTCCGCATGAACTTCTTGGAGCACGTCATGTGCTGCGTCGCCCCGGAGTCGACCAGCCAGATGTCCCTCGATTTCGCAGATGTCGTTTCACCGATCGAAAAGAGGTAGTCGCCCGAGTCTTCTTCTTGAGCGACGTTTGCACGTTGTGATCGATAGCGGTCGCCGCTGTCTTGAGCACGCTGTGGCCGGTGTCTCTCCGTGTTTTCTTGGATGCGCGAGGGGCACTCCGCCATCCAGTGACCAATCTTTCCGCAATTGTGGCACGGCCAGGACTTCTTCACTGGTCGCCCTTTGCGCTGATTGTCCCTTGTGATGAACGCTTGACCTTGCGAAGCTTCATCACCTTTACTTCCTTGCTCCTTCCGCTTCATTTCTTCATGAAGCAGTCGAGACGTCACGAGCTCCCAGCTAAGAGTGTCTGAGCGCGACTCCAAAGCTGTGATCAAGAATTGATACGAGTCACTCAGGCTGCCGAGGAGTGTGATCACCAGATCGTCCTCGCAGACTGGAGCCCCCACCGCTTCTAGCTGTTCCGCCAGCGTCTTGAGCTTGTTGATGTGTTCGAGCACATCGTCGCCTTCTTCCATCATTGTCGTGAAGAAGCGACGGCGCAAGAACAGCTTGTTGGCAAGACTCTTCTTCTCGAAGTGGTCTTCCAACCTTGACCATGCGTCGCATGCACCACTTGCCGACCGGACCAACGGTAGCTGGGAATCTTCCATGGCTAGACAGATCACTGCCATCGCCTTTCTTGACTTCCTCTTGTACGTCGCTTGGTCCAACTGAGTCTCGCACTGTTCCGCCTTGATCTCACCGCTGACGACCTCCCATAGGTCCCGTTCCTCCTGATGAACTTTAGACTTCTTGGTCCGAGTGCAAAACGCAAAGTGAATATATATTTATAATAGGTACTTAGTTCGCAACTTTGAATACTACCTCTAAGCCTATTATTCGCAGTGACGTCATCCAGTGACGTCACCCACTGACGTCACCCACTGACGTCATGCAATGACGTCATCCAGTGACGTCATTTCCTGACTTCGCCCTTACTGGTACATACCGGTACCCACCGGTATAGCGAAGCTTGGTCTTCCACTTGCTTCAACACTTGACGCAGCTTGACGAGGTGTCTTCTTCACAGCCGCTGTCTTTTCAACACTCCCTCTCGACTCGTTAGCTGCGGCACCTTGGATCCCAAGTCGATCGCGAATGTTTTCAAATTGTACAGCGGCGATCGGCTTGGTCATCATGTCTGCCAGCATATCTTGAGTCGGGCAATACTCCAAAACGACTTCACCTGATTCCACCTTCTCACGCACAAAATGGTAGCGTATGTCGATGTGTTTTGTTCTCTTATGGAACTCCGGGTTCTTGGCGAGAGCGATTGATCCTTGGTTGTCTTCATACATCTTGATCGCTTCGTCGCTTGTCATCTCACCAAGTTCCCCCAAAAGCACTTTGAGCCATACTGCTTCTTTGGTTGCTTCGGAAAGCGCCATGTATTCTGCTTCTGTTGAAGATAGCGCGACCGTCCGTTGTTTCTGGCTTTTCCAGCTGATGCATCCTCCGCTCATCATGAACACATAGCCGCTTGTACTTCGTCTTGACTCAATGTCGCCGGCCCAGTCTGCGTCGGTGTACCCGCAGATACGGCTTCCTTCTTCACGTGTAAACTCAAGACCATGATTGGGCGTTGCTTGCAGGTATCTCAGCACACGCTTCAAAGCTTGCCAGTGAGTCGGGCATGGGTCGGACGAGAACTGGGATAATGATCCCACTGCAGCAGCTAGATCCGGACGTGTGGCGACCATGAGATACATGATGCCTCCGACAGCACTTCGATATGGCACGTTGCACATGGTGTCTTCGTGCTTGCATTCTTGTTCACACATGTTCTTGGTTAGCTTCAGGCCGGGATCTTGAGGCGTCTTCACTGGCTTGCTGTTATCCATTCCGAACTTGGTTAACACGGACTTGAGAAACTTGGTTTGTTGTACAGTCACCATTCCCGTCTTACGGTCGTTCTTGATCTCCATGCCGAGAAAGTAATCGAGCTCACCGAGATCCGTCATTTCGAAGCGTTTGCTCAGCGCCATCTTGGTTGACTTGAGGAGTTCGTTGTTGCTGCTGGCCAGGATGAGATCATCGACGTAGAGCACCACGAGAATCATGTCTTGGTCGTCTCGCTTGATGTAGATGCAGTGGTCCGATTCGCACTTCTTGAATCCCATCTTGATCATGAACCCATCGATTGTTTGGTTCCACATGCGAGGCGATTGCTTCAAGCCGTAGAGTGATCTCTTTAGCTTGCACACATAGTCCGGCTGTGTTGCATCCAGGTATCCGTCCGGCTGGTCCATGTAGATGTCTTCGTTGAGGGAGCCGTTAAGAAACGCTGTCTTGACGTCCATCTGATGTAGCATTAGGCCGTACTTAGCCGCCATACTGAGCACCACACGAATCGATGTGAACTTGGCCACCGGTGCGAAAGTTTCTTCATAGTCAACTCCGAATTTCTGTGAGAATCCTTTGGCCACAAGTCTTGCCTTGAAACGTTCAACTTCGCCATCTTGATTCTCCTTTACACGAAAAACCCATCGGCACCCGATGGCCTTGCGACCTTTCGGAAGAGGCACGATTTCCCACGTGTCGTTTCTCTGAAGCGAATCGAACTCCGAGTCACACGCTTCTTTCCACTTGCCGGAGTCGCTTGATTCCATCGCCGACTTGAATGTAGTCGGCGTTTCCCCCACTGAATCAACGATGTAGGCTGCTTCAAAATCCATTGCAGCCGCTGACACATGCTCAAGCGACGGACCTCTGTATGTTCTTCGCTTGGGACTTGGAATGACGGTAGCTTTCTCAAGTGATTGAGTGCGCGTGTGTCTCTTGATGTTGCTCTTCGAAGACCTGGTGTCTTCGTTGTCATCGTCGCTCGAGTCCATGTCGTCGTCAGTTTTACCTTCTTCTTTTTCTTCGTCCTCATCATGATCATCAAACTCAACGACACTTGACTCATCGTTGTAGTTGCGCGGACCTTCATCAAACTTGTCTTCCATGAATGTGGCATCGCGACTGATCTTGATCGCTCCTGTTGACACTTCCTCAAATCGATATGACTTCTGGTGTTCGGCGTATCCCAGGAAACGACAGAGTGATGACTTGGAGTCGAACTTCGCGCGTTTGTCTTGAGGCACTTGAACATACGCGTGGCATCCAAACACTTTAAGGTTGGCCAGAATCGGTTTCTTCATCGTCCACACTTGATATGGAGACTTGTCTTGGTGAATGGCACGTGTTGGACAGCGGTTTCGAAGAAACATCGCCGTCATCACTGCTTCACCCCAGTAGCTCTTTCCCAGTCCAGCGTGTTCCATCATGCAACGCGCACACTCGACCAGCGTGCGATTCATTCTCTCAGCTACTCCGTTTAGCTGAGGAGTATATGGGGGTGTGAACCTTTGTTGTATTCCCCGTTCCGCGCAGAATCGTGCCAGCTTGTCGGACTTGTATTCACCCCCATTGTCGCTTTGAAGGTACTTCACGCGCTTTCCGGTTTGCGTTTCGGCCATCGCAGCGTATTCCATGAACTTCGCCGCAACTTCAGATTTGCTCTTGAGCAGATAGACGACACAGTATCTTGACTTGTCATCAATGAATGTCACGAAGTACCGTTTTCCACTGAAAGTTGCCATCGACATCGGTCCGCATACGTCGCTGTGAATCACTTCGAGGAGTTTGGAGGTGCGAGCTGTAGTGTTTGATTGGAAGCGCACTCGAGTCTGTTTTCCCAGAGCACAACCTTCACACACGTCCCACTTCTTCACCGAAGATATGTCGATGCCAATTCCAATGTTCTTCGTCACGATGCAATTGAGTCCATCGTGACCTATGTGGGCCAAGCCGAAGGTGCCAGAGGTACGACTTGGTGCCCCCTTGACATCCCGACGACTTGGCTGCATTTGCTTGTTCCGGCGCCACTGGAGTCATTTGCAGCTTGAACAGTCCTTTACCTTCACGGGCACCAATTTTCCACTTGGTCCCTTTCGCTTCTCCATAGCACCCATCCTTCGTGAACGTCACTGGGCCGACATCCTTGATGAAGCGGCCGACCGAGAACAGGTTTCTGGATAACTTTGGGATGTGCCACACGTTTGTGAGCACACCTTTCTTCATCCCTTGGGGTGTCTTCATCGACATGACAATGTCCCCACTGCCGATTGCTTGGACGATTCCATCATCCGCGAGATGGACATCCACAGCGTCAAACCCCTTGTAGTTCCGCATGAACTTCTTGGAGCACGTCATGTGCTGCGTCGCCCCGGAGTCGACCAGCCAGATGTCCCTCGATTTCGCAGATGTCGTTTCACCGATCGAAAAGAGGTAGTCGCCCGAGTCTTCTTCTTGAGCGACGTTTGCACGTTGTGATCGATAGCGGTCGCCGCTGTCTTGAGCACGCTGTGGCCGGTGTCTCTCCGTGTTTTCTTGGATGCGCGAGGGGCACTCCGCCATCCAGTGACCAATCTTTCCGCAATTGTGGCACGGCCAGGACTTCTTCACTGGTCGCCCTTTGCGCTGATTGTCCCTTGTGATGAACGCTTGACCTTGCGAAGCTTCATCACCTTTACTTCCTTGCTCCTTCCGCTTCATTTCTTCATGAAGCAGTCGAGACGTCACGAGCTCCCAGCTAAGAGTGTCTGAGCGCGACTCCAAAGCTGTGATCAAGAATTGATACGAGTCACTCAGGCTGCCGAGGAGTGTGATCACCAGATCGTCCTCGCAGACTGGAGCCCCCACCGCTTCTAGCTGTTCCGCCAGCGTCTTGAGCTTGTTGATGTGTTCGAGCACATCGTCGCCTTCTTCCATCATTGTCGTGAAGAAGCGACGGCGCAAGAACAGCTTGTTGGCAAGACTCTTCTTCTCGAAGTGGTCTTCCAACCTTGACCATGCGTCGCATGCACCACTTGCCGACCGGACCAACGGTAGCTGGGAATCTTCCATGGCTAGACAGATCACTGCCATCGCCTTTCTTGACTTCCTCTTGTACGTCGCTTGGTCCAACTGAGTCTCGCACTGTTCCGCCTTGATCTCACCGCTGACGACCTCCCATAGGTCCCGTTCCTCCAGCACCATCTGCATCTTGAACTTCCAGGCGTGGAAGTTAGTTCCATCGAACTTGGAGATGCGGAGGGAGGAGGCGTCCATGGCAGCTAAGCTTGAATTGTTGGCGGTTTCAGAGTCTGACGAACTTGGGCTCATAACCTGATGAACTTTAGACTTCTTGGTCCGAGTGCAAAACGCAAAGTGAATATATATTTATAATAGGTACTTAGTTCGCAACTTTGAATACTACCTCTAAGCCTATTATTCGCAGTGACGTCATCCAGTGACGTCACCCACTGACGTCACCCACTGACGTCATGCAATGACGTCATCCAGTGACGTCATTTCCTGACTTCGCCCTTACTGGTACATACCGGTACCCACCGGTATAGCGAAGCTTGGTCTTCCACTTGCTTCAACACTTGACGCAGCTTGACGAGGTGTCTTCTTCACAGCCGCTGTCTTTTCAACAGAAGTTAGTTCCATCGAACTTGGAGATGCGGAGGGAGGACTCCATGGCACTAAGCTTGAATTGTTGGCGGTTTCAGGTTATGAGCCCAAGTTCGTCAGACTCTGAAACCGCCAACAATTCAAGCTTAGCTGCCATGGACGCCTCCTCCCTCCGCATCTCCAAGTTCGATGGAACTAACTTCCACGCCTGGAAGTTCAAGATGCAGATGGTGCTGGAGGAACGGGACCTATGGGAGGTCGTCAGCGGTGAGATCAAGGCAGAACAGTGCGAGACTCAGTTGGACCAAGCGACGTACAAGAGGAAGTCAAGAAAGGCGATGGCAGTGATCTGTCTAGCCATGGAAGATTCCCAGCTACCGTTGGTCCGGTCGGCAAGTGGTGCATGCGACGCATGGTCAAGGTTGGAAGACCACTTCGAGAAGAAGAGTCTTGCCAACAAGCTGTTCTTGCGCCGTCGCTTCTTCACGACAATGATGGAAGAAGGCGACGATGTGCTCGAACACATCAACAAGCTCAAGACGCTGGCGGAACAGCTAGAAGCGGTGGGGGCTCCAGTCTGCGAGGACGATCTGGTGATCACACTCCTCGGCAGCCTGAGTGACTCGTATCAATTCTTGATCACAGCTTTGGAGTCGCGCTCAGACACTCTTAGCTGGGAGCTCGTGACGTCTCGACTGCTTCATGAAGAAATGAAGCGGAAGGAGCAAGGAAGTAAAGGTGATGAAGCTTCGCAAGGTCAAGCGTTCATCACAAGGGACAATCAGCGCAAAGGGCGACCAGTGAAGAAGTCCTGGCCGTGCCACAATTGCGGAAAGATTGGTCACTGGATGGCGGAGTGCCCCTCGCGCATCCAAGAAAACACGGAGAGACACCGGCCACAGCGTGCTCAAGACAGCGGCGACCGCTATCGATCACAACGTGCAAACGTCGCTCAAGAAGAAGACTCGGGCGACTACCTCTTTTCGATCGGTGAAACGACATCTGCGAAATCGAGCGACATCTGGCTGGTCGACTCCGGGGCGACGCAGCACATGACGTGCTCCAAGAAGTTCATGCGGAACTACAAGGGGTTTGACGCTGTGGATGTCCATCTCGCGGATGATGGAATCGTCCAAGCAATCGGCAGTGGGGACATTGTCATGTCGATGAAGACACCCCAAGGGATGAAGAAAGGTGTGCTCACAAACGTGTGGCACATCCCAAAGTTATCCAGAAACCTGTTCTCGGTCGGCCGCTTCACCAAGGATGTCGGCCCAGTGACGTTCACGAAGGATGGGTGCTATGGAGAAGCGAAAGGGACCAAGTGGAAAATTGGTGCCCGTGAAGGTAAAGGACTGTTCAAGCTGCAAATGACTCCAGTGGCGCCGGAACAAGCAAATGCAGCCAAGTCGTCGGGATGTCAAGGGGGCACCAAGTCGTACCTCTGGCACCTTCGGCTTGGCCACATAGGTCACGATGGACTCAATTGCATCGTGACGAAGAACATTGGAATTGGCATCGACATATCTTCGGTGAAGAAGTGGGACGTGTGTGAAGGTTGTGCTCTGGGAAAACAGACTCGAGTGCGCTTCCAATCAAACACTACAGCTCGCACCTCCAAACTCCTCGAAGTGATTCACAGCGACGTATGCGGACCGATGTCGATGGCAACTTTCAGTGGAAAACGGTACTTCGTGACATTCATTGATGACAAGTCAAGATACTGTGTCGTCTATCTGCTCAAGAGCAAATCTGAAGTTGCGGCGAAGTTCATGGAATACGCTGCGATGGCCGAAACGCAAACCGGAAAGCGCGTGAAGTACCTTCAAAGCGACAATGGGGGTGAATACAAGTCCGACAAGCTGGCACGATTCTGCGCGGAACGGGGAATACAACAAAGGTTCACACCCCCATATACTCCTCAGCTAAACGGAGTAGCTGAGAGAATGAATCGCACGCTGGTCGAGTGTGCGCGTTGCATGATGGAACACGCTGGACTGGGAAAGAGCTACTGGGGTGAAGCAGTGATGACGGCGATGTTTCTTCGAAACCGCTGTCCAACACGTGCCATTCACCAAGACAAGTCTCCATATCAAGTGTGGACGATGAAGAAACCGATTCTGGCCAACCTTAAAGTGTTTGGATGCCACGCGTATGTTCAAGTGCCTCAAGACAAACGCGCGAAGTTCGACTCCAAGTCATCACTATGTCGTTTCCTGGGATACGCCGAACACCAGAAGTCATATCGATTTGAGGAAGTGTCAACAGGAGCGATCAAGATCAGTCGCGATGCCACATTCATGGAAGACAAGTTTGATGAAGGTCCGCGCAACTACAACGATGAGTCAAGTGTCGTTGAGTTTGATGATCATGACGAGGACGAAGAAAAAGAAGAAGGTAAAACTGACGACGACATGGACTCGAGCGACGATGACAACGAAGACACCAGGTCTTCGAAGAGCAACATCAAGAGACACACGCGCACTCAATCACTTGAGAAAGCTACCGTCATTCCAAGTCCCAAGCGAAGAACATACAGAGGTCCGTCGCTTGAGCATGTGTCAGCGGCTGCAATGGATTTTGAAGCAGCCTACATCGTTGATTCAGTGGGGGAAACGCCGACTACATTCAAGTCGGCGATGGAATCAAGCGACTCCGGCAAGTGGAAAGAAGCGTGTGACTCGGAGTTCGATTCGCTTCAGAGAAACGACACGTGGGAAATCGTGCCTCTTCCGAAAGGTCGCAAGGCCATCGGGTGCCGATGGGTTTTTCGTGTAAAGGAGAATCAAGATGGCGAAGTTGAACGTTTCAAGGCAAGACTTGTGGCCAAAGGATTCTCACAGAAATTCGGAGTTGACTATGAAGAAACTTTCGCACCGGTGGCCAAGTTCACATCGATTCGTGTGGTGCTCAGTATGGCGGCCAAGTACGGCCTAATGCTACATCAGATGGACGTCAAGACAGCGTTTCTTAACGGCTCCCTCAACGAAGACATCTACATGGACCAGCCGGACGGATACCTGGATGCAACACAGCCGGACTATGTGTGCAAGCTAAAGAGATCACTCTACGGCTTGAAGCAATCGCCTCGCATGTGGAACCAAACAATCGATGGGTTCATGATCAAGATGGGATTCAAGAAGTGCGAATCGGACCACTGCATCTACATCAAGCGAGACGACCAAGACATGATTCTCGTGGTGCTCTACGTCGATGATCTCATCCTGGCCAGCAGCAACAACGAACTCCTCAAGTCGACCAAGATGGCGCTGAGCAAACGCTTCGAAATGACGGATCTCGGTGAGCTCGATTACTTTCTCGGCATGGAGATCAAGAACGACCGTAAGACGGGAATGGTGACTGTGCAACAAACCAAGTTTCTCAAGTCCGTGTTAACCAAGTTCGGAATGGATAACAGCAAGCCAGTGAAGACGCCTCAAGATCCCGGCCTGAAGCTAACCAAGAACATGTGTGAACAAGAATGCAAGCACGAAGACACCATGTGCAACGTGCCATATCGAAGTGCTGTCGGAGGCATCATGTATCTCATGGTCGCCACACGTCCGGATCTAGCTGCTGCAGTGGGATCATTATCCCAGTTCTCGTCCGACCCATGCCCGACTCACTGGCAAGCTTTGAAGCGTGTGCTGAGATACCTGCAAGCAACGCCCAATCATGGTCTTGAGTTTACACGTGAAGAAGGAAGCCGTATCTGCGGGTACACCGACGCAGACTGGGCCGGCGACATTGAGTCAAGACGAAGTACAAGCGGCTATGTGTTCATGATGAGCGGAGGATGCATCAGCTGGAAAAGCCAGAAACAACGGACGGTCGCGCTATCTTCAACAGAAGCAGAATACATGGCGCTTTCCGAAGCAACCAAAGAAGCAGTATGGCTCAAAGTGCTTTTGGGGGAACTTGGTGAGATGACAAGCGACGAAGCGATCAAGATGTATGAAGACAACCAAGGATCAATCGCTCTCGCCAAGAACCCGGAGTTCCATAAGAGAACAAAACACATCGACATACGCTACCATTTTGTGCGTGAGAAGGTGGAATCAGGTGAAGTCGTTTTGGAGTATTGCCCGACTCAAGATATGCTGGCAGACATGATGACCAAGCCGATCGCCGCTGTACAATTTGAAAACATTCGCGATCGACTTGGGATCCAAGGTGCCGCAGCTAACGAGTCGAGAGGGAGTGTTGAAAAGACAGCAGCTGTGAAGAAGACACCTCGTCAAGCTGCGTCAAGTGTTGAAGCAAGTGGAAGACCAAGCTTCGCTATACCGGTGGGTACCGGTATGTACCAGTAAGGGCGAAGTCAGGAAATGACGTCACTGGATGACGTCATTGCATGACGTCAGTGGGTGACGTCAGTGGGTGACGTCACTGGATGACGTCACTGCGAATAATAGGCTTAGAGGTAGTATTCAAAGTTGCGAACTAAGTACCTATTATAAATATATATTTACTTTGCGTTTTGCACTCGGACCAAGAAGTCTAAAGTTCATCACAAATGACTCCAGTGGCGCCGGAACAAGCAAATGCAGCCAAGTCGTCGGGATGTCAAGGGGGCACCAAGTCGTACCTCTGGCACCTTCGGCTTGGCCACATAGGTCACGATGGACTCAATTGCATCGTGACGAAGAACATTGGAATTTGCATCGACATATCTTCGGTGAAGAAGTGGGACGTGTGTGAAGGTTGTGCTCTGGGAAAACAGACTCGAGTGCGCTTCCAATCAAACACTACAGCTCGCACCTCCAAACTCCTCGAAGTGATTCACAGCGACGTATGCGGACCGATGTCGATGGCAACTTTCAGTGGAAAACGGTACTTCGTGACATTCATTGATGACAAGTCAAGATACTGTGTCGTCTATCTGCTCAAGAGCAAATCTGAAGTTGCGGCGAAGTTCATGGAATACGCTGCGATGGCCGAAACGCAAACCGGAAAGCGCGTGAAGTACCTTCAAAGCGACAATGGGGGTGAATACAAGTCCGACAAGCTGGCACGATTCTGCGCGGAACGGGGAATACAACAAAGGTTCACACCCCCATATACTCCTCAGCTAAACGGAGTAGCTGAGAGAATGAATCGCACGCTGGTCGAGTGTGCGCGTTGCATGATGGAACACGCTGGACTGGGAAAGAGCTACTGGGGTGAAGCAGTGATGACGGCGATGTTTCTTCGAAACCGCTGTCCAACACGTGCCATTCACCAAGACAAGTCTCCATATCAAGTGTGGACGATGAAGAAACCGATTCTGGCCAACCTTAAAGTGTTTGGATGCCACGCGTATGTTCAAGTGCCTCAAGACAAACGCGCGAAGTTCGACTCCAAGTCATCACTCTGTCGTTTCCTGGGATACGCCGAACACCAGAAGTCATATCGATTTGAGGAAGTGTCAACAGGAGCGATCAAGATCAGTCGCGATGCCACATTCATGGAAGACAAGTTTGATGAAGGTCCGCGCAACTACAACGATGAGTCAAGTGTCGTTGAGTTTGATGATCATGATGAGGACGAAGAAAAAGAAGAAGGTAAAACTGACGACGACATGGACTCGAGCGACGATGACAACGAAGACACCAGGTCTTCGAAGAGCAACATCAAGAGACACACGCGCACTCAATCACTTGAGAAAGCTACCGTCATTCCAAGTCCCAAGCGAAGAACATACAGAGGTCCGTCGCTTGAGCATGTGTCAGCGGCTGCAATGGATTTTGAAGCAGCCTACATCGTTGATTCAGTGGGGGAAAAGCCGACTACATTCAAGTCGGCGATGGAATCAAGCGACTCCGGCAAGTGGAAAGAAGCGTGTGACTCGGAGTTCGACTCGCTTCAGAGAAACGACACGTGGGAAATCGTGCCTCTTCCGAAAGGTCGCAAGGCCATCGGGTGCCGATGGGTTTTTCGTGTGAAGGAGAATCAAGATGGCGAAGTTGAACGTTTCAAGGCAAGACTTGTGGCCAAAGGATTCTCACAGAAATTCGGAGTTGACTATGAAGAAACTTTCGCACCGGTGGCCAAGTTCACATCGATTCGTGTGGTGCTCAGTATGGCGGCTAAGTACGGCCTAATGCTACATCAGATGGACGTCAAGACAGCGTTTCTTAACGGCTCCCTCAACGAAGACATCTACATGGACCAGCCGGACGGATACCTGGATGCAACACAGCCGGACTATGTGTGCAAGCTAAAGAGATCACTCTACGGCTTGAAGCAATCGCCTCGCATGTGGAACCAAACAATCGATGGGTTCATGATCAAGATGGGATTCAAGAAGTGCGAATCGGACCACTGCATCTACATCAAGCGAGACGACCAAGACATGATTCTCGTGGTACTCTACGTCGATGATCTCATCCTGGCCAGCAGCAACAACGAACTCCTCAAGTCAACCAAGATGGCGCTGAGCAAACGCTTCGAAATGACGGATCTCGGTGAGCTCGATTACTTTCTCGGCATGGAGATCAAGAACGACCGTAAGACGGGAATGGTGACTGTGCAACAAACCAAGTTTCTCAAGTCCGTGTTAACCAAGTTCGGAATGGATAACAGCAAGCCAGTGAAGACGCCTCAAGATCCCGGCCTGAAGCTAACCAAGAACATGTGTGAACAAGAATGCAAGCACGAAGACACCATGTGCAACGTGCCATATCGAAGTGCTGTCGGAGGCATCATGTATCTCATGGTCGCCACACGTCCGGATCTAGCTGCTGCAGTGGGATCATTATCCCAGTTCTCGTCCGACCCATGCCCGACTCACTGGCAAGCTTTGAAGCGTGTGCTGAGATACCTGCAAGCAACGCCCAATCATGGTCTTGAGTTTACACGTGAAGAAGGAAGCCGTATCTGCGGGTACACCGACGCAGACTGGGCCGGCGACATTGAGTCAAGACGAAGTACAAGCGGCTATGTGTTCATGGTGAGCGGAGGATGCATCAGCTGGAAAAGCCAGAAACAACGGACGGTCGCGCTATCTTCAACAGAAGCAGAATACATGGCGCTTTCCGAAGCAACCAAAGAAGCAGTATGGCTCAAGGTGCTTTTTGGGGAACTTGGTGAGATGACAAGCGACGAAGCGATCAAGATGTATGAAGACAACCAAGGATCAATCGCTCTCGCCAAGAACCCGGAGTTCCATAAGAGAACAAAACACATCGACATACGCTACCATTTTGTGCGTGAGAAGGTGGAATCAGGTGAAGTCGTTTTGGAGTATTGCCCGACTCAAGATATGCTGGCAGACATGATGACCAAGCCGATCGCCGCTGTACAATTTGAAAACATTCGCGATCGACTTGGGATCCAAGGTGCCGCAGCTAACGAGTCGAGAGGGAGTGTTGAAAAGACAGCGGCTGTAAAGAAGACACCTCGTCAAGCTGCGTCAAGTGTTGAAGCAAGTGGAAGACCAAGCCTCGCTATACCGGTGGGTACCGGTATGTACCAGTAAGGGCGAAGTCAGGAAATGACGTCACTGGATGACGTCATTGCATGACGTCAGTGGGTGACGTCAGTGGGTGACGTCACTGGATGACGTCACTGCGAATAATAGGCTTAGAGGTAGTATTCAAAGTTGCGAACTAAGTACCTATTATAAATATATATTCACTTTGCGTTTTGCACTCGGACCAAGAAGTCTAAAGTTCATCAGTGTGAACCTTTGTTGTATTCCCCGTTCCGCGCAGAATCGTGCCAGCTTGTCGGACTTGTATTCACCCCCATTGTCGCTTTGAAGGTACTTCACGCGCTTTCCGGTTTGCGTTTCGGCCATCGCAGCGTATTCCATGAGCTTCGCCGCAACTTCAGATTTGCTCTTGAGCAGATAGACGACACAGTATCTTGACTTGTCATCGATGAATGTCACGAAGTACCGTTTTCCACTGAAAGTTGCCATCGACATCGGTCCGCATACGTCGCTGTGAATCACTTCGAGGAGTTTGGAGGTGCGAGCTGTAGTGTTTGATTGGAAGCGCACTCGAGTCTGTTTTCCCAGAGCACAACCTTCACACACGTCCCACTTCTTCACCGAAGATATGTCGATGCCAATTCCAATGTTCTTCGTCACGATGCAATTGAGTCCATCGTGACCTATGTGGCCAAGCCGAAGGTGCCAGAGGTACGACTTGGTGCCCCCTTGACATCCCGACGACTTGGCTGCATTTGCTTGTTCCGGCGCCACTGGAGTCATTTGCAGCTTGAACAGTCCTTTACCTTCACGGGCGCCAATTTTCCACTTGGTCCCTTTCGCTTTTCCATAGCACCCATCCTTCGTGAACGTCACTGGGCCGACATCCTTGGTGAAGCGGCCGACCGAGAACAGGTTTCTGGATAACTTTGGGATGTGCCACACGTTTGTGAGCACACCTTTCTTCATCCCTTGGGGTGTCTTCATCGACATGACAATGTCCCCACTGCCGATTGCTTGGACGATTCCATCATCCGCGAGATGGACATCCACAGCGTCAAACCCCTTGTAGTTCCGCATGAACTTCTTGGAGCACGTCATGTGCTGCGTCGCCCCGGAGTCGACCAGCCAGATGTCGCTCGATTTTGCAGATGTCGTTTCACCGATCGAAAAGAGGTAGTCGCCCGAGTCTTCTTCTTGAGCGACGTTTGCACGTTGTGATCGATAGCGGTCGCCGCTGTCTTGAGCACGCTGTGGCCAGTGTCTCTCCGTGTTTTCTTGGATGCGCGAGGGGCACTCCGCCATCCAGTGACCAATCTTTCCGCAATTGTGGCACGGCCAGGACTTCTTGTTGAAAAGACAGCGGCTGTGAAGAAGACACCTCGTCAAGCTGCGTCAAGTGTTGAAGCAAGTGGAAGACCAAGCTTCGCTATACCGGTGGGTACCGGTATGTACCAGTAAGGGCGAAGTCAGGAAATGACGTCACTGGATGACGTCATTGCATGATGTCAGTGGGTGACGTCAGTGGGTGACGTCACTGGATGACGTCACTGCGAATAATAGGCTTAGAGGTAGTATTCAAAGTTGCGAACTAAGTACCTATTATAAATATATATTCACTTTGCGTTTTGCACTCGGACCAAGAAGTCTAAAGTTCATCAGGTTATGAGCCCAAGTTCGTCAGACTCTGAAACCGCCAACAATTCAAGCTTAGCTGCCATGGACGCCTCCTCCCTCCGCATCTCCAAGTTCGATGGAACTAACTTCCACGCCTGGAAGTTCAAGATGCAGATGGTGCTGGAGGAACGGGACCTATGGGAGGTCGTCAGCGGTGAGATCAAGGCGGAACAGTGCGAGACTCAGTTGGACCAAGCGACGTACAAGAGGAAGTCAAGAAAGGCGATGGCAGTGATCTGTCTAGCCATGGAAGATTCCCAGCTACCGTTGGTCCGGTCGGCAAGTGGTGCATGCGACGCATGGTCAAGGTTGGAAGACCACTTCGAGAAGAAGAGTCTTGCCAACAAGCTGTTCTTGCGCCGTCGCTTCTTCACGACAATGATGGAAGAAGGCGACGATGTGCTCGAACACATCAACAAGCTCAAGACGCTGGCGGAACAGCTAGAAGCGGTGGGGGCTCCAGTCTGCGAGGACGATCTGGTGATCACACTCCTCGGCAGCCTGAGTGACTCGTATCAATTCTTGATCACAGCTTTGGAGTCGCGCTCAGACACTCTTAGCTGGGAGCTCGTGACGTCTCGACTGCTTCATGAAGAAATGAAGCGGAAGGAGCAAGGAAGTAAAGGTGATGAAGCTTCGCAAGGTCAAGCGTTCATCACAAGGGACAATCAGCGCAAAGGGCGACCAGTGAAGAAGTCCTGGCCGTGCCACAATTGCGGAAAGATTGGTCATTGGATGGCGGAGTGCCCCTCGCGCATCCAAGAAAACACGGAGAGACACCGGCCACAGCGTGCTCAAGACAGCGGCGACCGCTATCGATCACAACGTGCAAACGTCGCTCAAGAAGAAGACTCGGGCGACTACCTCTTTTCGATCGGTGAAACGATATCTGCAAAATCGAGCGACATCTGGCTGGTCGACTCCGGGGCGACGCAGCACATGACGTGCTCCAAGAAGTTCATGCGGAACTACAAGGGGGTTTGACGCTGTGGATGTCCATCTCGCGGATGATGGAATCGTCCAAGCAATCGGCAGTGGGGACATTGTCATGTCGATGAAGACACCCCAAGGGATGAAGAAAGGTGTGCTCACAAACGTGTGGCACATCCCAAAGTTATCCAGAAACCTGTTCTCGGTCGGCCGCTTCACCAAGGATGTCGGCCCAGTGACGTTCACGAAGGATGGGTGCTATGGAGAAGCGAAAGGGACCAAGTGGAAAATTGGTGCCCGTGAAGGTAAAGGACTGTTCAAGCTGCAAATGACTCCAGTGGCGCCGGAACAAGCAAATGCAGCCAAGTCGTCGGGATGTCAAGGGGGCACCAAGTCGTACCTCTGGCACCTTCGGCTTGGCCACATAGGTCACGATGGACTCAATTGCATCGTGACGAAGAACATTGGAATTGGCATCGACATATCTTCGGTGAAGAAGTGGGACGTGTGTGAAGGTTGTGCTCTGGGAAAACAGACTCGAGTGCGCTTCCAATCAAACACTACAGCTCGCACCTCCAAACTCCTCGAAGTGATTCACAGCGACGTATGCGGACCGATGTCGATGGCAACTTTCAGTGGAAAACGGTACTTCGTGACATTCATTGATGACAAGTCAAGATACTGTGTCGTCTATCTGCTCAAGAGCAAATCTGAAGTTGCGGCGAAGTTCATGGAATACGCTGCGATGGCCGAAACGCAAACCGGAAAGCGCGTGAAGTACCTTCAAAGCGACAATGGGGGTGAATACAAGTCCGACAAGCTGGCACGATTCTGCGCGGAACGGGGAATACAACAAAGGTTCACACCCCCATATACTCCTCAGCTAAACGGAGTAGCTGAGAGAATGAATCGCACGCTGGTCGAGTGTGCGCGTTGCATGATGGAACACGATGGACTGGGAAAGAGCTACTGGGGTGAAGCAGTGATGACGGCGATGTTTCTTCGAAACCGCTGTCCAACACGTGCCATTCACCAAGACAAGTCTCCATATCAAGTGTGGACGATGAAGAAACCGATTCTGGCCAACCTTAAAGTGTTTGGATGCCACGCGTATGTTCAAGTGCCTCAAGACAAACGCGCGAAGTTCGACTCCAAGTCATCACTATGTCGTTTCCTGGGATACGCCGAACACCAGAAGTCATATCGATTTGAGGAAGTGTCAACAGGAGCGATCAAGATCAGTCGCGATGCCACATTCATGGAAGACAAGTTTGATGAAGGTCCGCGCAACTACAACGATGAGTCAAGTGTCGTTGAGTTTGATGATCATGACGAGGACGAAGAAAAAGAAGAAGGTAAAACTGACGACGACATGGACTCGAGCGACGATGACAACGAAGACACCAGGTCTTCGAAGAGCAACATCAAGAGACACACGCGCACTCAATCACTTGAGAAAGCTACCGTCATTCCAAGTCCCAAGCGAAGAACATACAGAGGTCCGTCGCTTGAGCATGTGTCAGCGGCTGCAATGGATTTTGAAGCAGCCTACATCGTTGATTCAGTGGGGGAAACGCCGACTACATTCAAGTCGGCGATGGAATCAAGCGACTCCGGCAAGTGGAAAGAAGCGTGTGACTCGGAGTTCGATTCGCTTCAGAGAAACGACACGTGGGAAATCGTGCCTCTTCCGAAAGGTCGCAAGGCCATCGGGTGCCGATGGGTTTTTCGTGTAAAGGAGAATCAAGATGGCGAAGTTGAACGTTTCAAGGCAAGACTTGTGGCCAAAGGATTCTCACAGAAATTCGGAGTTGACTATGAAGAAACTTTCGCACCGGTGGCCAAGTTCACATCGATTCGTGTGGTGCTCAGTATGGCGGCCAAGTACGGCCTAATGCTACATCAGATGGACGTCAAGACAGCGTTTCTTAACGGCTCCCTCAACGAAGACATCTACATGGACCAGCCGGACGGATACCTGGATGCAACACAGCCGGACTATGTGTGCAAGCTAAAGAGATCACTCTACGGCTTGAAGCAATCGCCTCGCATGTGGAACCAAACAATCGATGGGTTCATGATCAAGATGGGATTCAAGAAGTGCGAATCGGACCACTGCATCTACATCAAGCGAGACGACCAAGACATGATTCTCGTGGTGCTCTACGTCGATGATCTCATCCTGGCCAGCAGCAACAACGAACTCCTCAAGTCGACCAAGATGGCGCTGAGCAAACGCTTCGAAATGACGGATCTCGGTGAGCTCGATTACTTTCTCGGCATGGAGATCAAGAACGACCGTAAGACGGGAATGGTGACTGTGCAACAAACCAAGTTTCTCAAGTCCGTGTTAACCAAGTTCGGAATGGATAACAGCAAGCCAGTGAAGACGCCTCAAGATCCCGGCCTGAAGCCAACCAAGAACATGTGTGAACAAGAATGCAAGCACGAAGACACCATGTGCAACGTGCCATATCGAAGTGCTGTCGGAGGCATCATGTATCTCATGGTCGCCACACGTCCGGATCTAGCTGCTGCAGTGGGATCATTATCCCAGTTCTCGTCCGACCCATGCCCGACTCACTGGCAAGCTTTGAAGCGTGTGCTGAGATACCTGCAAGCAACGCCCAATCATGGTCTTGAGTTTACACGTGAAGAAGGGTGCCGTATCTGCGGGTACACCGACGCAGACTGGGCCGGCGACATTGAGTCAAGACGAAGTACAAGCGGCTATGTGTTCATGGGCGATGAGCGGAGGATGCATCAGCTGGAAAAGCCAGAAACAACGGACGGTCGCGCTATCTTCAACAGAAGCAGAATACAT